TGGAACCTAAAACATGTTTAAAATGTGTTTAAATGTTTTATAAGTGAATGCATGAAGATATTTAGTAGACTTTAGTATGTCTGTGTGTGTGTGAGACACAGTGGGGAGCGATAGTGTAGCGGTTAGCGCGCTGCACTATGAACCTGGCGACCCGGGTTCGATTCCCGCTCACGGCCTCCCCTAGGTCGACTCAGCCTCAAATGAGTACCTGGTGCGGTGTGTAAACGTTGCCACTAGGGAGACAAAGGGTCGGATAAGTGAACGGGATCGTACAAGTGAACACGTTTCATGACGGAATTAATCAGATATTCAGATTACTAACGTGATGATATTCTTGTCATCACGCTTCATGAGATATGATAAACTCGTTTGTAGTATCGATAGGAGGGACAAAGTTGTTCGTGCATGTCCACATACAGCCCTTTGTCAATCCACTGCTAGATGATGAACTGCACACTCGTAGGGGGGTGGGGGTGGGGTCATTTGCTCATATGTCACCATGCTCGTCAGTGTGACCAGTGAACGTGGAAGCATAGAAGTACAGAACAACATTGTATTTTTGAGGCAGTGACAGTGCCTAACAGTAGCGTCGAAAAAAATAGTCAAATGTCCGATATTTAATAGAATATGCATCAAAGCTTTAGCCCTCTGTTAATATATGTGAAAAAGAGCTTTATAGATCATCGGATTCCTCCAGTATAAATAAATATTCTGATTCTGAATAATGCTCCATGACCTACCACTACCAATGGATCATTAAGGGCTGAGCAGTGACCTCTGTTTAGATAAAGTGACCGGTCACTTTATCTAAACGGGACAAACTGGTCTCTGCCATGGGAACATGGAATTCACGCTGCTGGTTCGGGGCTGCCAATGCTCATTTTAAGAAGGATGTCCTTTGGGAGCCACGAGTCGTTTAGGGTTCGTACCCTGGGTCCTGTTCAACCTGGCTCGTTGTCTCCTCACAGGGTCAGTGGCTTGCTCATGGATGGACTGGGCTCGTCACAGCAAACGTGGACACCCACTATTTGTGCAGGACAGTCAATTTTGAGATGTGACGCATGGAATCCTCACGAAGCATTGGGCAACTCGGACCAGTCACTCAGTGACCGTTTCGTGTCGGAGATGGTGTTATTTTCCGCAACACGATGAGACAATTGCCATCTGTCACGTGTCGCCCTGGAAACTAATTCTTACGAATCGGGCGACCTAATAACGTCACTCGCGCGCAGTTTGTGACGTTTTTAGATCATTTTGGATCAGCGGTCATGCCTAAAGCTGTTTAGATATCCACGGAGGTGTGAGATAACTCAGGAATTTGAATGCGAGGGGGAGGACCCTGAGTTAAATCTCGAATTTAACCGGCAATTAGCAAAGTGATGGAAGAACAGGAGTGATATCTTTCGATTTAAAGCTTTCGTGACTGCAATGATTAATCTTCTTTGGTTCTTTCCTGATGAAGGCCGCTTGTGTTGTGGCCGAAACGTCGTGAGAATATTATTGTGTTATTTTATTTTATCAATTTATTATTTTATTCTCATTCTACGTGACTTTACCGAAATAACCAAAGAAGAGGAGTGATATCTTCAACAGGGGTGATATTTTATTTATTTGAGGGGCGCGCCACAGTGGTGAGATGTTAACTTCCTCGCCTGGTATGCAGGAGGTGGGGGTTTCGATCCCGACCCTGACGCCTGCTGTATATTTGAAGCTTGCACGTTCTCCCTGTGGTCACGTGGATTTTTATCCAGGGTCCTCTGGCTTTTCTCTGCACATTTAGGAACATGCTTTTAGAGTGTTTGGCTGCTGCCGCTGCTCTAAATGTCCACGTGACGAGCCGTCACTTCGTTGAGCTGTCATTTGTGGCCAGATCGCTGCTGAAAAAGTTCTATACAGCTCAGTAGGCCTTACCTGGTAAACAAAAAAAAAGATTTATAGTTTTAGTTTATAGTTTAATAGCAAATCCAAACAATTTCGATTATTTTGCTTCTATACATTTCCAAATTATAGGCCAATTTGTTGAGCTATCATCTGTGGCCAGGTCGCTTCTGAAAAACAAGTTAATACCTCAGTGAGCTTTGTCTGGTACGATGGGGATGGTTTAGTGTTTTGTATTTGTTTGTGTTTGGGTGATTTGTTTACCATTCTTGTACTTTGCACTCCTATCACGTGGTTTGTGTTGTTTGTTGTTGTAACGTTCTTACCCGCCCCGACTGGGCATCTGTGAAAAAGAGCTTTATAGCTAATCGGATTCCTCCAGTATAACTAAATATTCTGATTATGATTAAGGAATTAGTATTGATGGAGTGATGCTAAACCATGTATGATATGGGGTCGATACGATATTCATGGAAATTATCAGTTATCAGTCAGATTCAATTAAAATATTCAAGGTGGCTAGCGAGAATGCGTGGCTACAACTAAATGTGGCAAAGACAAAAGTCACAATGTTTGGAAACAAAAGCGAAACATCGCAGCAGGTGGTGAAAATAATACAGTTAAAGAATGATATTATATTTTCTTGGACCGTGTACAACACAAGTGGAAGCGGGAAGGAGATTCAGAGTAAGCTGGGGATGGTAAGTTCAGCTTTTGTATCACTCAGCCCCAAATGGAAACAACACAGTTGATATGGTTTAATGATATATTTGTATTCTCAGGAGCGGTTTAGGGATGTGAAACTAGGCCACGTAAGTAAATGGACATGTCAACAATTAATGCATTTACATTATGGTGTTGAAGGCATTCCCTGCAGGTTTTATTGACCTGAAAGAGGAACTTACATTGCTGGTGCAGGTTGGAGACACAGAGGGCTTAGTTAACTAAAATCTTCACAGAAAGTTAAAGTGTGTCGGAGATACGCTCTAGAACTGTAAACGACCTGCAGAGAAATTGGTCACGCGACGAGTAATAAAATTTAACGAGCTCTCGGTGACCAGAAAACGAGATGGCTGGATGAGAAAGAAGATTACCGGAAAACCGGAATCGTTAAACAATGACGAGGAATGCCTGAACCCCACGAGCTGGAAACATTCCGCCAGAGTTATCGGTCACATTTTAATAACGGCCTCCAGAGAAGGAATGAAGGCTCTTCGGTGACATCTGAACAGGGCACTCCCTTGACCAGCATGGTTAAGTATGATCCAACAACTCTCATGGACCAAGGCATATTTGTGGAGGCATTTATCCAGTATGGATTGACAAACGGATGTAAAAGGTTATATGTATTCTTCACAAAAGCCTCTTCTTATGCGAAGTGGTCTTTTGTTATTTTACACGTACAGGCGACTGCTCTGGACGATGTTTTATGCAACGCAGCCACAATGGAGCACGCTTGCGTACATGGGGAGGAAAAATATTGTCATTTTTTCTTTTGTGACCTTAGCATTGCCACACTCACGCGAAGAATCGCCCCTGATTGCTTAGAATAATTGCATTCTGTAGCAGCCCGAGCTTGTCACCAGTCTGGACCCCACTGCACAGTGTGGACACTACCTCCACGCCCTTCTTCATTGTGCAGCAGCACTTCACGTCGGGTCGAGGGTCACAATGGGAGAAACTGGGGTGGGGCGGTGGTGACTCGTTGGCTAACGCACTGCGGCTCTTGCTTATCAATTCCGGCCACTTTGGTTTGATATCAAACCACGGATAAGACCACTGGCGGCACATGTCAGGTCAAAACCGGTCCTGGGCCCTCTTTCTCGACAAACTGACCAGCGTGGTTCTGCTCTTGCGTGATGGCAAAATGTTCAGGAGCTAAATGGCAATGTCCATGTCTGCTTGCCACGAGCTGCATGGGGGAGTTTTGCTATTCCTCTGTTGAAGGAGCGCAGGCCCACAGTGGTTTACGATATGGTCCAAAGTTTGGGTTGCACGGCCACAATCGCACTTCTGCGGCTTGTCTTTAAATGTTCTATTTATGAAGGAGATGTGTGTGTGTGGATCGGACCAGTCGACGTTCATTCTGGGCGTCCACGTTGTTCCACTCCGTTGTTCCGCACCGTTGTTCCGCTGTGTTCGGATCTGGGCGAGTCTCCAGGATGGTGACGACAGCGCGGTCCCAGAAGCTGGATCGGTGCTCTAGTTTGGTGGCGAGGTGAAGTATGGTCAAATGACGCCACACAGCCCCGGAAGGGCGCGAAGCCCTCCGCCAGCAGTGGCTTGACAAGAACAAGGAACGGCGAATGTATAACGCTCGACGCAATGACGCGCGTTGACTTTTCATGTTCTGGACAGAGTCGTGTTTCCGATGTGTTACACCCGTGCTGACATACACGGCCATAGTTTGTTCCGAACAATGCGACGCAATGGCCCGCCTCTTGCAAAACCCGTTCCGTGCTCACTTGCGCATGAGCCGACAGCAGCAACAACGCGTGATAACCACCATTTATAGTGGAGCGGTGGCGCAGTGGTTAGCGCCCTTCACTATGACCCCGGCAACCCGAGTTTGATACCCGGTCATGGCCGACATCAGTGGGGCAAGTGACTAAATATTAACTGGTTCCTAGTCTGCTCTGACCTCCCTTCCACTACAAACAGGTTGTACATAGGACTGCGGGGATTACGTTGTGGGCATCATAATGCATTGCTGTCCTGTACTTCTATGTTCCCGTCTATATCACCCCCACCCCTCGCCCCCTTTAACCCGCATTGACAAGCATGGGGAAGTATGTTCAAAATCCCCCATGACCGAGATGGCGTGGGAAGTCGTCCTAGGTGGATTCGGATTGGCTGAAAAATAATAAGTACTATCGAGTATTTGTATCAGCAATGCGTTTAACATGCGAGCGTTTCAGGTAAAGGTGCAGCCCTGCAATTCCTTTCTCACTGTACTGCTGGCGGAACTCCTGGTGGCCTCTTATAATCTGTGAAGAAGGGCCATTGAGTTATTGACGAATTTGTTGAGTAAAAAAAAATGTTGTGCTTATGCACCGCTGCATCGCAGTATCGCCAAATAAGTTGGTGGTCGGTTTTCACTAGAGGGAGCTCCAGTTAGCTCCAATAGAGTGCACTTTGGCCTACTCTTCCACACTGGCCCGACGTCTCGTAAGAGGTGGCAGTGCCCATACTTTACCCCACCCACACGCGACCTGACAACAGACTGACTGCGGCGTACCCATTTCTACTGCTGGCTCGAAAAAGGCGAAAGGGACGGGGAGGGGTTAAGAAACGTTTCCTGTTGTTAACTTGGGATTTAATGGAAATGTCACCCTCTGCACTGCAAGTCCACGGTGTTACTAACCACTGCATCGCTGCATCACCGCCGTGGTGTCATTAATTGTCTATCGGCGTGAAATGTCCCGTGGCGTTGACGGCAGCCGATGGTGACCACGTCCCTTCTAATCGTAGGCAAGGTTTTTTGTATTATTATTTTTGACTCCGGACCACGAGGAGGAAGGATGACAAGCGTGCGAGCTTTAGGACATTAAACGCCAGCTAGTTCTTCTTTATCTTTTAAAGGTAGAGTTGGGGCATTATTCGGCTGTGAAATCCGTAAACATAGGTGGGGCCGTACGCACCCAGCCGTCGCGGGTGATTGTGCGCATTTGAAGGTCGTGGTTGGTTCGCGAGTAGCTAAGCCACATGTGTGTTAGCCGCCTCCCCACCACACCCCCCCCCCTCCCCTTTTTTCCCTAACGCTTATTGCTCTCTGGTCTTGAAGAAATCTGACTTTTTCCTGGTAGGTAGAGCACGCGGAGACCTCCGATTTGAACGTTTGTGGAGAGAAGATTCGACAGGAATCAGCCACATGGCGTGGTCAAGGAGTCTGCGTCTGTTCGCCTCCGTGTGTTTGTGTCTCAGGTGAGCTCGCTTTTGAGTGTTTTACGCATGGGCGCTTTTATTTTTCGTTGGTCTGTAATCCTGCACTCGGCTGGTGTTGTTTAATCGTGTGGTTTACATAAATAAATAAACTCCCCATTACATTTGTAAAAAAAAAAGTTTTTTTAATATATATAATAGGCGAGGTTTCAAGCGATCGCCGTTCTTCAGTTCTGTGCTATGAGGAAGGGCCATTTGCCCGAAATGTCGCCTGTTAAACACTGTTTTTATTTTAAGGCCACAGTGTTGTCGACGAATGTGAGTTTTATTTTCATTATTTTTGTTAACAGTGCTTTGTGCGCCACTGCTAACGCAGCACCGCCAAACGGGATGCTTCAATTAAATACGTGCGGCTCCTGGCGCTCGACGGAATATTGCCTCGCGTGACCGTGGGGGATTTCGATGCCTTGTGGAAGCCTTCATCCAGCAGTGGGTAGATCATTTCTGTCGGTGATGGCGCTAATTCATCGATTACGTGCATTCTTTTGCAGTGCTGCGGTGGAATGTCACCTGCGTCCCGATGGGTATGAGGCCATCGGAATCAGCGTTATCACCACCATCACCACCATCATTATCACCATCGTAATCATCAGCGTGATCACCATTATCACCATCATCTTCGTCGTCATTGTCATCGCCATTGCCAGCATCACCAGTGTCACCATAACCATCATCACCATATCCTACATTGTGCTCACTCTATATTGAATAGTTCAGTCGCCGTACACACAAAGTTGAATGCAATCGGTGCGCACGTATTAACGTGAAATGTATATTGTGGGTATACGTGGCGCAATACACACTGTTTATCATATACTGTTGGTGTATTGTAGACTGTTAGTTTACTATAGACTGTGTTAGGTAGCCAGACAGATTTGAGAATGCGATGTAGTCCTTAAATAGTCGAGAGCTAACTTAACTAAAATAAAGAGTTGATCAGTGATGCAGTTGTTGACTCATAACGCTAATTAACCCCATGGCCGGAGTTAGATTGCCGGTCAAGTCAAACTTTAGTATCGAGTGATCTCTGAACCGGTCCTGGACACCCCCCCCCCCCTCCCCCGCCTTCTACAATTCATACTGACCAGCGTGGTGAAGTATGGTCAAACGACCCTTACACCGACAACGTGGGGAAACCATCCATCAACAAATTGCTGTAAATTAATATCATTACACTGTGATGAATTATACCTGTATGAAGTAACGTGCGCATCTATGTAAGTGATGACTGTATTTCAGAACACGGTAGCGCGTAAGTTCAATGCGCCCGTGCCTTCATCGCGAGGGGACTGCAGCGGTTTAGCGCACGCTGCGCTCTGAACTCTGACTGCCCGAGTTCGATTCCTCGCTCACGAATAATAAACCGTGGCGAATATTTGTGCGCCTGCTGGTATGTGTAAAACAAAGTGGGTGTCACGCGTGGTCGCTCGCTGCACCACCTCATTGATGGAGGCGCTTCCCTGACAGTATTTGCCCCACGACAGCCTGCGTAGGCTCTAGTGGGTATCTCTGTCTCTGCATCTTGCTGTAGTGCCAGCCTGCTCCCACGAGTCTGATGTGTGTGATGAAGCTGCTTTGGGGTGCTGTGCGTGCGCTGTTGGTGTGCAAACAGGAGAGGAGTCTGCTCACGGAACACCACGACTATCATGTCTTACTTGTCGACCGGGTAGGAGTAACACCGCGGTTACCTCTGCACACATTCTGCACTTGTAGTACCAAGCTTATATATACATACAATATACATATATATGCATATATCATCGTCATCATCATGATCCATGGGCAGATAGCCCGGAGGTGTCCACTGTACATTTCCTCATTTGTTTCCACTTTCCTCCGTCTTGTGCCGATAAGCTCAAGTAGCGGCCACATTATTCTGGCATCAATCTCTTATTATTATTATTTCGTCAAGCCAGTCTATGTGAGGTCTTCCTCTCTTTCCGGTTCCTTATATTTTTCCAAACAACAACACTTTCAATTTTCCTGTTGTTGTCCATCCCAAATAGTGCCAGTTTCCTTCTCATTGCTGCCTGCATCAGGTGTTCTATATATATCATAGGTCTATTAAACATAATCTATGCCTCGTGTTTCCTGGCTGTCTGCTAGCTTCTCTCCTCTCCACCCCAACAATAACTCTGTTGTGAGCGGCTCCGGGCCGTTGCCACCGAAACCATATGGGTAACTGGCTGCGCGGGATTTTCCGTGTATCTGAAACCGGACCTGCCTTCCTCTCTCACCTTCACACCCGCACTGACCAGTGTGGCGAAGTATGGTCAGATAAACTCCATAACTGCAAAGTATTTCAGAGGCCTTCGTCCACAGCAGTGGCTTGATAAAAGGACTGTCACTTAATGTTGTTTTTAATTGCCACTCAATGTTTGTAAGTGGCACATCGTAATTTGTGTGGTGTCTTTTTTATATCTACGCAGAGCCTTGACATCCAGGATCATGTACAGAATCACTCGCATCACTGACTACCAGTGCTGCCTGGGGTGGTTTGAGAGCGGGGACGAGTGCCCAATATGTGAGCACGTTTTATCTTTTATAATTGTGCCGTATTGTATTGCACGTGCATACTGCCACAATAACTAACTACTTGACTACTTTCTAGTTTAGCAGGTAAGGCCCACGGAGCTACGTAGCTCTTTTTCAAAAGCGACCGGGCCGCAAGTGATAGCCCGACAAGGTGGACATTTATAGCAGCCCCATACACTGGACGCACGCGTTGATTCTAAACGTGGAGGGGAAAACCGGAGGACCTGGAGAAAATGTCACGTGACTACGGGGAGAGAGACGTGCAAACTCCAAATATACAGCAGAGCGGCAGGGTCAGGGTCGAACCCACTTGCTCCTGTAAACCGGGCGAGGTAGTTAACAATCTCGCCAATGACCGAGGGAGGAGCGGTAGCACACGAGTTAGTGCACTGCACGGTGAACCTGGCAACCTGTCCACTCACAATTCCCCACCCCCCCCCCCCCCATCGAAATGTCGATTTTCCATGAAAAGTTATATATTCATCAACATTCTACTGCTTTCCTTAAATGAGTGACAACTGTTGAGTATGATCCCTGTGAGAATGTATTGGGTGACTAAACAAATCTTGCCACGTCCACTGACACCTGTGTGTGTGTGTGAGAGGTGGTGGATCTTTGTGTGGTAGGAAGCGGTAGTGTAGTGGTTAGCGCGCTGCGCTATGAACCTGACGACCCGGGTTCGATTCCCGCTCACGGCCAACACCAGTGACGATTATCTAAACCGGTCCCGGGCCTCCCCTAGGTCGACTCAGCCTCAAATGAGTACCTGGTGCGGTGTGTAAACATCGCCACTAGGGAGACAAAGGCGGTCGGGCGTGGTGCTGGCCACCCACCCCCTCGTGTACCGTTCCGGCCTTCATAGGTGCTCGCTAACAGCACTTGCCCCTACAGTCTGTTAAGGCTATATGGGGGATCTTTGTGTGTGTGTGAGAATATATGCATATATGTACGCCTTTTGGCGTCCTCTGGTCTAGCACCAATTGAGACAAGGCTCAAAAGAAAGCCGTCTCTGGTGTGGACCAATCAGTTTCAAGGACAATGCATATATTATCAGTGTGTTTTTTGTTTGCATTTTGACCACAAGTATTGCGGTTAATGCACACATGAGTCCTTGTAAAAAGGTTTCAGTTTTGTTGCCAGACAAAAGGGGACAAACCCTATTATTAGTTATACCTGATGACGATTGCTTGTGTTGCAATCGAAACGTCGTATTCTATTATTTACTAGATTTTCTTTCTACGTGACTTTACCGAAAGAACCAAAGAGTAATTCCTGCAGTCACGAAAGTTTCAAATCAAATTTTATACGAGTGCTCTTTGTCCTTTGGTGGTATTTTTGAGCATTTTCGTTATGTCCCTGTGGCCTGCAGTCGGCTGCATGAACGAGTGTCTGAACGGCGGCTCTTGCATCAGTAACGACACCTGTGCCTGCATGCCCGGCTACACGGGAGGCGCGTGCGAAAACGGTGAGCCCTCTGATGGCATGTGGCTGGCGTGTGTGGTCCTGGCTCCAAATCCAGGCACCCACCTGTGAGTGACTACACCAGGTTCCCAAATGTAGTGAGTTGATGGTCTCGATCTGGTCATCATTGAATGTATATACGGTATCCATAACAGAGGTGTTTGGGTTTGATCGCATAAATATATCTAGCCAAAAAAGCTGTTATGGATAATATTGATCGCGAAAGCCTACATGTTAAACTGTGTACATGCGTTAAATATAGATTTAAATCACATTAAATGTTGTCTTGCACTTGCTTTGGCTGAGTCACAGCTCTGAGAACTAAAGACGTCAGTTCGACGAGTCAATCTGTAGCAGGGTTAGTGTAACTCCAATTCGGACCAAAGCCGAGTTTGAAAAAAAAAGGCTTAATAGGCTTCATGGAAACCTTTGTAAATAGTTTTGATTATAGACCACGTTTTGGTTTCATGTTTTCCAGCTGCCATACATTTGTTTACGTTTAATGAGTTTGTACAATCTTTTTCACTTGCACTTTTTGCCAAGTCAATTGATCTTGCTTTCCAGAATTGACATATTTCTTATATATTTAAAATCGTGCGGTGCTATTTACCTTCTATACAACGTCCCACCACTCGTTTAACCGCACAACACCATTGCCGTGACTCCCTCGTCCTCCCTGTCGTCCCCAGATCTGGATGAGTGCACGAGCGGCGAGCATTGGTGCGAGCAAGGCTGCTCCAACACCATCGGCTCGTTCGTGTGCACCTGTGAGCCGGGCTACTACCTGGGCGACGACCAGAGCACTTGCGTTGGTACGCTGCGCGGTGCCCTGCCGCACATAGCGATGGTAGTGGGTGCTTGCGCGTCAGCGGCGGGAGGATAAAACACAGCGAGTTGGCGCAGTAAGGGGCCACAGGTGGTGCATCTGGCGGTTATCTCAATCGGTCAAGCCACAGCACCTGGGCCTCTCCCGAGGCCTCCTGCCAGCGGGCGTTCGACGCTTCACATAGCCTTAAAGTGCACGTAGACTGGCACAAGTGCCATGGTAACGTCACCGCTACTTGGTGGTGAATGGTGGTTGTTGTTGCTGCACAGCCCTCTTGTCAATCCACTGCTGGATGAGGGCCTCCCTGCACGTCGTGGGAGTTGTTACGGTTAATTGACCATACTTCACCACACTGGTTGGTAAGGCTGGGAGCGTAGACTTTTGGGGGCATTGTTAAATTAGAGTAACGACAATTGTCTGCGTCTTCCTACATCACCTGTTTTATACACGGAGGTTACCCATCCAAAAACTATCCAGACTCAAGCCTGCTTAGCTTCTGAGATCTGATGAGCTGAAGAACATTCCAGGTGGTGTGGTTAATGGGCAGTAACGTACACGTGTAGAAAACGCGCCTGCGTGCGTGGTAGCATGCCACTTTTGCCAGCTGAGAGAGTTGATTGAGACAAATAGTTTACATGGTCACGGGAAGGTGGTGTTGTTTCTCCCAAAGCTGATGAAATAAAGACTTGATTCGTTGAATAACGACTAATTGTTGTAATGTGCTTGTCTATTATTATGAGACCATCCTGAATAACCTCTGGTCCATACAATCAGCGAAGTTCCGAGGAATAAAGAGAAACAGTTGACAAACTTTACCCACATTTTGAATCGTTATGGTGAACGGTTTATATTCCACATTGACGCATGTAGACCATCTTCGAACAACCAGCTGAGCCTCGCTGAGACTCAACACTAACTTTCCTGCATGGGGAATGTTTGGCCAATGCATTTTTTTCCTTCAAAATAATTTGTTGGCACGTAGGAATAAACGTGAGTGCCCCGGAGGAAACCCGCATGTACACTCGAAGCTTCCCGCAGGTGGATTCGATCAGCTGGCCGCATCACCGTTTGCTGCGTCACAATCATTGCCATTGCCACTGCTGCTGCTGCTGCACCTTTCTAAGTTTTGGTGTTTTTATTTGAACAATGTTGCGTGTCGATTTTGCATGGGATTTTGTGTCAGCGCCATTCTGGTAACGGCGCCTCCGATTTGCACGGTTGGCTACGTCCGGTGCGAAAGAAGTTCAACACACATAATGAAGTGAAATCAATGTAATTATTCACTTAATTCCCTACATTGTCCCCATAATGTATAATTTTGTTTTGGTTTTTTTACACGTTTGTGTTACTTTTTCTTGTCGGGTGGTTCAAGTTTTTGTGATTGTTGTTGTTGTTGTTCGTGACACTGTGTTACGTCTCGAAACTTACAGAATAGACTGAACGTTAATAACGATGATGGTGATGATGATGATGACGACGATCTCTTTAGGTGAAGTCGACGGATAACGCAGCAAATGCTTGTTTCACGTTTACCGTTTTCAGACATTGACGAGTGCGTCGTCTCCAACGGGAACTGCAGCGAGATCTGCCTGAATTTCATCGGCGCGTTCCAGTGCGCTTGCAGATCCGGATACGCCATCGCGGATGACGGCTACAACTGCACAGGCATTGCCCGCGCCGTTTCGTCGCAGAAATCGCCAGCGGCCGCACATTTGGTTTTGTTTTACATTTCTTTCAAAATCAATATTCGAGTGAACGTACAGATGTACAGCGCGCGCCCCAAGGGCACAAACAAAGGCAAAAAAAAAAACACGTTCAAATAATGTCGTCAGTGTAGATAGAAAATATAAACAAGAGATGGCGAGGAGACAAGTGGGTGGTGTTCGGGTGATAAGGGGGGCAGTTCCAGTGTGAACTCTATGAAGGAGCGAGTTGATAAAATAATATCCTACAACAATAACCCATTTAACATGTATTGACAACGGGATTCTGGCTCAATAGCTCCTTGGTGCGACGCGTTCCCAATTTTCAGATTAATGCAAACACAAATATCAAAATTGGGTCCAGACACAAAGATTTGGGGATGATTGTGGATTATTGATTGACAACCGCATTTGTTGCCATTGCCACGTGCTGCTCACGCGCGCACACAGCGAGGAGCGGCGGTACGGTGGTATCACGCACTGCGGTATAGTCACAACCACGTGACTATACCGCAGTGGCCAACACAAGTGGCAAGTGGCGTCTGAACCGTCTCTGAGTCTCCTTCTAAGTCGGCTCGACCTTACAAATGGGTGCCCGGTGCAGCGTCTAACGTCCGCACCTGGCAGACGGAGATGGCGCCACCCTCCCATGTGGCACCCCGGCTTTGACGACGTTCACCCACAGCACCCGCCCCAAATCTCTTAACAAGGCAACGTGGGCGTTTGGGGCTGGAGGGGGATGGGAGATCTGTGTCTTAGCACCTCGTCTGTCTGTGTGCGCGCGCGTGTGTGTTTCCAGATATAGACGAATGCCTGGACGGCAACGGTTACTGTCAAATGACCTGCCGGAACAGCGCGGGCTCCTACGCGTGCGCCTGCGATCCTGGGTTTTCCCTACAGACTGACAACAGCACGTGCGCAGGTCGGTGTCTCGCTAACCCGGCGACAAACAAACCTCCTGTTGCGCCGCGTGGCGTTTTTTGGCGGCCACGCGGCGCAACGGCGGGCTGCCGAACGAAGTAGCGCACGGGGCGGTGGTGCGCAACGTTTGAGCGTTCGCGCCTCCGACCTCCGCGACCTTTGCGACTCGTTGAGACGGCCGAGCGACCGACGCTTGCGGCAGCCCGGCTAATGATGCGGGGGGTATCCGCCGTGTAGGAGAATGCACACGTCTGCTTCATCACGGTGGCTGTTAAATATGCAACGGCGCGCGCTGCTTTGCCGTCGTCCAAATTTATGGAATCAGATTTTTTTTTCTAAATTGCTCGCAAACTGCTTATTTGGAGACAACCGCGTGGCGAAATCCTCCCCCTTGCTGCTGGTATTCTAAAGGCCCGTTCCACACGTAGGCTTTCGCGACCAATATCATCCATTGGGTTAGATCGCTTAAATGTATAAACGTGTCGTTAAACCCGCCACTGGCGAAACGTCGCACTCAGAGTGTAAATGTTGTGGCTTTGCTCTCCAACACATCGGTGTGCTGTGCTAGTAACGAATTGGCCACGTTCTGTTCACGTGACAAACCTGACTAATTGGCTGTGTCGGGTGGTGGCGGGTTTAACGACACACATTTATATATTTACGTGATCTAACCCCAAAAAAAACCCTGTAGTGTGGATTCTAAAGGCCGTTTTGCAGGCCTGTGCTGCGTGCATCCTGTGCCGCACAGCGGCGGACGTCTGCCGCTAAACCGCAGCGGGGCATCGGAATGGTTCAGATGAGATGCGTTATATGAGCCCACTTTGTGCCGTGCAGATTTGAACGAGTGCAACGCCGCCAATGGAGGTTGTGCGGAGTTTTGTACCAACACATACGGCTCGTATCACTGCTCGTGCAAGCCAGGCTCCGAGCTGGAAGCCAACAACCGTCTCTGCAAAGGTAAAACAACGTCAAAAGTGACGTTAAAATTAACTTGTATCCCTTTGTCAAGCGACTGCGAGGTGCAGGCCTGACCTTGCCATGTCATTTGTGGCTGTTGTTTAGCCATACTTTTCTGTGCTCGAACAGTCCCGGTTTAAAGGCCCGAAGGCAGATTCGTATATTCGCTCACCACTGACGTGATCCGTGATTCAGAATCGAACTCGGGCCGCTGAGTTCATAGCACACTGCACCACGGCACTGCCCCTCTGCAAAGGTGATTATCCACTTATCAGAGGTTCACGCTCGGGTGAGCTCAGAGACAATTCAGATCGTCCAAGCAATGAATCCTGCTGACTGAATGACATCTAATTGAGAGGTAATAATCGACATGTAAATAGCAGCCTTGTTAGCTTGCGCCATGTGTTGTTTAGCAAGGCCTCCGATGTTTTGCTTCCAGTGCTGGCAGCTGCTTCAATTTCACCCGGCGGTTCTGACTTTGGTGGGTGGGCCAAAAAGTAGAACTAACTTTGTTGGGCTTCCCTTTCCATTTGTAGACACGTTAGAGTGAGAACTAGGATAGGTATAGACGAGATTATAGAGATGAAGTGAGATGAGAGAAATGTGGACACAAATGCGATGAGAGAATAGAGTTACAGACGAGACGGGGATGTAGGGAAGTGATATAGATGCACACGAGAGAGAGATGGAGTGAGACGGCAGAAGAGAGCTGCAGACAAAATAGAGATTGGAGAGATTCGTTCTATTTTGGACATTTATTAGGATCTGAATTTGAGATGATATTTGGTGCATCACCATTTTCACCATGTTTCAGGGCATCTTTGAGCTCCTCGCTTGCCAAAGCTTTTGCTGAGATCGCTTAAATGCCGAGTGCCACCACTGGTGGCAAGTGGGGCGAAACGTCGGACATCACGCCGAACAACGGCGTGTTACAACCTGCGCCTCTGCGGCCGTCTGGAACGCTCCTCCTTCCGATCTTCGGAAGCCACTGGAGCTATGCACTTTTAAATCATCATCTAGATTGAAAAACTTATTTCTTTAGAACTGCTTTTTTCATTAAATCTGGTGTCTTTCCCCCTGCACTTCCGATTAGCAGGGTTGTCTGCGTATGGTGCGAAAGAAGTTCAACATACAAAACACAGGTCGGCCGTACAGCGCCTCCGAATTATCATCGGGGGGGTGGGGGGGGGGGGGATTTCACTCGGTACAAGGGATGAGGTGGCCCTTGTGGTCAACCGGTGATGTGACCCTCTCTGCCTGTGCGCAGACATTGACGAATGCGCCGTCAACAACGGAGGCTGCGGGCAGAACTGCAAAAACACGGCGGGCAGCTTCGAGTGCTCGTGCAATCCGGGCTACGCGATGATGTTCAACTCGGTCACGTGCTTGCGTAAGTCACTCAGAGAACCACCTCCACCGCGTGCCCCCCCTCCCCCCCCCCCCCCACTAGCCGGTTTGCCTCCGCAGTGAGTCGCGGTAAAGGGTCGCGATTTGATTCGAGAATCGCCGTTCATTTTAGTTTCACATTTTTAACATGCCTCCGTGCATTGTTTCTATGTTTTATCTCTCCAGTTTGTGCAATTCTGTTCGCTGAAATTGCAGCGTGCAATTTGAGCACAACTCGGCACGTATCGTCACCGTAAGAAGCGATGTCAATCAATTATTTGATGCGTTTCAGCTGGAGCTGTTCAGGGCTGAGCTCTAAAAAAATATTTCTCTAACACCCCCTCTCCCTTCCCATTGCAAAGCATTCAATGAGAAATGAAGCCGTGTCCAATTACATATGACATGCATGACTTTCATTGCCCTTTGGCTAGCCATCAAACAAAGACGGTCACTGCATCACGCGCTTTCAGGTGCGCTTCTGCGGCCGTCTGCAACGCTCTTGCTTCTGATATTAGGAAGCCACTGGAGCTATCCACTTTTAAATAATCTAGATCGAAAAACTCACTTCTTTAGAACTGCTTTTTATGCTTAGTTTGTTGTCACATCCCCTGCACCTCCCGATTAACGTGTCTGGCTACATACGGTGCGAACGAAGCCCAACCGACGTACGTACAAGCACATGTATTGAGAATGCCAAGCGCGATCCGGGGGGGGGTAGTGAATCGTGCGTCTCACAACGATTTCCCATGATGCCCCCCCCCCGTCTCCTCCACCAGCCTGCGGCGGCAATTATTCGGCACTGGAGGGAAGTCTCTCCTCGCCGGGCTACCCGTACGTGGGCTTCGGCACAAGCGAGCCTTGCGTGTGGAACATCAGCGCACCCGACGGGTACAACCGCGTGAACCTCACCTGCCTCTCCGTGCGGTGAGTTGGGATGCACATATACACGAAGCACGCGTCTCCCCGCAACATTGCAGTCGCGCTCCTACGGAGGAGCCGGGAAGCAGTGCGTGAGATTGTATGATGAAAGTGGACGCATTCGTCAGTAACGCTGTTGCCTTAAAAGGAAATATATATATATAAATAGGTGACGTTTTAGGCCATGACCCTGACATTGCGCAATGGTGCTGAGATGTTAAATCCCTCGCCTGGTATACACGAGGTTGTGGGTTCAATCCTAACCCTGATGCCTGTATGTTTGGAGTTTGTGTATTCTCCCCGTGATCGTGTGGATTTTTCTCCGGGTCCTCCGGTTTCTCTCTCCACATTTAGAATCATGCATTTTGATTATTTGGCTGCTATGCTTGTCCACGTGATGAGCCACTTCGTTGATCTATCATTCGTGGCCAGGCCGTTTCTGAAAAAGAGCTACGTAGCTCAGTGGGCTGGTCGTATCTGGTAAAATAAAAATTTGTTTAGTTTCAACGCACATGAAGCAGGGCCATTGGGCGGTGGTGGGGTGTACGGCACAGAACGTAAGCCACACACACACACGCAAATCAAACCACGATTCGTAATGTCGGTCAGTGAAAGCCTTACGCGTTTTAAACGTGTAAATCCTCGCTGTGCTCACCCGCTCCCTGCAGGTTCAACGACGTGGGCACGTGCGACGTGGGTTCCCTGACGGTGACCTCGCTGCCGTCAAGCACCCGGACTTGGTGCTCCACCCCGGCGTCCTCCTTCTTCGGCGGCAAGAGCATGCTCCTGGAGTACTTTAACAACGCCACGGGCCCTGACACGGGCTTCCACTGCCACTACGCAGCCGGTGGGTTTCAGGGATGGGCCTGGGAGATGGGGAGAATCCCTGCGCGACGACTAATCCCGGTCGCGATTTTATTCGCTCCGTTTAAAATCCGCGCCGCCTTCGTTCCCTCCCATGACCAAGCCGCCCAGAATTTACCGGATTGCCGTGAGACCCCCGAAAGCGAAGCCAGTCTGAAGCCACATAGTGCAGGCGCTGTGGGCAGTAGAGGGCAGTGCAGAAACAAAATCCGTTGCTGTTTTGTCCGCGGCCTTCATCGACCCACACCGTGCAGCGTGGTCAAACAACCCCTCACGGCACGGCGTGGTGTGTGGATGCCCTCACATTCAGCAGCGTACTGACAAGCGGGCTGCACGTGTGTGTGTGTGCTTATTTCCTCCCGCATTGCACGAATGCGCTTTGCTGATGCGCCCCCCGGTAATCTGTGACGCTAAGGCACACACGTGGGGGCCAGCTCGCATGTCAGAGGAAGAGACAAAATGATAACCCCGGCGGAGAGCACTCATTACCTCGCAGAGATGACAGACGCACGCATAAATGGAGTGCTCTGTCAGGACCCAATGCGCCTCTGGCGAACGCGTGACAAGTGCCCCACGCTGCCCACGTGCCACCGCGACCCGTTGGGAACTGTTGGGCTCATTCCCTGTGCGTGCGTTGAACCGGTGCGAATGTCTGTCCGCCACGCAGCCTACAAAAAGACGCTCATCATGACGCCGGCTCGAGCCAACGTCGTCTCGCCCAACGACGCCGCGGGGTTTTACGTCAACAACGCGAATCACACGTACATCGTGCAGGCCCCCAGCACCAGCCGCATCTGCCTGGAGTTCCTCAGCTTCAGGTGCCCGCTGATGTCCACACACCCCTACCGTAGTCACTCACACCACACACCCGACTGACTGTCACACTGTGTGTGCCCACACAGCCCACAATAGTAACTCACACCACACACCCTATTGACTGTCACACTCTCCACATACCCCCACACTCCCTACTGACTCCACTCACTCAACAATGGTCGCTTACACCATGCAGTCGACAGACTCCCACACACACTACATACCCCAATAGACTTTACATACTCCTAAACACCCTACGGACTTCCACACTCTCTGAAGGGCGGTACCGATATCGTGTGACCCCCGTTTAATCCTCTAAGACCTATAACATTTAAAAATATATAAGGCTTATTTAAAACAGAAATTTATATGCAAAGGGAAAAAAAATGTTAGGAATTCATTCATTGGGGGGTCACAAGATATCTGAATCACCCTGTATCATAATCACTTACACCACATACTCTATCTACCCCCACACACGCGACTTACAGCTTTCCGAAATCGGGCCCAGAGCCCAACATACCAAGCGGCCAGCAACGAACAGCAGTGGTGAAGGTGTAAAGGGATAAAAGTCGACACACTTCCTGAAATGAGGAGGTTAATGAGAACGTGGGCAAAGAGACGAAGGGAGGGAATCCCAAAGTGGGGCCCGTGCGAAGGGACAGAAGCGTCACGAGAAGTGTAGTGGACCCGCATTGTGGTGGTCGAACGCAAAATAGAGCGCCTTGGAATAAGGCGCTCTATGTACGTCGAGATGAGACGAGACGGTCAGTTTGGTAGAGCGAGCCCTCAACGCTGGTGGGGAAGTGTGATGATAAAGGAGGCGACCTTACCGCCGCTGAGCGATGTGATCGGAGTGCATCGGTGACTTCTGGATCATCAGTCCCACCCGACTGCTTTGTGCATTGAATTCTTCTTTCGAGCGCGGTGAGGTAGGAGCTGGGTTTCTTCGCGCCAGGTATGACACCGCTATTACAAAGCTGGGCTGAATGTTTAAGGAGGGAATGGTGCCTACTCGACACGTCGCACACTCGTGCCCCATGCTACGTGCCCCACACTCGGTCACCACATCCACCCCACACATTCCGTTGCGTGGGCTCCACGCGAGCGCCACAATGCCCACGCGCCCTGCCGCCTACAGCCTAGAGAGCACCTCCGACTGCAGCAAGGACTACGTGGCCGTGTACGACGGTGAACTGGTCACCGCTCCCCAGATCGGAAAGTTCTGCGGGAGCTCGATCCCGGCCAAAGTCAACTCGAGCGCCAACGGGATGGTCATCTCGTTCATCTCAGACGGAGACACAGTGGACCGTGGCTTCAGTGGCATCTACACCGCAAAGTATGTGCAATTCACTCCAGTGACTTGCTCACTGGTGGTCAATCACCTCCTTGTCACTCTTCTGTCGCTACTACCATGGTTACCGCTCCCATAAAATGAATGCCTATTCTTATTACAAATGAGTGCGATGATTCTTCTTTGGTTCTTTCGGTAAAGTCACGTAGAATGAGAATAAAATAATGAATTGATAAAATAAAATAACACAATAACACAATGCGATGATTGTCAAATCATCAATCCTCCTGTGGGAGCAGCAGCGTAACGAGCATGGGGACAGGGGGGTGGGTGCCTTGGCCCCCCTGGTGGCCAAAGCTACGATTTGGGGCCCACTTAACAACCGCCATTAGATATGTTTTCAACAAGTGTTCAAGAATGAAAACTTATGTAATGATGCGATTTAGACAAGAGGAGCCATGATATATAATAGCCTCGGTGCGAGACGAATGAAATATTGGGGCCCTACCTGACCGATGGCTGCACCCCTGAGCTGATAATGTAGCCACTACGCCACTGATAATGTAGTTACTACATCAATTATAATATAGTTACCATGCCTCTGATAATGTAGTTACCACGCCACTGATAATGTAGTTACTATGCCACTGATAATGTAGCCACTACGCCACTGATAATGTAGTTACTACATAAATTATAATATAGTTACCATGCCTCTGATAATGTAGCTACTACGCCACTGATAATGTAGCCACTACACCACTGATAATGTAGTTACAACATCAATTATAATATAGTTACTATGCCTCTGATAATGTAGTTACTACACCACTGATAATGTAGCCACTACACCACTGATAATGTAGTTACTACACCACTGATAATGTAGTTACTACGCCACTGATGATGTAGTCACTACGGCACTGATAATGTAGCCACTACGCCACTGATAATGTAGTTACTACATAAATTATAATATAGTTACTATGCCTCTGATAATGTAGCTACTACGCCACTGATAATGTAGTTACTACGCCACTGATAATGTAGTTACTATGCCACTGATAATTTAGCCACTACGCCACTGATAATGTATCTTCTTTGGTTCTTTCGGTAAAGTCACGTAGAATGAGAATAAAATAATAAATTGATAAAATAAAATAACACAATAATATTCTCACGACGTTTCGGCCACAACACAAGCGGCCTTCATCAGGTGAAGGGAGCGAGACTGTCTGGTAGGACAGCGCTGGAGTGAGAGAGCCACGTTCAGATCACGGCTTTTAAGCTGTGTGAGAGGAACAAAGAGCCTTAGAGTCGCGGCATCTCTTCAGAAAGGTGAGAGACTCGATTAGTTGAGCCTTCTTATCCCGAAGTCTGTTGAATGATCTTAAGGATGTGTGGAATCCCTCCCCGTAGAGGCGGTTAAATTTCGATTTAAAGCTTTCGTGACTGCAATGATTTAAATCGAAATTTAACCGCCTCTACGGGGAGGGATTCCACACATCCTTAAGATCATTCAACAGACTTCGGGATAAGAAGGCTCAACTAATCGAGTCTCTCACCTTTCTGAAGAGATGCCGCGACTCTAAGGCTCTTTGTTCCTCTCACACAGCTTAAAAGCCGTGATCTGAACGTGGCTCTCTCACTCCAGCGCTGTCCTACCAGACAGTCTCGCTCCCTTCACCTGATGAAGGCCGCTTGTGTTGTGGCCGAAACGTCGTGAGAGTATTATTGTGTTATTTTATTTTATCAATTTATTATTTTATTCTCATTCTACGTGACTTTACCGAAAGAACCAAAGAAGATGAATCATTGCAGTCACGAAAGCTTTAAATCGAAATTTAACCGCCTCTACGGGGAGGGATTCCACACATCCTTAAGATCATTCAACAGACTTCGGGATAAGAAGGCTCAACTAATCGAGTCTCTCACCTTTCTGAAGAGATGCCGCGACTCTAAGGCTCTTTGTTCCTCTCACACAGCTTAAAAGCCGTGATCTGAACGTGGCTCTCTCACTCCAGCGCTGTCCTACCAGACAGTCTCGCTCCCTTCACCTGATGAAGGCCGCTTGTGTTGTGGCCGAAACGTCGTGAGAATATTATTGTGTTATTTTATTTTATCAATTTATTATTTTATTCTCATTCTACGTGACTTTACCGAAAGAACCAAAGAAGATGAATCATTGCAGTCACGAAAGCTTTAAATCGAAATTTAACCGCCTCTACGGGGAGGGATTCCACACATCCTTAAGATCATTCAACAGACTTCGGGATAAGAAGGCTCAACTAATCGAGTCTCTCACCTTTCTGAAGAGATGCCGCGACTCTAAGGCTCTTTGTTCCTCTCACACAGCTTAAAAGCCGTGATCTGAACGTGGCTCTCTCACTCCAGCGCTGTCCTACCAGACAGTCTCGCTCCCTTCACCTGATGAAGGCCGCTTGTGTTGTGGCCGAAACGTCGTGAGAATATTATTGTGTTATTTTATTTTATCAATTTATTATTTTATTCTCATTCTACGTGACTTTACCGAAAGAACCAAAGAAGATGAATCATTGCAGTCACGAAAGCTTTAAATCGAAACTGATAATGTAGTTACTACATCAATTATAATATAGTTACTATGCCTCTGATAATGTAGCTACTACGCCACTGATAATGTAGTTACTACGCCACTGATAATGTAGTTACTATGCCACTGATAATGTAGCCACTACACCACTGATAATGTAGCCACTATGCCACTGATAATGTAGTTACTACATCAATTATAATATAGTTACCATGCCTCTGATAATGTAGTTACTACGCCACTGATAATGTAGTTACTATGCCACTGATAATGTAGCCACTACACCACTGATAATGTAGTTACTACGCCACTGATAATGTAGTTCCTACACCACTGATAACGTAGTTACTACGCCACTGATAGTGTAGTTACTACGCCACTGATAATGTAGCCACTACACCACTGATAATGTAGTTACTACGCCACTGATAATGTAGTTACTACACCACTGATAATGTAGTTACTACACCACTGATAATGTAGTTACTACGCCACTGATAATGTAGTTACTACACCACTGATAATGTAGTTACTACGCCACTGATAATGTAGTTACTACGCCACTGATAATGTAGTTACTACACCACTGGTAATGTCGTTACTACGCCACTGATAATGTAATCACTACACCACTGATAATGTAGTTACTACGCCACTGATAATGTAGTTACTACACCACTGGTAATGTCGTTACTACGCCACTGATAATGTAGCCACTACACCACTGATAATGTAGTTACTACGCCACTGATAATGTAGTTACTACACCACTGATAATGTAGTTACTACATCACTGATAATGTAGTTACTATACCACTGATAATGTCACTACGCCACTGATAATGTAGTTACTACGCCACTGATAATGTAGTTACTATGCCACTGATAATGTAGTTACTACACCACTGATAATGTAGTTACTACACCACTGATAATGTAGTTACTATGCCACTGATAATGTAGTTACTACGCCACTGATAATTTCGTTACTACACCACTGATAATTTCGTTACTACACCACTGATAATGTAGTTACTACACCACTGATAATGTAGCCACTCCGCCACTGTGTGGGAGGGTCGCCCCTATTCTTCTGCCGCATCTCTTGACTTGATTTCCCATCCGCTAATCATCCACACTGCCTTTTCCCTCCTCTGCTTTTAGTTCAGGTGTGAGACCCTTTCTCCTCTGCTACAGCCATAATTTTATTTTCTGGCGGAAGGGCCTGCACTCGAGGGAGCTCTAGAGTGCCCAGCCTAGAGGGTATATTTGGCCTACTCTTTCACGCTGGCCAGATGTCTTGAAGGAGGTGGGAGTGCTCACACTTTACCTCCCCACACATACCCTGCCAAGTGACGAATTGTGTACGCATTTGCATGCTGGCTATATCGAGGCCTGGGGGATTTAAGAAGCCTGCCCATTTGTTGCGCGATGCAGTGGCCATCTCTGTTCGATAGTTTGCCAAAAGCTGCTGCGACGATGACCACAATTTGCATGACGGTTTGTGCTCCTTGACAAGATCAGTGAGGTGTTGTAGTTTATTTGTGCCAAGCACTTTGTGTGTAATGATATATATATTGTCAGCTTGCTTTATCAATTAATGTCTTATTCCAAGCTTAATGGTGTTATTATCAATGTCAGCATTATTTCTAAATGTAATGCACATATGAACGTGTTCTCTTCTGCAGGTCTGCATTGAATTTTGTCTGCTGAGAAGATCTGTTCCACCAATGTATCGGGCATGTTATCCTACAGTTTTTCTGATCATCTCTTCTGCTTCCTATTTAAAAAGCATGCTGCTCGTGCCCTGCCTAACCGAACTGTTCATAAAAACCCACTATGCATTTAGAAAACGAAAAAAATAAACAGACCTCCGTTTGTCTCTCCACATCAGATTAAGCATCAACACGTGGGCATATGGGCCAATTTTATCCGGCATCATTTGTATAAACCATGATTCTCTCACAACTGATGGTCCACTGTCCACGTGTGGCCAACCAAGATATTTGACCCAACAAGACCTCGCGGATAAGTGAGCTGTAGACAAGTGGCAGGGATTGCTGGTCACGTGTACAGATTGTATGACATCACAACCTCGCGTGACGTCGTAACGTACGGCCACGTGACCCGCCAGTGTGGCGCACGTGTGACAACGGGACTGGACTCTCCCTCGGCAGTCCAGCAGTGCTACATCAGCACAGGCGGATTGTATTACGTGGGCCACCGGCAAAAATTATATATACTTAAATAACCTCGGTATAAACGAATTATGGACTGGTTTTAATCTTCTGGGTCTCATCAGCAGATTTTGGTTTGTCAAAACGAATGCTGTAAGTCATGGGTTCCCAGATGTTGTTGACAAGAGCACTGCCATCTACACAATCGGGTCCTGTTCAACGCAATAAAAGCAACTGGATAACAATTGATTGTGTTGTTGTAGAACAATATGGGCTATAAAATACACAAGACCTCTATTTGTGTCGCCACAACAGTGTGCTACAACAGCATAAAATAGTGTCGTGTGGATTGCTTTATAAATTAACGTCCGTCTGTTATGTACGTGAATTATAAATGTACAGTATATATAATGTAAAGAGTTGAGAGAGAATTAACAATAAACATGATCCAAAAAAGATACTGGCTTGTGTGTTTCTCTTTAAAAGGTACAGAATGTGCGGCAAAGCGAAATATTTCCAGATCGCTACAATTGCAAATGACATTGCACTTTTAGCTATTGTTCCAATATGCCAACTTTACAAACAGCTTTTGCTTTTATAATTTAAATTGACAAAGAAAGAAGTGTGTATTTTATGTGTCCATTATTGTATTGCTCGTGGTCTCTAAAAGAGTTGTACAAACATAGTTTGAATATTTGATGTTAAAATGTATAGTTCCGGTTTCTTTTTCTGACTGTGGCATTACAGAATTAAGAAAGCTTTGGCCAATTGCCAACATTTAACAACGCAAGTTTCACCTTGTATAGAGGGGTCATTGTAGTTATAAGTTGGCTCTTGAATTTAGTCTGATTAGTTGGCAATGTTTATGAAGATATGTAGTCCCTAGACACTAGCTCAGCGCTCCTCAACCTTTTTGGCACCAGAAACCGGTTTCGTGGAAGACAATTTATTCACGGACCGGGGGTCGGGGGTCATAATTGGACCTTTCCCCCTTTTCAAAGAAGCTCTCCAGCGACGTTGGTTTTTAACTCATTTTGGCTACTAGGGGTTAGAGCTTGTGGGCTTACCAAGACTCTGACTGAGACAAGTGCGCAGTGCGGGAAAGAGGTGCGGACGGAAGTGGAAAATAATAAAATAATGGGGGCTGGCCACGCGTGGACTCAGCGCTCTCACCTCCTGCTGCTGTGCGGCCCGGTTCCTAACAGGGGTTGGGGACCCCTGCTCGAGCTTATTTACGAAACATTTTTATTTTATTATTATGGTGTGTTATTTTGTCCCCGGTAATATTGGCGATAAAATACTTTCAGGCTGTCTGCCTCCACTACTGTCAGAGCACCTTCTGCAAACTGTGTTCAAATCAAGATTGTGTTTATGCTGTATCGTTGAAATGCGTTCCGTCTCTATTGATCTCTGCAATAAAAAATGTTACTGGCAGCTCTGTGTAGCCACTTCGTCAATCAACTGCTGGATGAAGGCCTCCCGTGCCTTTCTAAGTCGTGGCGGTTGTTTGACCATACTTCACCACGACGGTCAATGCGAGTTGCTGAAGGAGGAGGGGAGAGGAGTCCCAGGGTGGGTTCAGATATAGCAACTCGTGGCCGGCAATCGACCTGGAATCGCGGGGGTTCATAGCGCAGCTGCGCGTTCACCGCTGCGCCACTGAGCCACCATGTGACCAGCAAACACACGTTGCTGTCCACGGTACGCAAACAATGCCTCATTGTTACGCATCATTGACGCTGCCCCCATACCCAGGATGGCCAGCGGCATACTCATTACATTGATCCACAGGCCCCTCGCCGTACAATCACTCCACGCACGGGAGCTGAATGTTCTCGTTTCTGAGTCTGCCAGCAGAATTGCCGCCACTTATCGCAATTATCCTCCCCCCTCCTCCTCCTCCGTACGCACAATGCAAATGACGGCATTTGAGATGTGCACGCGGTCGTCCGCGGCGCGTTCGCGTCCAACAAACAACAAACCCACGAGGCTATTGTTGGTCGCTCGCGACAATCTCTTAAGTGACTCACGCCACATGGGGGTGGCATTGTTGAAACGGCACAAAAGGGTTGACAGTGTCGTGGCACTAAAAATGCGGTGACGCCAAAAAAAAATTGAAGAGTCGATCCGAGTTAGTTGAGCGCGAACAAAGCCAGATAATCTCTCTGCAAGTCGATGTGCTTGTGTCGTGTTGACCTTTAGCTACATAAAAAAAACAACCTTCCCGTCGTGCTGATAATGCATTAAGTTGAAAAAGTATTAAATATGTGACAAAAATGTGACGTTGTTTTAGATGGTTTGGTGATGTTGCATGTAGACAGCTGATGGGTTGTTAGAACCAGGGTCGGATTAAGTTTTATGGGAGCCTAGATTTGTTATAGTTTTGGGGACCGTTTGTAAATCATCTTACTGCCAAAGAATCCATCGTCATTCACCTTAGTTATTTCACTTATTTTATTCACGTGACATGTGAATTGTAAATCTAATTTTAAGCTTAAACAAAACTATATTCACACTTTAACAAGATTACGTACTACTTTTACTATGTTTATTCTACCAGGTTAGGCCCACTGAGCTACATAGTTATTTTTCAGAAGCGACCTCGCCACAAATAATAGCTCACCAAAGTGGCTTATCACGTGGACATTTATAGCGGCCAATTACTCGAAACGCGCGTTTCTAAACGTGAAGGGGAAAACCGGAAGACCCGGATAAAAATCCCCACGATCACAGGGAGAACATGCAAACTCCGAATATATCCAACCCACGACCTCTTGTATAGCAAGCGAGGGAGTTAAGATCTCATCACCGGCGCCCCTAACTGGAAGTGATGAAAATGAAAAACGTGCCTTTAATTGTCAAATTACCTACAGGACGTATCACTGTAAAAATTGCAATGCGTTGTAGGGGATATAAAATTCAAGGCCCTGGACTGCACCCCCTAAAACATCTCCATTAACCTGACCCTTGTTTGACTTCAGCTAAAATCTTAAACTCAAAATAGCACCGCTTTGGATTGACGTTAGATTGCCCTATAACATCGTGCCCTTAATATAAAACTGATGAACAAACGCATAGAAACGAGGATCTACGCTGAATTCATATATGCGATGTAAAACACAAATGTACAAGTGTCAATTATTTTATACAGTATTACAATGCAGTCGATTAAGTATGATGGATGTATGATTTAAAATGGAATGGCTAGATGGTTTGATAGATGTGTGAATAGACCGATAGGCAGATGGATGGATGAATGGATATGCAGTTTGATGGATGTATGGATGATGAATATATTAATGGATTGGTAGATAGATGGATTAATGCTTTGATATATTTATGCATGGATATTAATATTAGATGGGTGAATATATTTATGGATGCATGAATGAATATTCAGTTCGATCGATAGATGCATGCATGAATATGTGTATGGATGAATACGTAAATGGCTTGAGACGGATGGGTTGATTGATATAGATGGGTGTATAGACGGATAGATAAACTTTCATGGATTGATGGACAAATATGTATTTTAGTTAGATAAATTGGGTGAATATGGATGAATATATAACTAATTTAAGGTGCATGGATAAATTGCTGCATGCATGGATGGATACAAATTTTCATGTATCGAAGAGCAGATAGTGGATTTGATGTATGTATGGATATATTGATGGATATACAGTAATGTATTCATGGATGGATGGTTTTATAAATGGATAGATGCATGATAATCTTGATTTGAAGCTTTCGTGACTGCAGGAATCCATACTCTTTGGTTCTTTCGGTAAAGTCACGTAGGTGGAAATAAAATAAAACACGTGACTTTACTGAAAGAACCAAAGAGTATGGATAGATGCATGCTTTGATAGCGTCTGACGGGTAGTCAACGCAACTATCCGCATATATCTACCAAACATTAATTTACAGCACCTTATACGGTGCCCTTTATGAGATCGTTGGCTTCGGGGCTAACACCATTGTGAAGACTCACACCCCCCCCCCTCCCCCCTAAAAGGAATACAGGACATTCATTATTTCCCCCCCCAACACCTGTGACCAACGCAGGCGTTTCCCAGTCGTGATGAACCCGGGGTATTGTCCCGATTAAAACGGCATGCAAACAATTGTTCAACGACGTGAGCTTTACCGAGCACCACTTACGCACACCGCCCCCTCCCTGCCTCCCCCTCCCCCCCCCGTCTTCGCTTAAAAGGGGACCGTGAACCCCACGCGCATTTGTATCTCGCGGGGATTGTCTCGTTCAATCGCTTGGACCTATTGTGCGCAACCGCCGACCTTCCCTTGAACGCGCCACCGCCGAAAGAGCGTTTCGCGAAGGATCGCACAAAGGGTGCGTGGAATTCGCGCAAGCGAGAACGTCTTCTGGGCAGGGAGTAACGACAGCTCTGCCACTGGACGTTGTGCCAGACCGCAACGCGTCCTGTGTTACGCGAAATCGAGACGAGATGGATTTTGACAATGTCCTATGGGGCCGTCCATAAATGACGTCACGCGATTTTGGACGATTTTTGCCCCCCCCCCCCCCCCCTAGTCACACGGCGTCACAAAAAGTCAGACCCCCCCCTCAAATATGACGTCACAAAGCTCTGCCCCCCCCCCCCAAAAAAAACATGCTTCAAATCGCTTTAAACTATTGTCATTGTAGTGCGTATTTAATATGCCGCTGCACTCTGATGTTGTAGGAGAAAACATTTATTAAAAAGTCTATTTAATTAAGTAGAACGTGTTGTCTATATTTATTTAAAGTTGCGCATTTTGGTGTGACGTCACATTCCCCCCCCCTCGTCACACATCGTCACAAATGTCTGACCCCCCCCCCCCCAGGTGCGTGACGTCATTTATGGACGGCCCCTATACCCGTGACATTCATACGACCGCCACTTATAAGGCTATGACGGTGATACCTTGCAATGTCTCTCCTCGATTACGAACATCAACATTTCTAATCCAGAACGTGGGAATTGCAACTCGTGGGCGCGTCTTGAATCGCAACATTGAATCCCTGTGCCCATGCTTCCATGGGCACAGGGATTACGTTCTTGAATGGTAACGACAAGGTGGTTTCTGAGTGTATGTTAGAGCTATTAACCGACCCACTTCCTCTCTCACAAGTCGATGGATTATCGAGATTCTCGGCTGCGATTCAAATGAAGAAATGTGTCCATTTTGTCGAATTTCTATTACCTCCTTTACAATTATTTAAAAAAATATATTTCCCCATTTAATTTGTGAAGTTCTGTCTGCGCTGTTAGCCTAAATGTAAGATTGTCATGTGATTTATATGTAATTTGTATAAATAATGACAATTTGATTCTGAAAGCATGCATCATGATGTGTAGCAATCGATTTAAATGTAGAAACCGATGCACCGTTACATGCACTGGACTGCACATTGACTTGTATGATTATTTTTGGGAAAATAAAATAATGGGCTGGAGAAGTGGCGCAGGTGAATGGAGCATTGCACTATGAACCGTGTAACCTGAGTTTGATTCCTGGCCATGGCCATCGAACAAAGACGGTCACCGCATCGCGTGCTTTCAGATGCGCTTCTGCGGCCGTCTGGAACGCTCTTCCTTACGATATTAGGAAGCCATTGAGGCTTTACACCCTTAAATCATCTAGATTGAAAAATAATTTCTTTAGAACTGCTTTTTGTGTTTAGTTTGTTGTCCTTCCCCGGCACTTCCGATTAGCATGGTTGGCTACGTACGGTGTGAAAGAGGTTCAACATACATACAAACATCAGTGGCGAGCGATATCAGAACCGGTCCTGGGCTACCCTCCCCCCGTACCTTCACTAACCCACACTGTGCAGCGTGGTAAAGTATGGTCATGGTGTGGCGTTACCTTAATTAGTAGTGGATTGAGGAAAAGGTGCTGAGTACAACATACACAAACTTGATACACACTTGGCACGTTATATCCGTTCATGTTTAACTTCTTTCGCGTCATATGTAGCCGACCGTGCTAATCGGACAACAAACTAATCAGTAAAATACATTCCAAAAGAAATGGGTTTTAAAGTTCTAAAGAAACGAGTTACGGACTTACAGAATTGAGCAATCAATATTTTATGATGAACTTGATAAACATTTTATTTTATTCATAAACGAGCACATTGCTCAAAGGCATAACAGTGTAGGTAATAGTCCTAATGTCTCGAGATCAACCTCCTTATCAGATACTTAAAAAAATCACTGCATAGTCGCAACTAATAAATATCAAATACCATTATTCTTCCCAAAATATCACAACTTGGACACAGGCTGCTGAACTTGACTTCTCTTGCATAGCGACGCATATTTGTCAATGTTTACCAACATCTCCCGCTCAGATTCACGCGAAGAACGCAATACCCTTGGCGTGGGATACCCTTGGCGACGACTCATCCTCTGACGTTGCGATTCGGTCATCGGGTGGGGGAGTCACTCACGAAATAATGAAACGACACCGACCCATCCCCCCCCCAAAAAAATATATATCCCACTAAGATCTCAGAAGACAAACGATTTCGCGTGGGGATGTCCCCTCCCGTTTTTTTTTCTCGAGCATAAATACCGAGCTCCCACCACCCACAGGCTCGCGAAAGACTCGGCTAGCCTGGCAGCAAGAAGGAGCCGGGCACGCAGACATTGCAAACTGTGCCGCTAACCCCTTGCACGTGAACACTCGGCTGCCGGTGTGCATACGGTCACAAACGTCGCGACGAAAAGTCTCAACGCGGAATTGTCATTGCCGCAGCCTCGAAGAAGAAGCAGGGCAGTAATGGGGCCCGTGAAGTCTCTCGTATTCCTGTTCATTCTTTATGTTAGTCTCAGGTAAGTTGGCCTCTTGTTCAGAATGCTACTGCTGTGATTGATGTAACTTGCACACATCAGTTTTGTGAAAATAATTTCTGGTTATTTCCCATTGCATGTCATACTATTACTGTATGTTTTAGTGTACTGACTGATGTCTTTTATTGAACTAATATTTAATTTCCCCACAGGGAAGCAGAATGTCACCTCACAGCTGGCGGGTAGGCTACATAATATTACTCTTCTTTGACGCTTTAATCGGACTCATAGCTTTGTACATTTCCTTAAATTGTAAAACACAGTGTGTCCTGTCGAAACGCCAAGACAACCTTCACTCTGTGGGAGGTCTCTTCTTCTCTGCTGCTGCCCCTGTAGCTGCAACTCCCTTCCACCAGTCAGACCCTGGTCCCTGATCAAGTCCACACTCGAGACTTTCCTCTTTTCCTGTCTCCTCTGTCTGACTATAGTCACCCTATATCTGTTTAAAGTTCAAGTTTCTGTGTCTTAGTTTCCAAATCTGTGCTGTGTTCAATCCGGAGGTAATCTGCCCGAGCAATATGATCAATTCCGAGTTGGATACAGTTTCTATTATTTTGGTTCTGATGTTTCTTTTGCCACTTTGGTCACCCAAGTCACTCTTGCGGATGGTCTCTTGAGTTGTCACCTGGTGAAACTAAATCGGCTTGAACTTAATTGCCTTGCTCTTAAATTACGTCTTCGAGAATGTGCATGTCCACTGATTTTTTTTTCCAGCTTGTTAAGAAGCAGTTTAATTCGGGCACTAAAAGTGCCAAACGGTAACCAATTGTAACTGTGACACCCCATTGCTACGCTTGGACGTGTGCTTTATAAGTTGTGTTTTTTTTCTGTTTAATATCTCAGGAAAGGTGTCTGTACCAGCACCACAACAGCCGTGCAGGCCTACATTGGATATTACAAGAGCTACTTGGGGTTCGCTTGCACTAACACATTTTACGCTACACAGAAAACACTGCGCTGTCATCGTATGCAGTCTTCAACAGGGCGTCACGCAAATTATGATGTATGCTGAACTTCTTTCACACCGTACGTAGCCAACGTAGCCCAACGGTGCTTGCCGGAGGTACGAAAACTTAAGGGAAAAACAAAACTTCGGGACCCACTGAATGTATCAAATGTACCATATTTTGCATATGATAGTTGTGCAGTTATAGAAGCTGTCCTCGTGCTATGGATTTGGTTTACCGTGATGCATTTTAAGGAGGCGCGGTAGAAAGAGGTGGCTGAGTGCCTGAGTAGTCAAAGCAGTGAGTCGACACCACTGAGCTCCTGGTTTGGAATCGCGAGTTAGCCGTCCGCGATTAAAATGCCTTCTCTTGTTCAGTGAATTGATCGTCTCGGGGCCTGTCGCCAATCACTGCAGACAACATTTCACATCGCGTTACATTTCGATCTGCACTCACTTGCATTGCAACATTTCTCAGTGGATGTTGATTTTCCCATTTATTTTCAGAGTTGTAGTTTCCAAGACCATGTACAGGATTGTACAGGTCACGGACTACCAGTGCTGCCCTGGGTGGTTTCCGAGCGGAGATAATTGCCCGATATGTAAGTAACTTTCTACATGTAACAATCTACCTGGAACATTATGATTATTAAGAGGTGGCTGAGTGACAGGGTGATTGGGTGGCTGGATGGCAGCGTGGCTGGGTGGCTGAATGGTTGGGCGACAGGGTGGTTGGGTGGCTTGGTGGTTTGGTGGTTGAATTGCTGGGTGGTTGGGTGATTGTATGACTGGGTAGCTGGTTACCTGCGTGACTGGGTGGCCAAGGTCTTGAGTTCGACTCCAGTTTTAAGTGATTAAACTGGGTTATCAAATGTAGCGAGTTGAAGTTTTCAGCACAGTCACCCAATGACGACAAAAGAAGGAGCACTTCTCTGACACGGGGTGGTGCACTGTTAGCTGTGATCGTTGTGATGGAGACGTCTTCATCTCATGGAATAATACTGATAGCATATTTATAAGATAATTAACAATAAAATACCCTTTAATGGACACGAACACCATTATACAATATTTTATAAGAAATTAAAGGTACAGTTGTTCACCATATAAACTTTGTGTTGTGACCATTCAGACGTTTAGTCTTCCGATGAAAGCGCATTTAAAATGTTTAAGAAGTTCATAAACAATGTTCACGCTTCACGTGACGAATCTGTAAATGTCTTTGTTTAATCCACAGTTGCATGCTTGGATAACTGTCTGAACGGGGGATCCTGCGTCAGTAACAACACGTGCCTTTGTGTTCCTGGCTTCACGGGGAGTGTCTGCCAAACCGGTAAGAGGGTCAAAGCTTGAGAATTAAGTACTTCCAGCCAGAATAATTTGCTTTAACTCATATTATTTGGACACGTCCGCGTGCATTTTGCCTTAATTGTGTCCTCATTGTACCCGACATTCACAAAAAACCCTTTTCGTAGGGGTATTTTTGGAGTTTGCACGTTCTTCCCGTGGTTGCGTGGATTTTTCTCCGGGTCCTCCGGTTTTTCCCTCCACATTTGGAATCAACAACGTGCGTTTAGATTATTCGGCTCCTGTACGTTTCCACATGATAAGCCACTTCGTTGGGCTATCAAATATGGCCAGGTTGCTTTTAAAAAAAAGAGCTGTATGGCTTAGAGACCTTTTCTGGTAAAAAAAAGTGTAATCTATTACTCATAAATGTACCTCGTAGTCGAGTGGTAGTGCCTTACACCAATAATCCCTTCTCCAAGCCGGCCCAGCCAGCATTCTCGCAACAATGAGAGTGAGAACTGAAGCCCTGCTTACAACCTGAATGTATCACATTGAGATTACATCATAACAATTACTTGTGCCCTTGTCATTGTCTTAACATCATCACCATGACAATGGATGTCAGGCCCATTGTCTTTAGCGCAAACGGATACAATGTAATCGGCATTCTCTATTCCTACAAATAGTCATTGTATATTAAGTCGGGATGTTTATCCTGCCTTCTTCATTCACACATTATCAACACGGATGCAATTGATACCAAAAGGAAGCTGCTGATCTCTAGTTGTGACATTCAGATATTCAAATGTATAGCACATGTAGTTCAATAAATCTCCGTATATATAAAAGGCAAAGTTGTGAATATGTGTGTCAATACAAAATGTTTAGCGTACTTCCCGACATGCAACAAACTTGAAATTTGCCATGTGGGTACTTTCCAGACTGTACACCATGCACAAATTATAAAAAATACACTTTATATATATTTTTGGGGGGGGAGCTCAAAAATGCATATATATTTTTTGCACGGCAAGTGAGCTGTGACGTCAAATCTGTCATGTGACCCGCGCATGTGGAAGCGTAACGCGTTGTAGTGTAGCGGTTAGCGCGCCGCGTTACGAACCCGGCGACCCGAGTTTGATTCCCGCTAACGGCCACCACCGGTGACGATTATTTTAACCGGTCCTGGGCCTCCCCTAGGTCGACTCAGCCTCAAACGAGTAACTGGTGTGGTGTGTGAACATCGCCATTGGGGAGACAAAGGCGGCCGAGCGTGGTGAATCCAAGTCCCGGGCGAAGCCGGGTAGTACAGCTAGTGTGATAATAAAAGCCCATTCTTTGGAATCACAACAAATGACATAAAAAGAACAACACTGCACCCCTTACTCCCACACACTCTCAGGACATATTTACAATTCCGACAATTCAGTGTAAACACCAAAGGCTATAAGAGAGCCAAGCTAATGCAACTTTTCGAAGATATTAAGAGTACTCTTTGGTTCTTTCGGAAAAGTCACGTAGGTAGAAATAAAACAAAATAAATCACTGTAAGAACCAAAGAGTATGGATTCCTTCAGTCACGAAAGCTTTCAAATCAAGATATCAAGAGTAGCGGGAGAATCATCTCAAACCGTTCCGCGAGGCTTCCTTGTTTTACCGCTGCCATCGTGATACCCATTGCAAACTCCTTCTACCGCAAAGAACTGGATATAGTGTATTCTAGATTTGAAGCTTTCGTGACTGCAAGGATCCATAATCTTTGGTTCTATTCGGTAAAGTCACGTAGGTAAAAAAAATCACGACGTTTCGGCCACACCTTTTAAAAGGTCGCGGTCTGAGCTTGGCTGTGTTCACTCCAGCGCTGTCCTCGAGACAGTCTGGTCCCTTCACCTGATGAAGGCCGCTTGTGTTGTGGCCGAAACGTCGTGATTTTTGTTGTTTTATTTTTTACCTACGTGACTTTACCGAATAGAACCAAAGAGTATGGATATAGTGTACGCAAAAAAACTAGTTAAAAACATTCTCTAAACTTTTTTTTTATTTTACCAAGTAAGGCCCGCGAAGCTATATAGCTCTTTTTCAGAAGCGCCCTGGCCACAAATGATAGCTCAACGAAGTGGCTTATCACGTGGAAATTTATAGCAGCCAAATACTCCAAACGCACGTTGATTCTAAATGTGGAAGGGAAAACCCGAGGACCCAGATAAAAATCCACACGACAACGGGGAGAACATGCAAAAACTCCCAAGTTTACAGGCGTCAATGTCGAGATTGGACCTACGACCTCCAGTATACCGGGCGAGGAAGTTAACATCTCGCCACCGTGCCGCAATTTATGGGCTATGAGCTTTATACATAAACACGTGTCTATATCTCAAACATGTACGTCATTATCTGTTATGTGGTAGTGTAGCGGTTAGCACGCTGCGCTACGAACCTGACGACTCGGGTTCGATTCCCGCTCACGGCGAAGACCAGTGACGATTATCTGAACCGGTCCTGGGCCTCCCCTAGGTCGACTCAGCCTCAAATGAGTACCTGGTGCGATGTGTAAACATCGCCGCTAGGGAGACAAAGGCGGCCGGGCGTGGTGTTGGCCACCCACCCCCTCGCGTGTGCCGTGCCGTCCTTTATAGGTCCTCGCTAACAGCACTTGCCCCTACATTCTGTTCAGGCTATACGGGGGATCTTTGTCTTTTTTTGCGTGAAACATATGATAATGCTGTGGCTAATGGATGACCTCGCCTACATAACCCCAACACGCTTTGCGATATTCCCTTCTGAGTGAGCAGATGTCGATGAATGCGCGCTCAAGCAGAGCCAGTGCAGCCAGAGCTGCAGGAACACGGAAGGCTTTTACACTTGCGGATGTCAGCAGGGCTACGTGCTGGCGGCGGACGGCTTCACCTGCGTGGGTACGCATCCGCAGAATGTGCGCACCGAAGAAGAGTGTTGGAAAGGGCAGAGATGAGACGTTCTGATAATGGATGTTATTTGGGATATCTCTAAAGGAAAAAGGAGGCGGAATGAATAAATTACAGCCTAAGCCTGGGCGAACGGAAATTCTTGCCAAGGTCAGAGGGGTGAGACAACGATGGCTCGAACACATGTTGTATGCATGTGAAACTTCATTCGCACCGTACGTAGCCAACGGTGCTAATCGGAGGTGCATGAGGAGTACTACACTCTAAATCCAGAATGCAGTTCGAAAGAAATTAGTTTTAAATCTAGATGATTTAAAAATGCATAGCCGCAGCGACTTCCTACTATCGGAGGAAAGAGCGTTCCAGACGGCCGCAGAAGCGCACCTGAAAGCACACCACGCAGTGAAGAGACAAAAAAGATGTCGAGAGGAGACAGATAAGATGAGATGATGATGACTGTTTGTGTTACAGTCGAAACGTCGTGAGCATTTTATTGTTTTATATATTTTTATTATTTTATTGTTTCCCTTCAACGTGACTTTACCGAAAGAACCAAGAATTTGAATCACTGCAGTCACGAAAGCTTTAAATACAATTTTAAATCAAAAGATAAAATGCTCTTAGACGGGCTACGGAGATGTCACCAGTGTAGGCCAGAAGGAACTGAGGGAGCCCAAGGATGAGATTGGGAAGGATCTGGTGAAAGCAACCTTGCTCTTCACGTGTAGCGAACGTCACCGATGACGCCTCGTATGTAAATAGAGGTGAGTGTAATGTCTAATGTGTGTGTTTGTGTCTTGTGGTCTGCCAGATGTGAACGAGTGCCTCCCTGGTAACGGCAATTGCTCGCACACGTGCGTCAACACGGAGGGCGGATGGTCGTGCCAGTGTCCCGAAGGATTTGTTTTGAACAAAGACGGTCTCACCTGTACAGGTACGATATACATACCTGTCAACCCCTTAGCAGTGCCTACCTTAGTACAGACCAATTCAAACCGTATTGATAACAACCGTGCCCTTAGAAATCTCAACGTCCATCCTACAAAGTCCCATCACAAGGGACAAACACAAACAGAAAAAAATTAAATGGCCCATATTTAAACGGCTGTACGCCGTACGGACCTGAAAACCCAATTTCCCTGTACAAGAATACGGGGTAAACCGTATGAGTTGACAGCTATGGATATATTTTCGTGCTAACCATTTGCAATTATTAATCAACGGCGAGTTCAAGATAAATACAAGTAAATGGACAAATACGGAAAATTAATTTGGTTGTCTCTTCAGTGCAGGGGGGGGGGGTGGGAGTGTTCGTGCGTTGGTTTGCTGAATTATGAACCCAGCAACCCGAGTTCAATTCCCAGCCGTGGCTAACGTGAGTGGCGAGTGATATCTCAAATGGCCCTCGGCCCCCTAACTCCTCCACCAACCCAGTGAGGGTTTGGTGAGGGAAATGGACGCCCAATGGGTCTACGCGAGACGCATTTCAAATGTCCTTCGCATCGCCTTGTCTCTTTACCCGCCCTGCAGAAGGTACTGTGAAAGGCGCTGTGAGGTTGTGCATTGTGGGTATTTGCTTTGTGACCTGAGTACAAATGCCAATCGCAAGTCGAACAGTGAAATAAACGTTTGCATTCATTGACGCAGACGTTCAGCGTGGAGAGTCGAATGCGTTCAATGCATAAAAAAACAGAAGTTCCCAAATATTTGTGGTAGGTTGGTCCTCATATCAAGACCACTGGTTCCCGTGCCTCCTCCCTTCCCTCACATTCTCCCCCAGCCCTCCCCTCCAAATTACAACTAAGGTCACCGAGGCCACAATGCGGAGACATCGCATGTCCACGGCATCAGTCAGCGTGGTGTTAACAAAGGCGTATGTTTAATGCCCTGCATCAGTGCCCTTTGCCACCGCAGCTACGCGGCGCTGACGTTTGCCGATCACATTTTTATTTTTGTCCTGCACGGTATCCATGCCTCAGTCTGCGCCACACCCACGCCACCCCCCCCCCCCCCCCCCCCGGCCTTTGAGAGGCAAGACGGGGACGGCCCAAATGTTGAGAACATATTCATTATTCCGCTTGTTCCCCAGGAAAGCCTCACCGAGTCTCTTGACTCTCTTTCAGGAGGATCCTGCCAAACGTTTAGTGGTGGGGGGGGGGGGGGGGACGATTGCTGTGTATTGATTCTAATTGAGGAATTTGCAGGTCATTTTCAAATCTGTAAACATTTGGACCTTTTTATCGGCACACAGTGGCCTGCTCTCGTGAACGCCGCCGCGGGATCTTTAACACCCCCCGTAGAAGCAGACGGCGCGTATTTTTTTACATAAATACACCGGCAGAAATAACCAAAAGTGGCTGCTGGATCCGAACCGCTAGGCCATGTCACCAAAGACAAAGATCCCCTGTATAGCCTTAACAGAATGTTGGCACTGTTGGCACGGCACACGAGGGGGTGGGTGGCCAGCACCACACCCGACCGCCTTCGTCTCCCCAACGGCGATTGTTTTTATCCACCGCACCAGGTACTCATTTTAGGCTGAGTCGACCTAAGGGAGGCCCGGGCCGGTTCGGATAATCGTCACTGGTGTTAGCCATGAGCGGGGAATCGAACTTGGGCTGCAAGGTTCGTAGTGCGGCATGCTAACTGCTAACGCCACCGCTCCCCATGTCACCACCACCTCTATGAGCAGTGCCGGATTATCCGAGTAGCAAAAGTAGCTACACATGCTACGGGCCCCGCACTTTCAAGTGCCCCGCGCTAAACACATTCCTGCGGAGGGAGCTGGTAGGCACGTTGGGTTGCTCGGTCAATGGCCAAGGTCAACGGCGGCACCACGTGGTGTATTCCGCAAATATGCCCGACTGTGAGGGTGGGCACAAGCCGGCGTGAGTAGGTTAAACGTTGAGTTTTATAAGGGCACCACGGGGTGACCAGCCCCTCCCCATCCAGCCCCACCCCTCCCACCCCCCACCCAGCCCCACCCCTCCCACCCCCCACCCCCTCCCCACCCTCCCCTCCCCACCCAGCCCCTCCGCACCCTCCCCTCTCCACCCAGCCCCACCCCTCCCATTTTTAGATGCACGACGGACGGACGGACACAATAATCCCCTGTGGGCTGGTGTAACCAGGAGGTTCCTACCAGTAATACTTTTAAGCTATAAATGCTGGTTCAGTGAATCTGCACTTGCTCTATTACTATAGTACTATACCGCCTTCAAATTTTATGAACAACTGGGTGTTTAAGGTTAGCGATTTGTATTATCTGGCTGTATAGCAAATGAAAAAAAAAACAATCAGTTTACTTCATTTGTGTTTTAATATTTACGTGTTTTTTTATTTATGGCCCCTTTATAACATATGCTACATGCCCCGCACTAGCTTAATCCGGCACTGTCTATGAGCAACGTATTGGGGGGGGGTGGGGGACATGCCACTCAGGAGGGCCGGCGATGGTCAAAATGCATCCTCGCGTTTGCTGTTTGCCGTTGCCGCAGATGTGGACGAGTGTGCGGCCAACACGGACAAGTGCATGCAGCGGTGCAACAACACGCTCGGCTCGTACGCCTGCAGCTGCGACGCCGGATACACGCTTTCTGAAGATGGGCAGAGCTGTGTCGGCAAGTTCCTTGTGCGGCGTGACGCCGTTGTGTGTGTGTTTTTTTTTATATACGGCACCCTCGTGTACGCCGGCGGCGTCTTTCGGAGAACTTCACGCCGCATCTCATCGCAACGCGCGTTCAAAAGGGCACCCCCAGTGGCAGTTTTTGGGGTACACGTTTCTGGGTACAAGTATAGTGCAGTTGTCATTGGTAAAGGGTTTTAACTACTAATGGATAACTGTCCATACTTCCATTTAAATATATTGATCTTGAACCATCCTTAAAATATATTTATTAAAAGGGCCGTAAGGTGCGCAGTGCAGTCTCCAACTATTATTCACTCAATCACTCTGTCCTAACCATCTATATTTTGAATCAAGGCCATTACCTGAAACGCCACCTGTTATATGTTCCTCTTTAGAGCAGTGTTATTGACGAACATTTTTTGGGTTTTTGTTGTTGTTTTTTCGCGTCACTGCTTCTCATATTTAAGATGCTTCTGTTTTCTTTGCGAAGATGTGGACGAGTGCTTGCTTAAGACTGCCGGATGCGACACGGGCTGCGTCAACGACGTGGGCACTTATTACTGCTCTTGCAATTCGAGTAGCTACAGACAAGGCTCCAGAAATAGCTCGTGTGCAGGTACGTGGTGCGACATGCAGTCAACGTGAGACATTTTTATCGATTCCGTGTCACGTTTTGTGCTCTGATTTTAGTAACAAGAGTAATACAACCTGACTAACTTACCGAGAGTGCGGCCGACCTTGTCGGATCTTGGAAACCGAGCCTGAATAGTGCTCTCTTCTAACACCTGTTTTCCCATGCCCCCACCCCGCCACCACCTCATCCCTTCACATCAAGATGTGAACGAGTGTCAGCTGTACCCGGGCTTCTGTGAGGTCAACTGCACCAACACCCTGGGCAGTTTCAAGTGCTCCTGTAAAGCTGGCTTCACTGTGGCCCAAGACGGCCACAGCTGCATTGGTAGGGCTGCAGCACACTCCACGGTGGCATGCTCACGGATTGTCCAGAGGGGGCCCAACGCTTGGTTGGGAACGAAACGCACAAGTGGACCCTCAAGTCTAATAATTCCATTTTCCCATGAAGGATCACCCAGAGGGTTTCCAGAGGCTCAGGGCTGGAGGGCCCCGGGACGGAATGTAATGTGTGGGCCCCCATCATTCATGAGTGAGGAAAGCAGCCGGTTGTAGGGCCCTCTTTTGTGTGAAGCCTGGGGCAAAATTCGCAATTTTGCCCCCTCCAGACCCCACCGCCCCTGTCCGGATGACCCAACCCAGTTCCCATGACCATTGAGAAGCAATCCAGTCGAGTGCGCAGTATTGGTGGGCCTGGCCAGCGTTCGCACAGTAGCCTTCGCGTGCTAAGCTGGCACCAACTGGGCCATATGCATCTGTTAATCTGGGCCTCGTGGCTTACTTTGCTGCTTTGCTGAGTCAGCTACACTCTCTTAGCCAGGCCACCGTCGACAGCAGTCACGACGTTGCAGGACCATTGCTTAAGAGAGGGCACGCGGTGCTTGCCACTTGTTGGGGAAGCCCACTTCAAGACCATGTTTCTTTGTTTTAGTGCAAATATTGAATATTGGCTAGAAAATTCAAACATAATAGCCGATCACTGTTTGGGATGACATAACCTAAAGAGAAACAAATGTTAAATGTTGAAATAAAATGTGTACTGTATCATTCATTACGGACATTTGTTTGCACGGAGAAGGAGGAAGGGGGCGGAGGAGATGGAACAGCGGCGGCTAAGCCCCCTTGAGTCACTCTGGTCTTGGAGCGTTGGGGCAAGAAGCTCGTCGTGCGTGCCGCTTTTGGAGCAGACCAGAGCAGCTTGGCTACGTTTTTCACTGCTGGTGGAACCGTGTCAAGAGCGGACCTGCGGGCTCATGTGGGAGCCTTTAAAGAATGGGAGCACATACCAATGATCATTATGAGTTGCAACTCAGTCACCCTGTCCCACAGTTTGTTGGATTTTGTGGAAAAATTACCAAGCACTGAATTCCCCTAATTTTATGGCCAATCAAGCCATGTTGTAATTTAAGCCACTCCCATATTCAAGCATCCAAGGCTTGAAATCTCACTAAACATTTACCGGGTCACTGCTCAACCGGAATAGGTACGTGGCAAGTAACTCCAGTCATAACAAGATGTATACTGGATGTGGTGTGCTGGGCATAGAAATATTTTTTTTCCAGATCACTAATCCGGACATATCTGGCTGAAATGCAACGCTTAAAAAAAAGAAGGCATCTACTCATAAACTTTTCCACCGCCCCTTATTTTATTTAAGTCAAGGCTTGGCAGCGGCTGCCCTTCTGTCGTGGACGCCCAGTGACGTGATCCGATCGTGGTCTGATCGCAACGTGCGTTCGCCCCCCCCCCCCCCCACCGTGTGACACCACCGCTCCTCTGCCCGCGCTCGTTGTCTGCAGACGTGGACGAGTGCGCTGCCGGCCTCAGCGGATGTGCCCAGTTCTGCGTCAACACCTTCGGCTCCTTCAGCTGCTCGTGCGGCAGTGGGTACGGCATTGCCGGCGATGGCAAAGGCTGCGTAGGTAACTGCTCCGTTATTCCCGCCGTGTTGAGAAAGTGGAAAGTTGCTGAGACTTTAAAAAGAAACGAAAAAGTGCAACCTCGTGGCACCAGTTTGGCTGAGGACAACACATTTTGTGCACAGATTGTGCGCAGGATTGGTGATGTCATTTTAACATCCAAAGCATGCTGGGGGTGCTGCTACGTGTTGCTGTATAAGAGACCGTTTTGCATATATATTGTCTGATGAGCAGTGTCATTAGGTGCGCCACAATTAGTCGATCGGCTGGTCTTGTGTGATGGGGTTAAGTGTGGGTACTTCCACCTCTTCTGAAGACGTCTTCGGAAGAGGTGTGGGAGTACCCACACTTTACATCAGATTATTTAATTGTGCATTGCGCGGAAGTAGTCACAAAGCACACTGACTGTTGTGGGTTTTCTTTTTATTGAAAAAAAAAAATCAACCTGTGCCTTTCCCTAACAGCAAAACCCTTCATCTGTCTGTGTTTTTAATTCAAAACGATGTCACTTTGTTCTTTATCCGGGGGCTGGCAGACGTGAACGAGTGCCTCAATAAGAACGGCGGCTGCTCCCAGATGTGCAACAACCACAACGGATCGTTCAGCTGCGACTGTAACCCTGGGTACTCGCTCGACCCGGACAACGCGACCTGCTCCGGTGAGTCCTGTCTCTCGTCCAATTCAACGATCCTCGCCCGGCGTCGCGGTGGTTGCTTGCTCCTTGTCGCGGCTTCTCCGATGTCTGTCTCGGCCGATGCGGGAACGGCAGCGCTTCCCGCACCACACCGCGCTGTCACTTGTCGACTGTTTTGTCTTCCATCAGCTGATCGCTGCGGACACACGTGGACAAGGCATTGACTTGAGTGGCAGCCTTTAAAAATATATAAAAATATATATTTCATTGATAAAGCACACACCATCACATAGACAAACTGATCTGAGTTTAAACATTCCCGAACGTGGATGTGTGTTGCCTTTGTATCTCGAGTGTTGGCTGCGTACGGTGCCAAAGAAGTTCAGCGTACATGCACACAACGGGAGCACCTCTCAAGGCTTTAAAATGGCAACAAAAATTGGATAGGAAAGTGATGGCTGCACTCCTGGATCTCCTAAGCCCCCTCCCCCCCCCCCCCCAAAAAAAAACAGATTGCCGCAAAGGGTAGAAAAACACCCATACATGACAAACAGCTACTCATTTAACGCCAAATTACATCCCGAGATCGCGTATTTATTTTACATTAAATTTTTACGTTGCATGGAAATGTGCTCCTTCTTCTTCTCTGTCCTTTCTGTTCAGCCTCTTTACGCAAGGCCGCTGGGTCCATGGACGTGTGGTGGCAGCAGCAGTCCTCCACTGCTGCCCATCGTCATCACATTCATACCTGCTGCTGATGTTTTCCCATCATTCCTCTCGGCTCCAGTGCCTCCTCCTCCTCCGCCCCATCAGTCCAACTTTGTCCGGGTCATCCTCTGCCAGTTTCCTTCCACTGGCCTCATTGCTTTTGCCTGATTCCTGTTTGGTGCCCTTCTTCTCACATGACTATAGCACCTTTACAACTGATCTTAACTGTCCTAAGGAGAGACTGGTATTGACAATTGAATAACACACGGCTGGACAGGTAACTTGATGTTTGGCCTCTCAAACAGTGAAAATGTCTTCATATCTTTTTCATTATTATTATCATCATGAGCCATCGTATATCCACTGTTGGATGAAGGACTTCCCACACCATAGTCCTGCCTATGAACTTATCTCATCTCTCCATCTCCGCGTTCGTCATCCTCTCAGACGCGTTCTCTCCTTTGGTAGCCATCTATTGTACATTTTGTTTCCATTTAAGGCCACAGTGTGACTGAAGAATGTGTTGATTTTAAAACAAATGTCATTTATGCTTGTGCACCACTAACAACGCAAGTGCTGCCGAATAATTTGTTTCGCTTTTGACATTTTTCTCATCTCTTTAGTATGCATGTATGTTGAACTTATTTCACACCGTATGTAGCCAACCGTGCTAATCGGAGGTGCAGAGGAAGGACAACATACTAAACGCAAAAATCAGTTCTAAAGAAATTCGTTTTCAATCTAGATTTAAAAACGCATCGCTCCAGTGTCTCCCTAATATTGGAAGGAAGAACGTTCCAGACGGCCGCAGAAGCGCACCTGAAAGCGCGCGATGCGGTGACCGTCTATGTTCGATGGCGAGCAGCCAAAAGCTGCTGCTGCTGCGAGGATGACCGCCGGAGTTCGTGTGATGGTTCATGCCCCTTGACGAGATGAGCGAGGTGCCTGTGTGTGTGATGAGCGCGACTTTCTGCTCTTTGTTGCAGACGTCGATGAGTGCCAGATGCACAATGGGGGCTGCTCACAGATATGTTCCAACAGCAAAGGATCGTTCTCCTGCTCGTGCAGCAGCGGCTACACGCTGGCTTCCGATGGCCACAATTGCAACGGTAAAACTGACCTTTGTGCGCGTGATTAACTTGTAAGGGCAGATATGCGGTGGTCAGATACGCGACGTCCCCTCTGCTCCATGAGATCTGCGGATCGCCTTCTTGTAAGTACTCTGAGGTCAAGGCACATTTTTCTGCAGGGCTGATGGGGCTTTTGCCAGCGCAGCTCCCGAGCTTTGGACCGCTTTGCCTTTGCTCATGAGATGATCAGAAACGTTCGCTATATTTAAGTCTCCCTTGAAAACGCGCCTCTTTAAACTGGCCTTTACCCCCTGGTTATGGCCGTTTAACCCTGCTTCTGTGTATTTCCTGCTTTCCATACACAGTCGCATTGTGATCGACAGATGAAATGCGCCTTACGAATTTAAATCATTATTTTAACTTGGCCATATCTACATCCATCTCTTCTTAGATCGGTGGAGTATAATGCCAAAGTAAGTCGATGGAATGATCTCTTTTATCTTGCAGATACGGATGAGTGTACCAATAACAATGGGGGCTGCCATCAGGTGTGTGTCAACTGGCCAGGAGGTTTCTCCTGTGCCTGCAATGTTGGATACGTGCTCAACTCAAAGACCGGGTGCAAAGGTATAAAGCGTGAGAGGATACATAGCTATGCGTACGGCGCGAAAGAAGTTCAACATACACACGAACATGAGTGCCACGGTGGCGAGATGGTAAGTCCCTCGCCTGGTATTTGAAGTTTGCATGTTCTCCCTGTGATCACGTGAAATGTTTTATCCAGGTCCTCCGATTTTTTCTGTTCACATGTTTTTAACATGCATTTAGAGTATTTGGCTGCTATACATTTCCACGTGATAAGCCACTTCGTTGAGTGATAACTCTGAAAAAGAGCTATATAGCTCAGTGGGCCTTACCTGATAAATTACAAGAAAATGTTTTGTAAATAGTGTTTATACATAAAACTGCTTAACCCGCGAGCTATTAATGCTTTTGGTGTTTGCATTGTCCGATACATTTATATATTTACGCGATCCAACCCCCCCCCCCAAAAAAAAAACCTGTATTATGGATGATATTGGTCGCGAAAGCCTACGTGTTAAACTGTGCAGGTATATTGATCTTCTTTCACACCGTACGTAGCCAACCGTGCTAATGTGAGGTGCGGGCGAAGGACAACAAACCAAACAGTTAGTTTTAGTTTCAAGGATAGTATCGACAGTTTCAACACATTTCTGTCCGTATTTTTAGCACCACAAGTATGTGTGGTAAATGCAGACACAATACCTTGACATTGGTGTCTGTTTGCTGTTTGAACATCTCAACACTTGTTTAACACGTAGGCTTTCGCGACCAATATTATTCATGATAAAGGTTTTTGGGTTAGATCGCGTTATTTATAAATGTGTCGTAACCCTCCACCACCAGACACGGCCAATCAGTTGTGGATTCACTCTTCAACACACCGGTGGGCTAAAGTAGTGAGCTATTTGTCTTTTGTCGACGTGACACTTTTTTTGCTGATTGGCCGTGTCGGGTGGTGGAGGGTTACGACACATTTATAAATATCGCGATCTAACCTAAAAACCTTTATTATTAATCTCAACACTTGTATTTATGCCAGAAATGAGTTTGCATGTTCTCCTCGTGGTCGGCGTATATTTGTCTCCGGGTTCTCCGGTTTTTCCCTCCGCATTTAGGAACATGCGTTTCGAGAATTTTTACTGCGATATGAAAAAAACATTTCCACATAATAAAAGCCGCTTCGTTGAGCTATCATTTGTGACCACGCCGCTTCCCCTAAAAACCTCCCTCTTCAACCCCATTGCCTTCGGACCCCCCTCAATCGCGTCCGTTCTCTCCATCCCTTGCTCACTCACGTCCATCCCCTCCCATTCTCAGTGTCTTTCTGAGCCCTGGGATGTTTGCTGCATTCGGGGTGCATTACTAATGTGAATCGATGTTGGTTTTGGTGTTGTTATTGTTGTGGTATGCCAACAGATGTGAATGAGTGCAGTTCAAATCCCTGTCAGAGGACCTGCACGAACACTCAAGGCTCTTTCCAGTGTAATTGTGATCCTGGCTACAAACTGGCTCCTGATGGACTCGCCTGCATTGGTAAACATAACTTCTGTGACAGTTTTGTGTCCATTAAACTACGCTTGAGATTTATGCACAATATATTTCCTAATGCTGCTGATAGTACAGCGTGAATTTATGCTCCGCATCGAGTTATTTTAATACAAAGACATCATGTATGGCAATGTTTGGAAGTAAAACAATTAAACGTGGCTAATTCCACACCCAATAGTTATACGAACAGCATCGGGTCGCTAATTTATCCAGGAAGTTGATAAGACATTCTGCACTTTACAATCGAGCAAACCAAACATCAGAATGCGCGGTCCTCACTTTCATCACTGCAACACAGTGATGCATGAATACCACTCACTCGGTGGGATTGACACGAACAAAACATCCAACGCATTAATGGATCTGTCCTCCGCACCTGCGTTAATGTTCTGCTTTTGAAGCAAACAAATCGTGCGCTCAGTACACCGCATGGAAGGCGCAGCTGGAAAAGATCTCGATTGGTGTGCAGGCGGTGCGACTGCACCAGGGCTGAACAGGCCTCGGGTGGAACCTAGACGTTGGGCTACACAAGAGGGAGGGAAACTGCAGAAGGGGTCAGACGTAATTCCTCGCACCAGGGCACCAGGCCCACCACGCTATGCCACTGCGTACGGATGGGTTTGGATTTATGTTGGTACGTACGTAACTGTGTTTTGCAGCTTCGGGCTTAATCGGAGGGCTGTTTGCCGTGAACTTGCTAATCCGGAGTTAATGCGCATCCGTTGTATTTATTGATGTATCTGTTTATTGACACCCAGACGTGGACGAGTGTGCCGCCGGGTCCTCAAACTGCCAAGGGGAGTGCGTCAACACTCTTGGGTCCTACAAGTGCAGCTGCACCTATGGCTATAAACTTCAGTCCGATGGCTCATGTGCACGTAAGAACCAAATTATGCCACAGGGCCCGTCTCCCTCGTGCCGTGCGCATCTTGCGCGCCCCTGCAATGCATTGCCTTGTCTAATCTGCACAGCACAAAATCGTTATTCACGTTATTGTGGGGATATGCGAAACAATATAAATAGATGGATAGTACGATACCCCCCCCCCCCCTCCCATATATGTCTTTCCACGTAACATTTTTTTTTACACATTCCATGGGCCACTTGGCCCTTTGGGAGTTTATTTTTTTTCGACGGCGTTGGTTTAATACAAGAAAACTCTGGACTGCTTTCGACTTTCATTGTCTAATCAGAAGTCAGGCTTGGTTAAACTAATGCTGCCAGTTGTTCTGTAAGCAAGGGCCCCCCCCCCCCTCTGTTAGATATGGGTCCCAGTTTGACGCAAACATATCCAAGACATAAGCTGCAGAGCTCACGTCTGCTCAGAGGCAATGCTAATCTTGTGTCTCTGCAATGCTTTTTTAACTTAATGCTTAAAGTAATGCAACTTTGTGTCACGTTTCCCTTTGCCAATCCACTGCTGGACGAATTCCTCCCCACACTGTGTCGGTCATGGGGATTGTGTGACCGTACTTCACCATACTGGGTGAGCGCGGGTTGACGAAGGCGAGCTCCGGGACCAGTTCAGAGATCACTCACCACTGGCGTTCGTCGTGGTCATAAATCAAATTGCGGTGGCTTGGTTTGTGGAGCAGTGCACCAACCACCGTGCTACCGCTCCCTCTCTCATTGCAGTGGCAGGACTCGCCGCGGTGGCGAGATGTTAATTACCTCGCCTGGTATACAGGAGCTCGTGGGTTCGATTCCGACCCTGATGCCTGTGTATTTGGAGTTTGCATGTCTCTCTCCCCGTGGGTCACGTGGATTTTTCTCTGGGTCCTCCGTTGTTTCACCGCACATTTTTTTAAACATGCGTTTAGAGTATTTGGCTGCAATACATTTCCACATGATGAAAAGCCACTTTCTTGCGCTATCATTCGTGATAGCCAGGTCGCTTGTGAAAAAGAGCTATATAGCTCAATGGTTCCTTACCTGGTAAAATTAAAATAGGTAAATGGGTAAGGTTTCAATGGGCCCCCGTGCAGGATGATGTTCAAAAGTTATCTCTGGTCTTCGAGTTACAGCTGGGCCAAACCATCGCAGCTTCCTCCTCTTTCCTATTGGCAGGAGTTGTTCATGTACCCCAATGCGCTTTTCAATCGAAATTGAAAACTCATTACTTGACAACTACTTTTTTGTGTTTAGTTTGTTGTCTTTCCCTCCGCATCTCTGAGCACGGTTGGCTACGTACGGTGCACGAAAGAAGTTCAGCATACATACACCCATCCAACTATTCACATATTCATCCATCCGTAAAACTGCGTATCCATTCATCCACCTATCTGGCTATCCGTCTATTCACCCATCTATCAATCCATGTATCTATCCATCCATCCACCCACCCACCTACCAAATCATCTAGCCATTCCATTTCATAATGTCAATTTATAGATATATTTACCGTGTCGTTTTCGTTTTTTCGCGTCGTCTTTTCCCAGGCTCCTCTGTGTGCGCTGACATTTTGCCACTGTGCGTGAACGCGGATGGATGCGTGGTCGCCACCATCGAACTAAACTCTATCGCCGTCTGCATCTGCAGCCCCGGTTACATCCTCTACAATGACTCTTACACACTCTGCATTGGTAAGTCTCGTGCACTTCACCTTGAACGATGCAAATTCAACCCCGATGACGCTTGGAGAGCTGAATGGAGTTGAAATGAACTCACAAACAAACACCTTGTCGTGAAAGACCCAACACAGAAGATCCCTGGGTTTGATCTTCGACGAAGCTCATGGTCTACCCTAAATCACATCCGCAGATACCTGGAAGCACAAAAGCGTCGTTTATTCTAATCGCTGGACGTCATTTAGCGAGCATAAACATATCTGAGATAACTAAACGAGTTGACACTTATAAATAATGCAAGTCAATTGTCAATTTGCAGGTCAGTGCTTGGTACGCACCTCTGATTGGCAGGGTTGGCTGCGTATGGTGCGAAATAGGTTCAACATACATACATACAAGCACTTTGTCCTGGACAGGGACAGCTGCCACCTTGAGGTCCCCTTTGCTAAACTGTAGCAGAGCATTGAAATGGTTGAGATCAGGGATTAATTTCAGCCAAAGCTGCCTTTGACTGATGGGTCTGGGTTTGGGGGTAAGGGGGCAGGTGGGGTGTGGTGGGGATCCAAGGGGGTTGGGGCGGCCATGGAAAATAAACCAATGGAAATGAAGTCCTGATTCAGATGAAATTTGGCGTAATGTGATTTGAGTTGCTGTCCAGATGTTAACTACCTCGCCTGATATACAGTAGGTCGCGGGTTCAATCCCGACCCTGACGCCTGTATATTTGTAGTTTGCATGTCTCTCTCCCCGTGGTCGCGTGGATTTTTCTCTGGGTCCTCCGGTTTTTTTCTTCACATTTAGAAACACGCGTTTAGAGTATTTGGCTGCTATAAATTTCCACTTGATAAGCCACTTCTTTGAGCTATCATTTGTGGCCAGGTCGCTGCTGAAAAAGTGCTATACAGCTCAGTGGGCCTTACCTGGTAAAATAAAAAAAAAACGACTTGTAGATTTAGTTTATCGTTTAATAGCAAATCCTACTAATCACCAATGCAATCTTGGTTGCAGATGAAAACGAATGTTTAAGTGCCAACGGCGGGTGCTCCCATGCCTGCGTCAACACCAACGGTTCGTTCAGCTGCATGTGTCCTCGCGGCTACGCAATGGGCAGCGATGGTTTCACCTGCCAAGGTATGACACACGCACCGCTCCCCCTGCCTAAGCCTTCAGAGTGAGCTCGCAATGGACTTTGTACTCACGGTAAGACGTCCGCGACCTGTGCCCTTACGTAGCGTGAAATTGGTTCATCCAGTACACACACACACACAAAATGGTGTCCCCCCTCCGAACGTATAGCCACATGTAGAGTGAATTAAAGCTGCATATAGCAAAAGCACACAAACCGAACCCACATAATGCAGCGAGGGAAACCTGCATATAATATAATTGTTCTTTGCCGTGCTGTGCTGTTGCCCCTGACCAGAAATTAATGAGTGTACGTCCGGCCAACACAAGTGCCAGCATGTTTGCACCAACACCGATGGTGGATACAGATGCTCCTGCAGAGCCGGATTCAATCTAGATGCCAACAATTCTACCTGCTCAGGTGAGTGGCAAGAGCTCGCCTGTGGGATATCATTCTTCCATGCACAAACGGCGAAACGGTGAGACGTAATACCTACGTAGCACATGCTTCCTCTGGGCATGATTCCCACTTGTGTGGGATCTGTCTTCTAGGCCCTTTCTCCCAGCTCATTCCTGTCCTGGGCCTTCTCCACATCCACTCCGCAGTCCTTGGTATCATAGCTAACGCACCGATACACAGTGCCTGGTATCTGAGGAACTCTTCACACTTTGCACAGCGCCGATGCATATGCATGCGTATCAGTAGGCTCTATGTAGAATTGTATTATGGAAAGATAAACAATAAAAAATTTTAACGCCGTAGAAAATGTGCAAAGTGATCAAATGTTTTAAATAAGGTCAATGACGTACGATAAGACTGGAATAGTGATTTGTGTGTGGGGAAGCTAGCGCAGTGACGTGGGGAAATAAAAAGCAGATGCTATATGTCAAACAATTTTAGAGCCCAAATCTAATAGTCTGCATGGATTGCAAAATAACTCAAAGAATGTATAGCTTGAAGCCAATTTTAGTATCACAGCCAAAAGTAAGAAAGCAGGTATGATATTGAAAATCATGCGTGGTACTGTGGAATCACTAATATTCTCCGGAAGGTCACACAGGAGAGACTTAGATGGTTTGGGCACGTGTTGTGACGAGCCGAAGACGATGCAATTGGAAGGGCTATAGAGATGCCACCAGCGCAGCACAGAAGGAGCAGAGGGAGACCGAGGGTGGGATGGGAGGATGCGATCGAACGAGATACGAGGCGAGCAGATTTAATGAAAGTTAAAGGTGGAGTAGAAGTGCGTGGAGAAAGAAAACCAAAGCAGTTGACCCCATGCAATAATAATGTGACGTTTGGCTTGAAATAAGAGGTGCGAGGGGTGTGCTACTTAGACCCAAGTGAAGTCATGTTTGTTTCTGGTGTCTGTTCAACGATTCTGATTTAGGACAAGAGGTCACATTTTATAGAGAATATCCCAAGGAGATGACTCCATTTGATTGTCGATGTGTCTCTAGTGGATCTGGTAATAATACACACATTGGGGCTGTAACACGGCCTAGCGGTTCAGCAGAAGGCCGCCCTGGAAAATACTGACGGTGCTTTAACCACGAAATGCATGCCGTCTGCCTCACAATTGATGTTGAATATCCCGTGACATCGTTAAAAAAGAGTAGGCCATTGCGTGCTGGGATCATGGTCCAGCGTTTTGCCATACAGTATTTGGAAAATGACCTTCAAATTATTTTATTGGGATGACATGCAGCAGGATCGCCCCCCAACCCCACCCCCTCCCCCTTTACTGTGAAACTATCGCAGACCGTGTCTGCGAAACATCGTGCCTTCGTGATAGCCCCGTGCTATAAGATGGACGAGAATACCAAATGTAGTTTGTTAATTATTATTTAAGTAGGGCATTGCATGCAAGAGCACAGGGAACAGAGGAAGCGTACAATTTGATTGACACAGTGAAGAATGATTGACACAGTGAAGAATGACTGACACAGTGAAGAATGATTGACACAGTGAAGAATGACTGACACAGTGAAGAATGACTGACAGTGAAGAATGATTGACCCAGTGAAGAATGACTGACAGTGAAGAATGACTGACACAGTGAAGAATGACTGACACAGTGAAGAATGACTGACAGTGAAGAATGATTGACTCAGTGAAGAATGACTGACACAGCGAAGAATGACTGACACAGTGAAGAATGATTGACACAGTGAAGAATGACTGACACAGTGAAGAATGACTGACACAGTGACGAATGACTGACACAGTAAAGAATGACTGACAGTGAAGAATGATTGACAGTGAAGAATGATTGACTCAGTGAAGAATGACTGACACAGCGAAGAATGACTGACACAGTGAATAATGACTGACACAGTGACGAATGACTGACAGTGAAGAATGACTGACACAGTGAAGAATGATTGACACAGTGAAGAATGACTGACACAGTGAAGAATGACTGACACAGTGACGAATGACTGACACAGTAAAGAATGACTGACAGTGAAGAATGACTGACAGTGAAGAATGATTGACTCAGTGAAGAATGACTGACACAGCGAAGAATGACTGACACAGTGAATAATGACTGACACAGTGACGAATGACTGACAGTGAAGAATGACTGACACAGTGAAGAATGACTGACACAGTGAAGAATGACTAACACAGTGAAGAATGATTGACACAGTGATGAATGATTGACACAGTGAAGAATGACTGACACAGTGAAGAATGACTGACACAGTGAAGAATGATTGACATAGTGAAGAATGACTGACACAGTGAAGAATGACTGACACAGTGAAGAATGATTGACACAGTGATGAATGATTGACACAGTGAAGAATGACTGACACAGTGAAGAATGATTGACACAGTGAAGAATGATTGACATAGTGAAGAATGACTGACACAGTGAAGAATGATTGACATAGTGAAGAATGACTGACACAGTGAAGAATGATTGACATAGTGAAGAATGATTGACACAGTGATGAATGATTGACACAGTGAAGAATGACTGACACAGTGAAGAATGATTGACACAGTAAAGAATGACTGACACAGTGAAGAATGATTGACACAGTGAAGAATGATAGACACAGTGAAGAATGATTGACACAGTAGAGAATGATTGACACAGTGAAGAATGATTGACACAGTGATGAATGATTGACACAGCGAAGAATGACTGACACAGCAAATAATGACTGACAGTGAAGAATGATTGACACAGTGAAGAATGACTGACACAGTGCAGAATGACTGACACAGTGAAGAATGACTGACACAGTGAAGAATGACTGAAACAGTGAAGAATGACTGACACAGTGAAGAATGATTGACACAGTGAAGAATGACTGACATAGTGAAGAATGATTGACACAGTGAAGAATGATTGACACAGTGAGAATGACTGACACAGTGAAGAATGACTGACACAGTGAAGAATGATTGACACAGTGAAGAATGACTGACACAGTGAAGAATGACTGACACAGTGAAGAATGATGGACACAGTGAAGAATGACTGACAGTGAAGAATGACTGACACAGTGAAGAATGACTGAAACAGTGAAGAATGATTGACACAGTGAAGAATGATTGACACAGTGAAGAATGATTGACACAGTGAAGAATGACTGACACAGTGAAGAATGATTGACACAGTGATGAATGATTGACACAGTGAAGAATGACTGACACAGTGCAGAATGACTGACACAGTGAAGAATGACTGACACAGTGAAGAATGACTGACACAGTGAAGAATGATTGACACAGTGATGAATGATTGACACAGTGAAGAATGATTGACACAGTGAAGAATGACTGACACAGTAAAGAATGACTGACACAGTGAAGAATGATTGACACAGTGAATAATGACTGACACAGTGAAGAATGACTGACACAGTGAAGAATGACTGACACAGTAAAGAATGACTGACACAGTGAAGAATGATTGACACAGTGATGAATGATTGACACAGTGAAGAATGATTGACACAGTGAAGAATGACTGACACAGTAAAGAATGACTGACACAGTGAAGAATGATTGACACAGTGAAGAATGACTGACACAGTGAAGAATGACTGACACAGCGAAGAATGACTGACACAGTGAAGAATGACTGACACAGTGAAGAATGATTGACCCAGTGAAGAATGACTGACACAGTGAAGAATAACTGACACAGTGAAGAATGATTGAGACAGTGAAGAATGACTGACACAGTGAAGAACGACCTCAAACGACAACGCCGACGAGCGGAAGGAAGCCGTGTTGCTGGGATGAGACGGAAAGAGGCTGAACGATTCTCGAAGAATGATGATTCTCGTTCAGCCTCGTCGTCTCTGAAAGCAGAGGGAATGGAAGTGAATAATAAAACATTTAAAACCGCTATGTCAATGAATAGCGGTCAAACTCGCTGCGAGCTGCATTTTTGTACGAATGTCAAATGTTCCGCCCCGTTCCCCGTGAATGAGGGGCATTGTAAGGGCCGTGAACTTGAGGCTAATTACCCTTGACGTGTTGTAACGTGGTAACGTTTAAAATTAGCCGTTTGACGACAGTGCTCTCTTGTGCTCTGACAGACGTCGACGAATGCGGTGTCAGCAATGGTAATTGTTCCGATGTCTGCATCAACACATATGGATCGTACAAGTGCTCGTGCAAACCTGGCTTCCAGCTCGCCAGCAACGGACTCAGGTGCCAAGGTATTCTTCAATGAATATTGAAACGTGTTTTCTCCACTTCCCAGGGTCCAATGTCAACGCAGGCACTCATAAATGTGCACGATCATTCTTAATCGTACGCATGAAACAGTTCGTCGCCATTAAGGCACCTTGAAGTTGACATTTATTTTTATATTCTTTGGGTGTTTCGGTAAAGCCACGTAGATAGAAAAAAGAATACAAATATCACGACGTTTGGATCACCTGATGACGAGTGCTTGCGTTGCGATCAAAACGTCGTGATATTTGTATTTTTTTCCATCTACGTGGCTTTACCGAAAGACCCAAAGAATATGAATTCCTGCAGTCACGAAAGCTTTAAGTCAAGATTTAACATTCATTGTGAACGCTAATTAGGTGTTCACCCCTTGCATGGAGAATAATGCACTTTTTTAAGTAACAAGGGGAAGGAGGAGTGGCAAAATAGTTAGCACACTCCTACCTGAATCTGTAACAAGCACTTTGAATAGTATACGCATGTGCAGTGAAAATGAGGAACGGGCAGACCTCTGAAAATGGCCGCGGGTCACACGTGCACCGAGTGAAGTTCTTCGCACCTCCGATTAGCACGGTTGGCTGCGTGTGGTGCGAATGAAGTTCTTCATACACACACATACATGTCCGTCGGCAGACGTGAACGAGTGTGCGGTGAACAACGGCAACTGTGAGCAGAACTGCCGCAATGTGGATGGCGGCTACGAGTGCTTCTGTAACCCCGGATACCTGCTCATGAACAACCGGCTCACCTGCATGGGTAAGTGCCTGGTTTCGATGACGATGCGTCGAATCTAGAGTATACCCGCGTTCGACGAAGCACGTTGACGATCAACACCTGAGCTGGTTCTCGCGTGAAGCGAGTGTTTAGCCTCACCCCATTCACCAATGATTGCACAACAACAACAGCTTACATTTGTGTTCTGCACTTAATGTGCCTGAAATCCAGCTCTGATAATTAGAAATATTCGTTTGATTCTCATGCAAACAAATTTCTTTGTAGCAAGGCAGAGAGGCAAACCCTTTCCTCCTGTTGTGTGCATCAGCGGTCACTTTAAGGGGATCTCAGAACTAGTTCTGTGATATCCACTTCTGTGAACCAGTCATTAAACGCGGCAGTTGCCCTGCTTTTCTCGGGCTTTAAATTAATGCTTTATAATGTGACATGACACCTAACCCCCAGTTTGGATAACATTTGGAAAGAATATAATAGAAAATGCAATTTTTATTTATGAAAAAATATTAAAGAGGTTTCTTACATTTTACAGTACAGAAGAATGATAGAGCAGTCACAGAGTGCCTTGGCTGAAACACTGACATCTGTTTATTTACACCTTCCTGAGTCTGGGGTGTTTTCAAATACCAGGCGTAACCAGGCAATTTCAATGCTGAACTCCGGAATATTTTCTCTTGATTGAGTTGTCATTGCAGTGCGAATGGTTAAGTAAATTTAAGTAATCTATTTTCCTTTGAGATCACAGTGGCTTGGATGTCAGAGCACTGAGCCAGCACCCGTGAAGTCCTGGGTTTGAATCTGTAATTCAGCCCCCAGTGACTAAAATAGGTTCTTAAATGTAATGAGTTTATTGTCTCAGCCTGCTCACCAACAATGATGGCACAAAAAAAATTACATTAAATGTGGTTTCATATCATGTGGCAGGATTCCAGCTTTGGGACTTTAAAAAGTATCAGTTTCACTGCCAAAAAAGTATTACTCTTTGGTTCTATTGGGTAAAGTCACGTAGGTAAAAAATAAAATAACAAAAATCACGACGTTTCGACCACAACACAAGTGGCCTTCATCAGGTGAAGGGACCAACGTGTCCGGAGGACAAAAAAAAATATTAGTTTCACTGCCATGTGACGAACATTTTTTACGTAGTCGGATGTGTGGGAATGGATTTAGTTCTGTCATTTCTCCGAAGTTACAGATGTCACTGTTCTCCAATAGTTCTCAAGGGATGCTCCCTTTCACGGGAGTATATATTTCAAATTGGGAAATCACAAAGTCTTCCATTTTGTTTTTTCTGCCAGCATGTGGCGGTAACGTGTCAGCGCTGGAGGGCAGTATTGTCTCACCCGGTTACCCATCAATGGGCTTCGATGTATCCATGCCGTGCATCTGGAACATCACCGCACCTGCCAACTACAACCGCATCAACCTCACCTGTCTCTACGTGCGGTAAACGGCGTTCATCCACACTCACACGAGCAATACGCCTCTCTCTTCGATGCATGGCTAAGGGGCCGTCCATACATGACGTCACGCACCTGGGGGGGGGGGGGTCAGATATTTGTGACGATTTGTGACGAGCGCGGGGGGGTATGAGAAATGTGACGTCACATCAAAATGCGCAACTTTAAATAAAGATAGACAACACGTTCTACTTAATTAAATAGACTTTTTAAATAAATGTTATCTCCTATCGCATCAGAGTGCAGCGCCACATTAAATACGCACTACAATGACAATAGTTTAAAGCGAATTGAAGCATGTTTTATTCTGGGGGGGGGGGGGGCAGAGCTTTGTGACGTCATATTTGAGGGGGGGGGGTCTGACTTTTTGTGACGCCGTGTGACGAACGGGGGGGGGGGGGGGGTAAAAAATCGTCCAAAATCGCGTGACGTCATTTATGGACAGTCCCTAACACCAGTGGCCATCATTTGAGCCGGTCATTTGAGCCTTAAAAGATAACTTCGTGTGGTGGGGACACATCAGCCCTGCATGGGAGACAAGAGTGGCTACGTGTGCTCCTGGCCGCATCGCCAGCTCGTGCACTGTGCCGGACTTAATAGGTGCTCACTAACATGCCTTGCCCTAACAGCCTGTATGACTGCACTGGTCGTGCACATTTGCTGAGTCGTACATGTGCGTGCGTCCCGCCGTTGGTAAGTGAGCATTTTGTACATTTCATCCAAACGTTGTACAACTACACAGGGGATCTTTGTTACTCTGTTGTGTGTGTGTGTATTATATACATTTGCATCTTTGTCTTCGCCGAGGTCACTGGCGATGTACGTTGAATTTTCTTTCGCACCGTACGTAGCCGACCATGCTCGCCTCTTGTCAACAATCGCGTCGACCCACCTCCATGACCGTGCGCAGTTTTGACGACGGCGGCACATGCAACCTGGCCTACATGAACGTCACGTCGGTGCCGTCCTACACACGCACGTGGTGCCGCACGCCCGGCGGCTCGCTGCTGGGGAACGCCACCGTGTTCGTCGAGTACTTCTCCTCCGGCACGGGCCCCAACACCGGCTTCCACTGCCACTACGCCGCAGGTGACAGACGGCCGCACCGGGCCACACCGTGACCGGAAAGATGTTAACTCCCTCGCCTGGTATGCAGAAGGTCGTGGGTTAGAACCCGACCCCTGACGCCTGCTGCTACATATTTGGGGTTTGCGTGTCTCTCTCTGCCCGTGGTCGTGTGGATTTTTCTCCGTGGCCCTCCGGTTTTTCGCTCCACGTTTAGAAACATCACGCCTTTTAGAGTGCAGTTATTTGGCTGCTATACGTTTCTACATAAGCCACTTTATTGGGCTATCATTTGTGACCAGGCCACTTCTGAAAAAGAGCTACATAGCTCAGTGAGCCTTACCTCGTAAAACAAAACAAAAATTGCTTAGATTCACCTGTGGACAAAACGCAAACAAATTGGTACAATTCAACGATGGGCGTCACTGCCGTTCAGAATCCGTGCCTGGGTGGAGTCTTGTTTTGTTGTGCTACAAAGGCAGCTCTCTACACTGCACACACGCACACGTTGCGAGAGTTAGAGCAGAACGCACCGATGGCGTAGTTGTCCCTCATTCTGTTCAGCGTTTAACCTTTGGTTTGTTCTTGTTTAACATTGACTGTGTCGTCCACCCCCACCCCCACCCACCCTGAGTTTTTGTGTTACCCCTCTTTAAACAAGGTCACGCTATGGGGTTGGGTAGAGGGGGGCAGCTGAGGGGGGGGGGGGGGGGATGGTGCCTAAGAGGGCTTCGGCCCCTCAAATGTTACCATTCAAACATCAGCTGTCAAACCTCTCAAAGCCGGACTCGGCGAGAAAGTGTGAGGTCACCGCCAGCAGAGCACGCGATAGACAAGATGAAACGAGGGAACTCGTGAAACTTTCATTCACGCAACGTCCAAAACCGAGGGACGGTCACGTAAAGTACGTTGGCGGGCCGCCACGATCGGTTAAACCTGTGCCCACGGGCGAGTCAGTCGATCACGTGGCCCACTCGTGTTCTACGTTTTCAGACCATCGTTTTAAAATAAACATTGCATTGCAGGTATAATAATCCATTTCTTACGACGTGTATTTCAGCTCCTTCAAATAATATATTTTTGCCTATGGCTGCTGCCGGTGGTGGTGGTGAAAGCAGTAGGGATTTGAGACCTATTTCTGTTTAATATTGAGTTGCTGATGAATGGTCTAGATCTGCGGGGTCCAGTTATCAGCATAAACAGAGATTTGGGAGTATCAAATTAACGGCGTGAGTCGATGATTAATGACTGAAATTAGTCTGGAAAAAATAAAATTGTAAAAAAAAGTTGGGAGAACATAGGTCGATAATGGCTTCCCAGCCCCGCGTTTTGTGCAAGAAACGCAATTCATATGGATCGTTAAAGGGAGGCAGGTAATGGGAGACTTTAAAAGGGCAATTGATACATGTTTCCAGAAGATAGAATGGCAAATGTCAAAATTTCAAGGATCTTGATCTCAAAACATTTCTCCCTCCCCCCCATTGTGAAAATAGTGTGACCACATCCTGGCCAAATATTGTTTGACTAAATATGTTTTTGCTCCCCGTGTTGAAGCTGGTCACATCACCCTTGCACATGCCATACTTAGAGTCATTTAAGGACAAGAGTAAGGATTTATATTTAGAGTGTACTTGAATGCCTCAGAAAATCAAGGCGCCTTACACCACACCTCAACCAATCCAGTGCCCTGCTGCAGTCTAGTCAAGGGGACCGTCAGTGGCAGCTGTCCCTGTGCCACACAAGGTGTATGCAGCGCCAGCCTGCAAATGAGCATTCGTCCACCATTTGGACGAATGCTCATTTGGAGGTATGTATTTGTGAGTACGGTATTTTATCAATTTTTACATATTTGATCCAAATTGCCAGTAAATTTCCATAATTTCTTTTTTGTTTATTATTTGTTTCTGTGTGTGTGTGTGTGATGACAGCATACAAGCTGACGTCCGCTTTGAGCACAACTACCGGAGTGTTTGGCTTCCCAAATTCCTCCGGTGAATTGTATCCCAACAACGCCAACCGGACCCACATCATTTATGCCTCGGGCAGCAACCGCATCTGTCTACAATTCACAGCCATGAGGTTGGTCTGCAAAGTCTTAATAAGAGAAATATGCTCGACTATATCTTGGCAGTTAGGTAAGAGATTTTGGTTTTAAACACAATGGGAACGTTTCCTAAATCCCTCCAGCTACATGAATGGGTACACCGCTGCTCATCGATGGGCTGGTCACGTGTGGTCGGGTAAAGTGTGGGTGTGTGTCCACCTCTTCTGTCAATAGTGGCGTGAGCAAGTAATTGCAGGGCTGCACCTTTACCTCCACTGTACTGTCTTCATTTTATAAAACACAAACTTTCAAATGTTTTCTATGCAGATTACTCTGCAGCTGTTTAAGATCATGTCCCAACAATGAGAATGTTGTACGTTTATTTATTATATGTATATTATATAGTGCACATGACCGTAAGAGGTGGAGATAGTTAAATGCCAAAGCATCAATGGCACCCGCACGACCCCCACGGTGAATTTGGTTGAAGACGATGGTGATTACGATGCCATCTAATCGGACAGCCCTATAAAGGATAAGCGTGATGTAAATCACGCAGAAAAGCAGCATTGGATGTGCATATGGAAGCCATCAAATGACCAGGGAGCATCCAAACTCAAGAGGCCTGATGTGAAGCAACACAAATTCTGTAATTTTGATGAGGCAGGGTTTAGTTATTTTAGTTAATACACTGCACATGCAGTCTTCAGTCGGTGGAGCAATGGCCCAGTGCTTGTACAATGAAACCAGCAGTGTGATTGCCAGCTGCGACGAGCATCAGCGGAGAGAGATATCTGAAACCTGGCATGGCCTTCCTCACATCACCAACCCAAACAACCACCATGGCCTTACACAGCCCCGGGCAGACTATATTAAAGCAAGGTGCGCTGCGTGCTACTGACACAGCCTGGAGAGCAGCGCGGGCTGCAGCAAGGACTACGTGGCTGTGTACGACGGGCCTCTGGTCACTGCACCGCTTCTTGGCAAGTTCTGCGGGGGCTCGATCCCGGCCAAAATCAGCTCCAGCGGCACCAGGCTGACCGTGGTGTTCATCTCTGACAGCGAGACGCAAGCCTTCGGCTACAGCGCCTCGTACGCCATGAAGTAGGCATCGCTCAGCACAGGCGGCAACATGCTGGGCCCTTGTTGTTGTTGTTGTTTGTTAGATATTGAAATCTGGATCACCCCGTCAGATGGAACATTTTGTTTACGTGCGTGTCCACGGTGTAAATTAAACACATACATTCATAACATGCCTGCCTTCCTTTGCTTTCAAATGCAAGCCACAAGTCAAGAAAACGAACAAAAATATTCCCGTTCTAATTCTAAACTAAACCACATTCATTTTTAACACTGCCTTATAAGGAGGTGGCCATGTGGCTCAAAGGTCAGATCTCTGAGTTGGCACCACTGAGATGAAATCCCAGCAGCCAGCTGTGATCAAGCCAGGTTCTCCAGTGTAGTGAGTTGACTGCATTCAAACATCATGCGACCTACCTTGCCAGTATTCAAAATATAAGAATAGGTTTTATCCTTTCTGGCAATAAAAACAGGCGTTAAGATGTTAAAACACCAAGCATAAATTGTTTGCAAGGAATCATGTCTGCATTAACCACATATACTTGTGGTGAACATGCAAAAAAATACATGCTCTGGTAGTACAAGTATATGTATTGTCTTTGAAACTGATTGGTCCACACCAAAGACAATGCATCATATTCTACCAGAGCGTGCGTTTTTTAGTGAGCATGTTCGCCACAAGTATATGTGGTTAATGCGGACAGGATTCCTTGAAAAAGATGTATGTTTGGTGTTTTAACATCTTAACGCAAACTGATTTATTGCCAGAAAGGGTAAAACCTATGCTTTTATTTTGCATGCAAACAATCACCATGATATTAAAATTGGCCCTTCACTTCATTTTGGTTAAGTTGTGGCTCTGAGAAATTTCAAACTTCGGCTGACTGTCACACGACGAAGGTTTCTCTCTTTAGCAGGGTGAGTAGAAATATGTTGAAACCTCCTTGAAGAGATCTCGCCAGTAGTTCTGCGATAACCGCTTCCGTGGGCCGTTTTCTAACACGGGAGGTTGCACTGGTCTGTGACAGCCCCGAATTCATTCTTTGTCTGTTGACATGACATAGATGGCAAAAATTGGCCTAATAACAGAATACATTATAGACTGAAGTTTCAGGGAATGACCCTTCACAACAGATACATATCAAATATGTCCCAGATGTGTACCTAGATATGTACCAAATGCATACCGAGAGAAGTACCTTTACTGTCAGTAGGTAAGTAGGTACATAGTTTGCGTGTCCCAGCTGACCAACATGAATATTAATTTTCGTTAATGAGAACATACACTATCATTATGACAATGGTGGTGTCGTTATGATGCATTTAGTGTATTACAAAGCTAATATGAGCACACCCTTAGCGTGTTATAACAGACTACCTGACCATGCATTTTAAACTTTTTCAGTCTTTTAAATACAGATTTAAGCCCAGGGACCATTGGACACATATACAGTGTATGTGTCAAGGAGGACTTGATTGTGTAGTCAACAAAAGGCTGTTTATTGAAGCCAGTAACATAACACGTCCAAAATAAATACCCAAGAGAGCCCGATATACTGCATTCGAGCCCTTATATACCGATCTCAATCCGTTCCAGCAATCAGCGCCTCTGGCTCACCAATATAGTGCATGCTAGCAGGCAGCCAATCGGGCGAGTTCAAGCTTGCGTTTGGACGTTGCCAGCCTTTAGAACTTGACAGTTATGGGGCACACGCATACACATATGAACAGCAAAACTGTCAGTTTATGCTCTTTGGATATTTCAATGAAGTCACGTAGGTAAAAAATAAAATAAATCACGACGTTTCGGGCGCAACACAAGCGTCCGTCATCAGGTGGGAAAAATTAACGGACGCTTGTGTTACGCCCAAACGTCGTGATTTATTTTAGTTTCTACCTACGTGACCTCATTGAAAGAACCTCAGAGCATGGATTCCTGCAGTCACGAAAACTTAAAATCAAGATCGTCAGTTTATGCTTTACACAAAGGAGAATATAATGAATTCATATGGTGTGCTCACAGTCACCCATGCATATATATTCATTTAGAATGAACTGATAAGTTTTTGTTATCTCGTTTATAGGTCTCCAAGTGGTTTCACGTGTTGAGGGATGCTGGAAGAACGTCATCAACCTCTCCCCAGCCATCCGTGCCAGCAATTCCTTGCCCCTGTTTGAATCCGGGCTTGAGCCATTACTTTTTCCCCTCCACCTCACTCTACAAAATAAATATGCCCACTGTTTTTGCACTGCATCTTGAGAGGCGGTCGCACTTAGACTCTATGTAAATCCAAATCACTCTAGCTCCAAATCAAGTTTAAATCCAAATCGTCAATTTTAACATCAGCAGCATCAGAACCAGTATGTCAATACACCCCTCTAAATTTAATTATCCAAATGCAGAATTGCCAAAAAGGAGGCATCCGAGTAACAGTTTTCCATTCAATTTGGATCCAACATAAAGTAGTTAACATATATTTTATATTATTCAACTACTTCGTAGACTTTACATTTATACGTTGGGAGCCAACTTAAACAACAAGTTTCTTTTGTAAGGATGACATGACCAAAAAGGTGGCAACAGCACAGTGCAATATAGAGCAGCATACATGGCTTAGACAGATTAACAAAACAATCCTGTTGGACATCACAGTTAAACACATTTATTGTTATAAAGTTATATATTGCATTTCTCTATTTTGCACATGTATTGCGGATTATATAAAAGTGGCAACAAAATATATTAGTTATGTTTGGTGGTTTTAAAGAAACAATAGCATTTTATAGTATTACATTTTTTTATATGTACTACCTATTGGATTACTTTTAGGATGACAATTAAATTCTGGAAATTATAATTGAAATGTCTTTATTGATATATGGAGCCATTGTATTTCTAGGGATACGCCTTAGTAACAGTGAGTTATTGTACCATCAGAAAGTATAAGGATGAATAAACAGTCTATGAGCACCAAGTGTCCATAATTATTGGCTATGGTATTGCTGTATGCTACATAAACAAAAAACGATTACATTTTTACCTGTCAGTAATGGGGGGAATTGATGGTGCAGTGGTAAATCCAGCAACCAAAGTTGAATTCCTAGCCGTGGTTAAATTCCTGCACGGACCAGCGGGGGAGGGGAGTGCTCCATCCAGCCGACAATGAATGAAGGGATGAAAATTCCACTTAAAATAAAAAAAGATACAATGTAACTGGTGTTGGCCTAGCATAATGCTGGAAAATTACCTACAAATTACTAAACTGGGATTATAGTTGGCTACATCGCCCCACACTGAAAATGTGGCAGCACCCTCCATATAAAATAGCCTTGAGACTCAGGCTATTCTGGGTAAAGATGCATAACAAGAATCATAGATGCATGTCCTCGCAGTCGATTATACTGAACGGTAAGCATCCAACGCTGCTTTTGTTCACGATTAAAAGGAGTAACCCACACTTTACCCCACCACATGAGGGCCTACCGATCAATTGTGGGGTGGCCATTTAGTCAGTTTGGTGGGGATTGGAAGACCAGTGCACTCACCATTACACCATCCCAAGCAAACTACGGATCCGAAACATCCTAGGCTCCTGTTGGATAGGGACAGATATATGAATGATGGTGCAAATATCTGCTTACTTGATATCATGTTTATTTTCCACAACGACGTTAACGATTATTTTGTTTATCTGGAGACAAGCATTTAAGGAGACATTATATTCATTTTGTTCTTGTTATAAGCATTCTCAACAGCGATGCACAAACATTATTCTGGGATCGTACTGTCACTACCCTAGAATTGCACTCAGATCCGGAAGAACATTGGCAAACAGTGAAACAGCACCCGCATTCGGAAAAAAAACGCCTCTTTCGAGACCCAAACATCGCACCTCCTGGCTTTGACATTCCTCAAAGATACTGGGAAAACCATCAACCGCATCAGAACATCAACAGAAGCAATTTGCACGTCTCCTTCGTGAACGGAAAATGAAAGACAAGGGGCCGTCCATAAATGACGTCATGCACCTAGGGGGAGGGGGGGTCAGACATTTGTGACGATGTGTGACGAGGAGGGGGGGGGGGGGAGTTTGAGAAATGTGACGTCACATAAAAATGCGCAACTTTAATTAAATATAGACAACACGTTCTACTTAATTAAATATACCTTTTTAATGTTTTCTCCTACAACATCAGAGTTGCAGCGCCACATTAAATGCGCACTACAATGACAATAGTTTAAAGCGATTTTTTTTTGGGGGGGGGGGGGCAGAGCTTTGTGACGTCATATTTGAGGGGGGGGTCTGAGTTTTTGTGACGCCGTGTGACGATGGGGGGTGGGGGGGGGTCAAAAATCGTCCAAAATCGCGTGACGTCATTTATGGACGCGCCCCCCGCCCCCCCAAGGCAGAGTGGTGCGAATGTGGCCATACAACCTTAAACTATAGACCATATATCCACGAACTCTGTCCCCTGAAGCCCTCACGTCGCGATCAGCAAACCTCGACATTTGTTGGCATTGAGCTCCCCTTCTTCTGCCATAGGCAAGAGTGGAAAGAGGAGTGGAATAACGCGAAAAGTGCCTCGCTGCAGCCGCTTAGGGGCGCAAGAACTGATGATGCCAGGACATTTCCCCCAAAACCCGAGGGTCAGCAAACTGCTCCTTGAGGCTCTTTGGTTACACCCCTTGATATAAAAGTGATAAAATTCGGTACGGCAGAGAATGGGTCACTCGTGGGGATGGCTTGGTGACAACAAAATAGCCATTCAAACTGATTTGTTGAAGAATTACTCATGGGGGGGGGGGGGGACTAAATAGACGCAGTTTAGGGGCCATCCATAAATGACGTCACACACCGGGGGGGGGGGGGGGGTGAGAAAAGTGACGTCACATCAAAATGCGCCACATTAAATACGCACTACAATGACAATAGTTTGAAGCGATTTGAAGCATAATTTTTTATTTAAAGCTTTCGTGACTGCAGGGATTAATATTATTGGTTCTTTCGGTAAAGTCACGTAGAAGGGAAACAATAAAATAATAAAAATATAAAAATAAAATTAAAATAAAATATATATTATATTTGTATTATTTTATTGTTTCCCTTCTACGTGACTTTACCGAAAGAACCAAGAATATGATTTGAAGCATGTTTTATTTTGGGGGGGGGAGGGGGGGGCAGAGCTTTGTGACGTCATATTTGAGGGGGGGGGGTCTGACTTTTCGTGACGCCGTGTGACGAAGCAGGGGGGGGGGGTCAAACATTGTCACCGCAGCAGCAGCAGCGACGTCGACGTCATCAGTGACGTCTCGACGTGGACCGCGCGAATTGTTGGCGGGAAGCGGCGGGCACCAGCCAGCAGTAGTAGTGAGGGAAGCTCTCTGCGTCTCTTCGTTACAAGTTCTTTTTCCGGTCGGAACATGCTTTGTTTGTCAGTCGAATTAATGGGGGTGTGTGTTGGGGTCTGGGGGGGTTGTGCTTAAATTAATTAAGAAGTTAAAGAACTACGGGCGAATGAGCCCGTGGTGAGTTTGCTTCGCGTGATCGAACGGCGCGCGTCGTTCACTCGTCTAAAGAAAGTATAATTGTGTTGTCGCGTATTACACTGCGTGTACTGTAACGTCCCGTCGTATGCTAGTAAAATATATAGCGTGCGTAGAGGGGTGGTGGCACTTGTCCAGCGGTGGATTGAGCATGGTATACGTACGTGCACGTACTTTGTAAGTACTCGTGTTGGCAGGGTTGTGTGTAAGCACGTCTCGTGTAAGACGCGTAGTGAATTACAGTACATACCCTAAGTATATGCACGCGGTGTGTTATGTTACGTGCAAGCTCAACGCGCCTTTAAAGTATTCTCTTTCACGTGATTAAAAGTACTTGTGTCCGTATATAAGTACGTATAGTGCACTTTTTTTTTACTTGTGACACTTAGTATCTTGCACTGTATTGTTTACACGTATAGCTATACTGTATACTGCGGTGTACATGCATGTCATGTGTACTACAATGCTCTATATATGAAACAAGTACGTGTGTTGGTAGTGTATGTAACAGATAGTACATGTTTAAACTATGTGTATTGGTATGTACACACGCGCTGTATTGTTCAGGGTGTACTTATAAAAGTTTATGTACAGTGCGCGTTCAGGAAATGGTTTGGTGTATGTGTATACATTGCACTGTTGTGTATTTTGATTTGTGTTTTTTAACATATTGTTGTTTACGTGTGGTATATTGTCACATGTTTGTGCATCTCCTTGTTATATGTGCAGCGGTATAAGAATATTTCCTCTGTATAAAGTTTAGTGCCTCGCATAGTGAAGGGTTTATACTTTGTATTAGAGTTATGCTGGACTCTATACAATGTTAAGACTCATCAGTCGAGTGGGCCTTGAATCCGGTAGTATATTGCTCTTGGCTGATGTTGTTGAGCTTTGTGCAGCAATGTGAAGTTTACGTGTGACGGTACAGTGTTAACGTTAAGAACTAATAGCTAAGGGGGCTTTTCCCTGATGAACAAAAATATATCGTTTCGTTTCCGTCTTTTTTTCGGGATTTGCTCACCCTTTCCTATACTTTGCACTCGTATCGATGTTTTGTGTGTGTGTGTATTGTTGTGTTGTAACTTGTGGCTGTCGGCCAAGATGAAGATTTCTTATTTGCATACCTGTCAACCCCTTATCAGTGTCCTACCTTATAACAGACCAATTCAGACCTTATTGGTCACCCCGTGCCCTTAAAAATCTCAACGTTCATCCCACAAAGTTCCATCACAAGGGAGAAACACAAACAAATAGATAACATTTTACGGGTATTTTTGCCTGTATGGACCTGAAAACTCGGTTCCCCTGTACGAGAATACAGGTAAACCGTATGGGTTGACACGGTATGGATTTGCAAGCTCATGGGGTTCGGCAACGTTTGGGCCATGCCACCCCTTTGGGTATGAAGTGTAGGGGGCACTGGTGGGACGCTAAGAAATCCCTCCCTCATCCCAACACTGCATTGTTGGGCTGTTTACTTTCCAGCCTTTGGCAATGAAACAAACACAATGTGGGGGGGGAGGGACACTTTAAATGCTTGGCATGGGCACGTTCTGATACATTTTGCACTCGGCAGCAGATTTTATTTTTACATCATATACCGGTAAATACCAATTTAAAGCCACGCTTGAGAATCTTCAGTTTTGTATGTGCAGTAAATTCTTTTTTAAAAAACATGTAATACGTTCTGCCTGTTATCCGTGCATCCTAATCGATAAGCACAAACTCCTATCCGTGCTCTGGCTTTTAGTGTTATCCGACTGAGCATTCGCACGGTTAACATGAGTGACTTCGAACTGGGGGGGTAATTCATCTTCGAGTTGAGAAGTTAATTTGTGTGGATAAAATAGTATAATGTCACTGTGCTCAATAAGTGTAACGTCTGTGTCAAGCTGTAATGACTTGCACGCCTGGTCTCTGCAGTGCCATTAGTCAATAGAGTATGCATGATATCGATGTTAAACTATTTGCTTATAGACTCTATTTTGAAGAAAAAAATGTACAAAATTTGTAAACCATAATATTTTCATGATCACTAACCCAACCTCCATAGGCTTATAAAAGTGCACCAACAAACATTGTCCATGTCCGGAGACTTATCTGTTTTATGATTTGTCTTTTTCCACAGTATATGTTTGCGTCTATATTCCAAATATGTGAAGTACAATACATTTATTTAGTGGCAACATTTTACTATGTTGCTATGCCTGGTTATTTTGGTGTTGCCTTGTTGAAGAACTGCCCGTTTTTATTCCAGTGTACTAATGTTCCAGATATTGTATTACACGTGTTCTCTTTTGTGCTATTGTGTTAGGTATTGCTCTACTGTTATCATCTTCTGATACCTAAGTCTGCCTTGAAAAAGACTTTCAGTCTCGCCTAGTTGTAACTACCGTATGTATTTCTATAGTGTGACCTTTTCAGCCAAACAGTGCAGTCTACTGGGTTGTGTGGATTCTCAAATATTTTTTCTCCAAATTGCCTCACAGGGCAAGCCCAAACATGTTCGTCCATCAAGAGTGTAACCATGGATATTATACAGCTTAGTGTTTTACCAATAATCAGCAGCAGGAACAGAAAGTAATTTCAGTACTGACAAACTACATATCAAATTCTGTGTATGCTGTATATTTTAAGCCAAAGCAAATGCTCTGTTTAAAAAAAAAGTAACCCTAACCTCTCTTTGATGTCACTAAATAAAAGTGGATAATTTGTCTTTATAGTAATTTGAGGGATTTCATTGATTATTATTGAACTTTGTGGCTCTGTAAAATTGTTCAGTTTTTATATTTGCGAATATGGATACACCACAACAAGAAAGTGCACAACATCGTTATGCCCAGGCTGTTAATACAGTTAAATTTATGCCTTAAAAATGTCATTTTTTAACCTTGAACTGCAGCATTTTGATAAGCGCTTCATTTTAACAAGCCTGGTTTGTGCTCGCGACGCAAATCGGCACTAGCTACCTTTGCCTACTCTATAATTTGCTTGAACATCGCCTGGCTGTGTGTCATTCTGCTATTTTCACGCAGGCTTTCCAAACACGCCTGGTTCTGCCCTGGCCTGCAGTGGCTATTGTGCCCCAGCTGCCGCTGCCCACTCTGATCGCCTAAAGCCATCGTGAAGACGCTCCATGGTGGTGTTGGCGTCGTTGGGATGCATACCATCTGTTTGTGGTTAAGATGTTTATGAAGACAAGGCATTCTTTCTTAATCGTTGTTTTGATGCATATTCATTGCGATAGGACTGCTGCCGTGACATTGGTTTGCACCGTCAGGAGCAACGGTCGGTCATGCTTTTACGTGTTGAAAAAGGCAACTGAATTGTTCTCAAACTCTCTGAAGGTGTTGTGCATATTGGCGGTTCGATTTGCGCCAGCATGTTTGGAAATAACGGCAATAACATGGCCTTGGAGGACACGGATGCGCTCAGATTGCAGCTCTACTTTGCTGGGAACTCGCTAAATCTCGACTCTTACCTCAACGGTGTTGACATCTTCCTCCATCTGCTTCAGCAATGCTGGCCCAAGGTGGCGACTTTGGAAAATCTCCGCCTCGGCACGAATGTGCCAGAGTCCAGCCTTGCCAAAGCTCTGTCCGGCGTGTGCCGTTTGTACGCGCTGCGATCGCTGGCTATGCGTGGCGGGATTGCCCGCAATGACCACGGGGCCGGCATAGCTGGCTCCCTCGTTCGCCTCCCCGACGATATTTTCTCGAACCTTTGCCACCTCACTCACCTGGAACTCAGCTGCAATCGGCTGATCAGTCTTCCACCCACCCTGCGAGGACTGACGTCGCTCTCCATACTCTTCCTGGCCAACAATTCCTTGCAGGTACGCATTCTTAGTGTAATTAAACGCCTTCTCGATGAAGGTGTTGTTTATGCAATATATGTAGAATACAGATTTGTATCCATCAAAACAGAGATGCAGTCACAACTGGTGATGTCTCGGTTTAAATATAATAACATTGACATTGTGCCATTTAAACAAATGAGGAAGGAGTTCTTAAAAGATTTCAAACCTCAGGTTAATTCAAATAACTTACAAAACTTATAACTATAACAACATTGCATTATTTGCATGACTAAAAAACAACTACATCTTACAATGTTATGAAATCTTGACTTAAAGCTTTCGTGACCACAGGAATAAACTTAGCAATCATTGCAAGAACGTTATCAACCAGTTTTAAGTCATAACTGGCCGTGATGTTCCCATCCTACCACTTTCCGATGTTATTTTCGGCTCTCCGATTTTACATTAACAGGTTAAATTTATCACGCTAACAGCCACCGTCGCTCGCGTCCTCAAGGTGGCGGCGGCTCTGCGATCTCACATTAACATGCTAATCTCTCACATTAACATAGCCACCTCAGCGCACTCGCCGTGGAGGCCGCTCACCGATCTCACATTAACATGCTAATCTCTCACATTAACATAGCCACCTCAGCACGCTCGCCGTGGAGGCCACTCACCGATCTCACATTAACATGCTAATCTCTCACATTGCCATAGCCACCTCAGCACGCTCGCCGTGGAGGCCGCTCACCGATCTTACATTAACATGCTAAATTTTACCTGGCTACCCTTTCATTGGTGGAAAACCCACCACCGTTGCCGTCGCTGCCCACCACTTACATTAACATTCGCTGTCCTGCCCATGCTGCTGACATTTGGGCTATGCCCATTTCAAACCTTTATAAACCGTTTGCCTTTAGAAGCTAACCCCCTTTTCCTGATGACGACCTCTTGTGTTGTGATCGAAACGTCATAGGTTTTTGTTATTTTCTTTGAACCTATCTACGTGATTTTACCAAAAGACCCAACGAATATAAATGTTATGAAATTATACATGTATATATAATAAAATAGAATACATCATATGTAATAATACAACTGTACTGTAATTTGTACTGTGATTTTATTCTGGCGATTTTTGAGAAGCATATTTTTACAAAGTCTTGTTTCCCAGGAGCTTCCTGATTGGCTGGGGCAGCTCAGGAGCCTGACTCGGCTGTCAGTGAAGGACAACCACCTGTGCTCCGTGCCGCCAAGCTCCTTGGAGGGCCTGTCCGCCCTGTGTTGGCTCGACCTGTCCAACAACCGCCTGGAGACCCTGCCGGAGGAGCTGGGCTCCCTGCATTGCCTGGAGGACCTGGACGTATCTAGGAACAGCCTCGCCTCCCTTCCTGCCTCGTTGAGTCAGTGTATTAATGAACAGCTGCTGATCTTGTGTATCAGAATAAACACTTATTAAATTCAGTGTCGCAAACACAACCGAGCCTTGTCAGGGCTGTGGCAAGCAAGTTCCGGTGCGGCTTAGGATCTCGCAGAACCAGAGCTGTGCCACTGACGTCACGACTTGAGTCACAGCACATATGGAAAATTGTTAAGCCTGCTTCTGGTTCTGCTTGGCCCCAAGCTAGATTCAATTGTCTTGTAAGACCAGAGTTTAACGGTTTGGTCGTGGCTTGACATTGTGAATAGATCGTGGAACACCACAGGCATACGTTGATATGGGAATCAAATGAAATAAGCCCGGAATAGGGCTTCAATTTAGGGACACAGCCCAGGCCACTTATTAGAGCACGGATTTGATCGGACATTGGAATCAATTTGTATCCGTCCCAATAGATGGTTTTAATTTGGGCGGGTGACTACTTACAATGAACCTGATAAAATGAATGGGTCTAAACAGCAGACTAGGGGGTCAGAAGTGCTAGGCTCAATGGAGGGGTTAGGCAGGTGAGATTGTAGTGCAGTCCACAGCCAAAAGGCTGTGCAACAGAAGTTACGTAGACTTTTTGGACTCCTATTTGCAGTTCTAAGATCTGAAAACACACCTCCCTACATCGCTACATACTCGCAAACAGCACTTCACCCCAACAGTCTGTTAAGGGTGGATCCCGTGTTGGTGCGTAGGTGGGATGAATCGTCTGAAATCGCTGTTCCTGCACGACAATCGTCTGATATCCGTGCCAGCGAGCCTGGCCTCTCTGCCGGCACTATCCCGCCTCGACCTCTGCAACAACAGCCTACGTTTCGTGCCGCCTGAGGTTGCGCAATTGCCCTTCACCCAGCTCAAGGGGAACCCCATTGGCAGGCCCGAGACCCCTCCACTGCACGGTACATTTGCAGTCACCGCACACACCTTCGTGTATTGTCAGCATCAGGCCTCCCCAAGTCACCGCCACCTCTCGTGATCCTGCAATGTAATAATCCACCCAGCACAAAGCACAAACTCTGATTTCATACCGCTCCATTTCCTAATTAAATGTCCCCTCGGACGAGTACCATTCCATGGCTGTTACTTTATTATTATTATCATTATTGAATTTATAACCCGCCAAGTTTAACTTAAGAAAGACATTCAGGGGTTAAGCATAATAAATTAAACCATCCACACCCAGTGCAGTATTTGTGAATGGCGAAACTGCCATTTATAGTTGTTCACTAATCCGACCTTCGAACATGTTCTCCTCTACCTCAGCAAGTCGACATATGAGATGTACTGTACCTTCATGACAAATAACACGCGTGCCTGCCACATGTCCTCTTTACATGGCTTGTGTTTTTTTTATTCAGAAAAACACATCGATGAACCAAAGATGATAAAGATTAAGCTACTTTCGGACCACAGCAGGTGATTCCCTTTTTTTGCATGTGAATCGACTTGGGATGCTTTGGCTGAAGTGACCTTCAAGATTGTGGACCAATGTTGTCCTATACGTGGGATCATGCCAAGAGGAGTTTATATGTGCAGTACATCAGTGTATTTGTGTCTGAATAACACAGGCCGGAGATGGGGAGCGGTAAGCATTACATTCCTATGAAGCTAATTTCAACTCCGGGCTACAGAGAACATCAGTGGAAATTGGTTTCCGAACTGGTTCTGGACCTCTCCTATGTTGACGCGGCCTTAAATGAGTACCTGGTGTGTTGTGTAAACATCAGTACCGGAAAGACAAAGATATCCATGACTTTATGATTCTGATTACACAATCTCTCGTGTGTCCTGGATGACTTAGTAGGCACTTGCAAACAGTACTTTCCACAACAGTCCGGGTAGCACACTAACTACCAACGTATGTATCTTGAACTTCTTTAGCACCGTATGTAGCCAACCGTGCCTGAGAAAATATTCGTAGCAAATGGTATCTGAACCTGTGCTCAGCTTCTGCTGGATTGACTCAGCATTGAATGAGTCTCTGGTGTGAGACAGAGGGGGACCAAACCCACGTGGTGTTGGTCATTCCACGCTCGTACAGTGCTGGTGTGAATAGACCGTCGCTAACGATATGGCTAAGCCGTAGAGTGTTTACCATGCTACGGCCTGCTTCGCAGTTGGAGCCCAGAAGCCACCCTAGTTTATACTGTGGGGGTATTAACAAAATACCACGAGCCATCTGTTCCACAGTGAATGTTCAAGATTCTGCAACGTTATTCTGAAAGGAGTAGGCCATTTGCGCGGACATCGCAGTCCAAATTGCCACATTTGAAAATCACAACATTACACAATTAGGTAGTGCCACATGGCAACATCGCCTGCTACTGTGAAACTACTGATTAATATTCCCCTCTGTAAAACACGTTATGGTTGTGATTGCTTCCCATTATTCTCATAGCACCAAAATAGCAAAAGTACGAATGGCTGGTTTGATTTGTACCAGCGGTCTGCGCAACTGCACTGGAGTTGTGTACATTTGAGTACCTTGCGTGCGTGCGTATACGTGCGTCGTGTGTGCAGCATGACGGTGGGGCCTGGTGGCCTGCTGGCGTGGCTGCCATGCGGAGTGAGGCTGCGTTTCCCCGCGGGGGCCGTGGACACGGAGACGTCGGTGACGTGTGACGTGCGGCCCCCTGACCCCACCATTGTGCGACTCAATGATCACGAGCTGCTGCTGAGCTCCATTCTCGTCCTGCAACCGCACGGGATCACCTTTGGCAAGGTTGGCTTCGCAACAATCACCACAGTGGTTGAGCTATCAGGTGTGCTGGTGGTGTAATTGCACCGGGGCAACCACAGACTGGACAGGATCGGGGCTTGGGCGACGTAAAGTGGAGGAGAGATTGGACAGGGATACCCCCATTAGGGGTGAGATTTGCCGCGGTGGCGAGATGTTAACTCCCTCGCCCGGTATACAGGAGGTTGTGCAATCGATCCCGACCCTGATGCCTGTATATTCGGAGTTGCATGTTCTCATGGTCGTGTAGATTTTTCTCCGGGACCTTCGGTTTTCCTCTCCACATTTAGAAAAGTGCATTTAGAGTATTTGGTCTATGTAATCTTGTGGCATAGTTATCGAGTGCAGTTTGTGCAACTGTATCGTGGCCCATTGCAGACGTGTCGACCCCAACGGAGTTTAAATCAGTGAGAACCCTTCCCGAAAAGCTTGGGAAAAAACCTTAAAAACTGAGATGGGAAACCCAAGAAACCGAGGCACAGAAACGTTTAACTGTCACACAGGCAAGGGGGGGTGGGAGATTGCTAAATTAGTTTGCGTAGTGGCAATAGGAGGCTAATGTCTACCACTCTGTGAACACCCCCACAGTAAATTATATAATAAGTCTAACTTTGGATAGTTGTCAGTTTTCTGCTATTTTAGCTAGAGAAAGGGTGTAAGCAAAGACAACACATTTTGAGCTGACCCCTTACAGATGAGCTAAACCATCAGCATCTGCCGATGCACTGCTGTAAATCGGTCTAAATGTACTATTTTAATTTAAACAAATCAAAAACTTTTAAAATACATTCCATAGCCATGGGACACTCAAAAATTGTAAGAATTCATAAGTCGCAAGAGTCATCCGTGAGACTTTGCCGGTATGCATTGCCCAAAGGGTCTCAGGTACCAAGCTACAGGAGCAAAAGGGGGGTGGGGGGAGAGGGTGGTGGAGAATTGGACAAGGTCCTCCGTTTTAATTCCTTGCACCAAAGCTCATGCCAACCAGGCGATGACAATGTCCCGCTTCCAGACTTTTTTGACGTTTCATACCCGCTGGTCTGTATTAAAATTCCATCTTGATATTTACTCGTTATGCTTTTAATTGGACCCTATTGGCTACCTTTAAAATTGCAGATCAAATGTTAAATTGTGGGTTTGGAGCTGTTAAGATGTACTATGATTTATGGGCCAAGCTGTCTGGGCCAAGGTCTTAGTAAATTTGAGGCGCTTCAGTTTTATTCATTTAATTTGTTTTTAATGGACCTACGTTTGGAATTGATGCTCAGATAATGTGTTTCATTTGTTGCTCATTATCTCTGGAATGCTTTTACTCATTCTTTGTTATTGACAACGATAAGATATTGAACATTTTATTAGCTTAAGAAAACACTGCTTACATGAGGATGTATTTCAGATGGGTGAAGAGGAATGAGCCTTCTTTATTCTGTGATTGTCGCCGCTTTGTTCCTGCTAAAAGGATGTGGAGTTTAGTTCCCCTGGCCTCTTGTGAGCCAACTACATTCTTGGCACCTTTAACAATGACAGGGTGCCCATAAAATTAACATCCATTATTTTAATAATTATAATTAGACTGCAGTTTCAGCTAGGTTGACAAAAATGCGCGCAATTGGCAGAATTGTTCATTTTTATCATGCAAACTTTATCCTTCCAAACCTCTACGTGTTCGCCGTGGCATGGACGACATACGTCCCATTGACATTTTGAGAGAGCCCCAGGTGTGTTTGCCAATTTATTGCTCGTGATTGGTTTGAATGCTTCTGCTGTGTGCTGTTCAGATAACCGAAGCCTTTCAGTAAAAAAAAAACATTAGTATATTACAAATATATTTCCAACACCTGAACCATATATTTAGATGTTTCAATTTTCTATAAAAACTATGCATTTCTTAATCACGAGTAAATACCTTTTTAGGCATCTTGTATACTTTCAAGACATTTATCTGAAGCTGAATAGTACTATGTTACGTTATAATCGGCCCCATCATTGTACCTCGTTAAGTATTTAAGTGCTCAGTAAATGGAAATCCTTAACCTTTATTATATTGTGTGCATTGAAGGAGGTTGATATCACTGTACCGTATGAAGAAGTGCAAGATGGACCCAAGAGGGAAGCTGTGATGCGTACCTTTGACTGCAACAACTGGAGTAACTTGGAGACAAAACTGAAAAGAGACAAAAATGTACAAGCCGAAGCACAACCTCACCTTGGCAACATATGCTGCTCCATATCTTCCCGTGTCGACATGCGTTGCACTGCGCTCACAGTAACTAGAAACGACGCTGCAATCGAAAGTACTCGAGTGACATTTTTTGTCGTTCAGCCCGATTGTTTAATGTACCAAAGTAAAATGCAACCCGCTAAATGTTTTACTCTAGCTCGTAATCCTATTTAGCTCCCAATTCGAATGAATGGCACAGCCGCTAACTGAAAAGCTATTGGGGGTTGAACAGGTGCGTTTTATCATCTTCAGCGGAGAGTTTAAATCTTGAGAACTATTGTTTGAGTTAAGCTCTCAAGAGCTTCCAGCATTGGGAGTAAAACACCGGATCTCCTGCTGAACAAAGCGCTCTAAAAACCAAAATCACATCACGCATGTATGCAGCATAACCGTGAAAGCTACCCCATTATTTCTGTTGGACATGCCTTTAAATTTTTTTGTCAACGGCAAAAACTATGATTTAATATTTATTGTTATTGCTGTTTTCTCAATTCTGTTCACAAGACAAAGTATCAATTGAAACGCTTGGATCGAATTAATGGTCCGTGCTAGAAAATAGCACAGAACTACTTCAGAGAACCCTTGCCGTGACCTTTCTCATCCACACTGGGGGAAGGGGGGGGGCGCACTTTCAACCATGCTGTGCTACAGAGAAAGTATTAATCACATTACAGTTACACCAAACCAATATTAAAACATTCTCGAGAGCTGGATTTTAACCAGTTTAAGTCAAAACCAAATTTGGTGCATCGGGTTTTTTTTTGCAGCAATTTGTGACTGGGCTGAGGTGATCCACTCACTGCACTTGAGAACCAGTTCAATCATGCGGCTACCCATATTCTTAATGATATCAGATCAGGGTTTTGACCTCTTGGTCACCAAGTTACCTTGAGTTTGTAATATTTTACTTGAAGCTAATTCACAGTCGTACAACTTTACCACAATTTTTGTCATCGCCATCATCAAGTCTTCTTTACTTAAATATGGCAGGTAGTTCAATGGCAACGTTTATATGTTCATGTCAAGGGTGGCGAGCCAGCGGATGGCATCAGGAATAGCCTGATGTAAATTGTCTTATGCATTGTTACTGCGTGGGTTTTCGCAGTTATGTTCTCTAGCTTTCTGATGCGTTTTAGTTTATTTTTTTAAAGTTTGTTCTTCCCCCACATTTACGATTAGCATGGTTGGTTATGTACGGTGCGAAAGGAGTTCAACATACATAAACACAGCCCAAAAACACATCATAAAGTCTGGGGAATATCTGAAATGCTACCGACGAATGATGGACATGTCATACTTTATGGTGCATTTTGTGAGTCACACCGTGGGCCTTTCCTAATGTATATGTATATTTAACTTCTTTTGCACATTATGTACCAAACCGTGCTAATCGGAGGTGCAGGTGGAAGGACAACAATGTGTCAACCTTGCGCGTGTGGTGGCGCTGGCAGGGCTGCAGTGTGGCGCAGTGCTCCATGCTGCACTTCTCCTACTTCCTGGTGGTGGCGCGGCTGGTGGAGGACTCTTGCTCCGTGCCGCCCGAGGGAACCCAGCTCTTCAGCTCTGTGAATCCCGGCGTTCACCTCCTCTTCCCTCCCGGGGCCGTGGAAGAGACGCGCCAAGTCCGCATGCAGGTGGATGACGTTTTGATTCTCGCCGACAGTCAAGCAATATTCCTTAAGTTTAACACGTAGGCTTTTGCGACCAATATCATTCATCATTAATACAGGTTTTTTTTGTTAGATCGCGTAAAATGTAAATGTGTCGTTAAACCCGCCATCACCCGACACAGCCAACTAGTAAGGTTTGTCACATAAACAGAACATGCCAATTCGTTATGGGTACAGCACACTGGTGTGTTGGAGAGCCAAGCCACAACATTTACAATCTTCAGTACGTTTCGACAGTAATTACAACTAACTTTATCAAGCGACAGCCAGATTTGTGTGTGTATAGTTCTCTGCGGTAAACACAACGTGTTTAACAACAACGCCGCTATGCCTCTCTAAATATAACTAACGCTGATCGGCTTGCACGTTCCGAGATTCAGCGGTGAACGGGACACCCACCCTGCAACTTGTAGTAGACTCGGAACGGGAAAGGGTTAAAGTGCATATTCGGGTTGTACTGCGTGTGGATCAGCCACGATATCCGATATTTTGTTGCAGGTGTTGGGAGCTTTAGTAGGAAACTATGTTTAGGTTTCACCATGTGTTTCCCAGGAACTGAATGAAGAAGCTCAGTATTACAAGCAAGATTCTATTTATATCAGAATGCCAAAAAAACACCCCCTCCACACAGACAGAAGGCATAGTTATACCACAGCTAATGAGGGTTTAGGTAAGTTTGATAACGACATCATGCAAATAAAGGATGTCACATGAAATGTCTTAAGGTGTCGATCTCTGTGGTGAACTTGTCTCCACGCCCGCAGGTGCTGCCCGTGGATGATGATGAAATGCGCCAGGTGGTGGGGGATGAGACTATGATCAGTCCAGTGCTCATCCTGTCCCAAAGCCCGGCCTCCACCTTCCTCAAGCCTGTCAAAATTCGCCTTCCGCTGCCACCTGGTGTCTCTGGTAATCCATTGTCTCACCAAAGCCAGTTCCTTGAGGCCAAGATGATATTAATAATTTACAGCCCTTTGTCAATACACTACTGGATGAAGGCCTCTCCAACACCACATTGATAGGTTGGGCCGTTTTGACCATACTTCACTACGTGTGTCAGTGCATGTTGGTGACCGGTGAATGAAGTACAGGGTGCCAATGGATTTTGTTGCACTGCCCTCTACTGCCCATTCTGTCTATTATTACACCTGTCTTTTATGCATGGTGGTCACCCATCCAAGCACTATATAGGTTCAACCCTGCTTTGCATCTGATATTTCATGAAATCAGTCACATTCCATTTGCTTTGGTCATTGGCATACACCAATACGAATTTAAAAAACACATTGATTCTTACATGCAATGCGGTATATGTACTGTGAGCTGCATGGTCAATACCAACGGATGAAAAAAAACAGCTTTACCCCCTATCTATCACAAGGCACAAGTCTGCATTAACCACACATGATTGTTGTAAAATACTCAAACAAACATGCTTCGATAATGTATGCATTGTCTTTAAAACTGATTGGCCTATAACAGAGAGAGAGCCTCCTTTATCGCCTTGTCTCACCAGTGTTAGACCAGAGAACGCTAAGAAGTGAACAGCACAACGGATGAATCGACGCGTCCGTTGCATCTTTGTTAGAACGGTAACCCTTGCACCTGTCGCTTGCAGGTTTTAAACTGGACCCTGGCAAACTGCACGTGCTGCACGGGGATCCACACACGGGGGACTGGGAGGACATCACCCGCGACCTGAAGCTTGAGTTCACGTACTTGTACGCCATCTTCGAGGTGTCCGAATTCTCCCTGTGAGTTTGTTCACTTTCTGCTTTTTCAGTAACAACAACCGGCAAAATACAATGACACAAATAATAATACTTTCATTTGATATTGCGTCGTTCATGCCAACAGCATCCCACAAGGCTGTACATAAATTATATATAAGGACCAAATCTCATACGAGGTTGGCTACGTATGGCGCAAAATAAACCCAACACACACACACGTAAATACCAAGCCAATCAAACCCTACTACCAAGGATAAAAAAATTAATAAACAAATTCGGAAATAGCACCGAAAAAAAAGCATAAACAAATGAATTCGTCCATAATAAGCTGTGATGTTGGAAGGTGGAGACAGAGCTACATGAGGGGAAAGTATGGGAGGCGGTCGAGGTTGAAGAATGGGAAAGGAAGAGAGGTGGGTGCCCGGCTATGTACACATGATGGAGAAAATAATCCAGTCGCAAGCAATCATTAAGTTATTTCTCCTTTTCAAATATATTTTAGTCGGAGCCCGGTACAGAGCACAAACCACGACGTAAGCGGGGGAGGTACATAAATCCCGCGGATGTAAGTCTGGAACGCTGTGCTCCTGAGTTTAAGAGGAGGGGAGAAATTGGGCTCACGTGCGGGGTATATGTATTTTTACGTAGGGAGGGGAAGATGAGGGAAGAATAACTTAAGTAAGGGAGTAGACGGAGAAGGGGGAAGTTCTTTCTATTTAGAGCATGGTTACTGAGCACGTACCCAAAGGTCCCAAAACCCCAAAGAGTCGTTTGACCATACTTCACTTAACCATGTTGGTCAGCGCTGGTTGGTGAAGGCGGCACCTACAACCGGTTCTGATATCACTCGCTACTCATGTCGGTCAGAAGGTGCAAGTGATGCAAGTGGAAGGAAAGAGATCAAGAGGAAGGCAGAAGAAGAGGTGGGGGAGCGATGTGGTGTGATCGGGACCATGGTGGCCCGAACCGTGGAAATAGAGATGGCGCAGGTCAGGGCAGCGTGGAGAAGGTTGGCAAGGACAGTGGGGACCCTACATGAGTGGGACAAACGCGTGGAAGAAGAAGACTCATGTTCACCGTGGCCAGGATTCAAACTCAAGTTGGCCGCTTCATAGCACAGTTGGCTAACCAATTACCAATACTCCCCCATTGAGAATGTGTCATCATCATTATCAGCCATGATAAAGCCATTGCTATATTTTTCAATTGTTATTTGTCAGAGATGTACTGCTACATTTGCTGCTCATCCTGCTTGGGCCTTGCCCATTTGAGATCGATCGCGTGCATGGCGAGTTTTTATGCATTCCTGGCTTGACTGTTCTTCTGGCATTAAGTTGAGAAGTGTCCTTCCACTCTGTTTGCTTATAGAACAGGCCAATAATAATAGGAATAATTATTGAGAAATATAATAAAATGAAAAATATGGCCCATTCCTGCATGCTCATACCGACATTCATTAGCCCGCTTGTGCTGCCAGACTGTTATCTCCCAGACAGAACGGTGCCTTGATGGCTGATATGGTGATTAATTTGTTTTTTGAATTTCTTTTGCGTTAGTCAAGTAAAGACTTATCCAAAAAATATATTAGAGTGTAAACATAATATATGACAGCATGATGTCTCGAAATTTAAAATAAGTAAAACAAATGTTGTCTAGTTTCAATCCTCTGCAAGGAGGCGATGCCAGTTTGTAACACAAATGGAAATGGGTTCTGAACAATTTGATGCAGTGGCTTATGGGTCAGTATATGAAGAGGTGCATTGTAGAACAGCACAAAGCTGGCATTGCAGAGATGCTGGGTTCACATCTGGATTGTCACCTATTGTGAGTTGATGGTCTCAGCCAGGTCACCAATAATTTGCTCAACAGAAACGTTACATATGTTTTCATCGCTTTATGTGGTAGATACTTTCCAAGAAAAATGGTGCATAAACCAAACCCTTGTAAAGCAAGGGGAGCTTTCATCTATTAAAGCGAAAAAAATGGTGTGCTACATAAACATCATTGTAAAAAATAGTTTGATTAATATGCATCAAACATTCTTCACATGGCATATAAAAGGTGTGTTCTACATGTGGATGAAGTGATTTCAGAAGTAGATCAGTGACGTCATCTTCTGTGGTTCGCAGACACTGTTGCACTGCTTCCTGCTGGAGTTCCATATTTGGAGTTTGCATGTTCTCCCCATGGTCACTTTGATTTTTCTCCGGATTCTCCGGTTTTTCCCTCCACATTTAGAAACATGCATTTAGAGTATTTGGCTGCTATAAATTTACACATGATAAGCCACTTTGTTGAGCTATCATTTGTGGCCAGGTTACTTCAGAAAAAAAGCTATATAGCTCAGTGGGCCTTACCTGGCTAAATAAAAATACATTTGATTAATACAATCTTTGCATAACAAAATTCATGATTGCGCATTTGAGATGAATTCCAGCATGAAAGGAGCCACCACAGTTCCACAATTGTCACTGAGGCGGCGCCGTGCTGACTGTGTTCCCGCCGTGGCCAGGTACTGGCTGTGGTATATGACGCAGGATTACGTGGGCACCGCGGCCAAGAAGGCCTACGAGCTGCTGCGACGGTGGCGCGTGTGCTTCCTGGCGATGCAGCTCAAGCGCGACCCAGAGCTGGTCCTGCTGCGGTGCCTGCCCTACAAGAAGGAAAGTTGCGGCCAACGTTACAAGTAGAAGCGTACGGCCAATTGGTTAAAAATCGATCCTCACACCCACGATACGTTATGATGATGATATTTCGTTTTTCTATAGCTTAATTCTTGCAACTGGATTGCACGGCGCATATGTATTCCCGTTCCGAGATCTCTGCAAGATGCAGGGTGGGTTCCGTTCACCACTGAATCTCGGAACGTGCAAGTGATTAGCGTTATTTTTATTTAGTGAGGCACAGTCCCGTTGTTTTAAAGACATGGTACTCGCTGTAGAGAACTTGCGACATGACCGCACTCTTATGATAGCTGGTGCCAAACTGTGTCACATGCCCTCCCGCATTGCATTGTGGGAGCATCAGTACCGATAAAGTTTTTCTTTCTGGTACGTCATCGCAACGGTAAAGGGTGAAGATCTTTCCAGCCAATTGATGAGTGTTTATACTTGTGGAGAGGAAATGGGAGCGCCTGGAGAAAATCTACCTGTGTGAGGGGACAACACTTTATTCCATACAGGTGGAACAGATGGAAATTAGTACACGCTTACTTGACCGACTTCTCCTGGCAAGCCAGGGTATGTCACCTTAACTACCACGGCAAGGGAGTTTAGAAACATTTGTGCTGGATTATAGGCGTGCATCGCCACTACCACTACGTGAATTGTGCCTCTCATAAATAAATCATATTCAACGTATACCAGTGCATAGCCTTCTTTAACCATGAGGTGCAATAGGCCCATGATGTCAATTGGAATTAATAGCAAAAAATATATATTTTTTCAAATGTACAAATCTATACTATATTCTCCAGCAATTTGATTGTTGGAATGTAAAGCGGGCGAATAACACTTGAACATTTTTAATGTATAGATATATAATGCAATTACTGGAAATGAATGTGACCAGATGAGGCAATTGGAGGCATATGGAGTTAATTGCACAAAATGTTTGCGCTCATTTACATGCTTATCTCTGTTTAGGCTAATAGTCACTATGATATGAATGTAGCTAAATTTTTTACTGTACTATTGGCCCAAAACCTTGACTGTTATATTTCTTTTAAGACAGCATTATTGATGATTATTAATGTTTTTGTTATTTTTGATTGTGCGCCACTGCCAACACAGTACCACCAAATTATTGTATCGATAAAAATATAACTGTCGTTAAACCGTACCTTATATTTATAGTTTGTATTGTATATTCCTGAAATGTAGTTATTTATTTTTAATCCTGCTTTTGATTGTTGAATGTTGCCTATAATTAAACGTTTTTTTTCTGTATTGATATTTGAGGAAAACAATTTGCATGAGGCGCTTTTAGGCCATGGCATCTCTGCGTGCCTTCCAGAACACAGAACCATGGACAATGCATAACATCCCCAGAGCAAGGGGGTTTAGAAATGAAGGGGGGGAAATACGTGAAGAGATGTAAACTAACGATAGAGCAAGAATATCACAGCTGACCCATGCACACACTGAGATGTTTGGCAAATTGTGGCATGCTGCATAACACACTTTCAGATGCGCTTCTGCAGCCGTCTGGAACGTTCATCCTTCCGATATTAGGAAGCCACTGGAATTATTTAATTTATAAATTAAATACTAATTTTTTTAGAACTGTTTTTTGTGTTTAGTTGTCCTTCCCCCGAACCTCCGATTAGCACAGTTGGCTACATATGGTGCGAAAGAAGTTCAAAATACACACATACATGTGTGGGAATGATCCAGAGTGCCTGGGGAAAAAAACCCACCAAGGTATTACAATATAAACTCTGCACAGATAGATTCAAGATTATGTTGCTGTTCTGCCATCTACTGGGCCACCTCGCAGCCCAAGACCATAACACTTGGACTTCACAGGCAGTCACCGATCCAAGTACTAAGCTGAGCTTCCGAGGTTTGACTGGGTCTGGCTTGTTTGGGTTGTTTTAATATTAAGCTTACCAACCTTGGGGCAAAATAGCCAAATCTTTGCCTTAAAAACCTTCATATATGTGGCATACTCTTTGCCACAATGTGTGTATTTTTAAAAACCACAATTACCACATTTTCTCAGTAGAGGGCACAGAGAGCTCTAACAAGCTCTACCAATCAAAATTAAAATTGTACGCAAAAAGATCAAGAACACAATTAAAATGTCTACAGTTACAATCTTATGTGCATGCCGGAATGGCCGATGACAAAATCACTGAGAAAGCACCCGATCCCGTCAAATCTCAGAATCTAAGCAAGGTTGAGACTGGATGGTGCTCTGATGGGTGACCAGCATGCATAGAATGCTATGGGCAGCACAGGGCAGTGCAGCACAGGGCAGAAAAATCTGGCTCTTCTGTTATGCTCCTGCATCTAAACTCATCACCTTTACCAATATAAACTTACCAGAATGGTGACGTATGGTGACATAACCCTACTACCCACATGACATGGGAAGGTCCTCATCCATCAAGTGGATTAACAAACAGGCAGAGCTGTCCCTAGGGTATGGCGAATCAGGGCGACCGCCCCGGGCCCTGCGCTTTGAGGGGCCCTGCCCGCTTCAATGTCACGGTGTCAGATGTGACACTTCCGGTTTAGTTTTAAGGCTTTGGGGGGGCCCACAGAGTGGGATTTGCCCCGGGGCCCCGCACCACACCTATGGACGGCCCTGCAAACAGGGACCCGTACACAAATGGTAATCCGCAAAGAATCGGCAAGACTTGTGTTTGATGTTCTCGTGAACGAGCACAACCTGTTTAACCCCACAGGTGGACCCTACCCTAAAGACCCTGCGGAAGAAGTACATTGGGCCCCAGCCCTCTGAGATGGTGGAGATCCTGGAGGGCGAGGAGTTTTACGCTGCCTTTGAGGGAGGAATCGAGGTCCATACAGGTGCAAGCTGCCCGGTCACACTAAACTAAGCTATTTTTACGTTCCATAATGCACGTTTTTTTGGGGGGTTAGATCGTTTAAATATATAAATGTGGTGTTAAACCCACCTCCACCCGACGAAACAGGAGGACTTCTCCACAAATCTGGCTGTCGCCTGATGAAGCTAGTTGTAATTACTGGCGAAACGTCTTACTCAGATTGTAAATGTTATGGCTTGGCTCTCCAACACAGCGGTGTGCTATCCTAGTAACGAATTAGCATGTTCTGTTTACATGACAAACCTTAATAATTGGCTGTGTCGGGTGGTGGCGGGTTTAACGACACATTTATAATCACGCAATGTATCCCAAAAAACCCTGTATTATGGATGAATGGTTGCGAAAGCCTACGTGTTAAACTATTTTGATGTTACCAGGTAAGGCCCACTGAGCTATATAGCTTTTTTTCAGAAGCGACCTGGCTATCACAAATGATAGCTCAACGAAGTGGCTTATCTTGTGGAAATTTATAGCAGCCAGATGCTCTGAACACATGTCTCTAAATGTGGAGGGAAAAACCGGAGGACCCCGAGAAAAATCTCCCCGACCACGGGGAGAACATACATACTCCAAATATACAGACATCAGGGTCGGGATCGAACCCATGACCTTCTGCATACCAGGTGAGGTAGTTAACATCTCGCCACCATGGCACATTCTCTCGTCCATTTGTTCCTTTGAGAAGCTCGGTGCAGAATCAGGGGGATGCTGCCATAGTGCTGTAATGGTCAGCACACTGCACCTGCAATCCAGCGGTCGCTGGTTATATTCGAATTCTCGCCGCGACACTTGAAACAATGGTGCAAGTATTTTTTTATGTCGATCCAGCATTGTATAAATGGGTACACTGCAGTTATAGTTGATCGGCTGGTCGCGTATGGTGGGGTAATTTTGTGGGTAACTCCCACCTCTTCCAAGACGTCTGACCAGTGTGGATGGACAGGCTGCCACTCTGCGCCCAACCTTATGGAAGAGGTACGTGGATGACACTTTTGTCATCTGGCCACATGGCCGGCCTGCTCTAGACCAATTCTTCGACCACATCAATTCCATACACCCAGCCATCAGATTTACCATGGAAGTCGAAAAAGATGGCAAGCTACCTTTTTTGGATGTCCTAATAAAAAAGAGACCTGATGGTTCAATGAGCCACTGTCTACAGGAAAGCTACCCATACGGATGCTTATCTGAAACCGGATTCCCACCACATCCATCACAGAAGAATTCTCTCATCAAGACTCTGTACCATAGAGCCCAATGCATATCCGACCAGGAACACATAGGCGGTGAACTCAAGCACGTACACCAAGCTCTTAAGGCTAATGGTTACTCTGACTATACAATCCGCAAAGCTATCACTCAAACCATGAAGAAGGACCCTCTTGAGGAGCCTTTCAAAACCATCACTTTACCCTACATTGCGGGGATCACAAAAAAGATCTCTAAAATCTTGAATAAACACAAGATCCAGGTCCGTTTCAACACATTACATAAAATCCGTGATCTGGTTCCGTCTGTAAAAGATGTGATTCCGGACATACAGTACCCTGGTGTCTACAAACTAAGTTGCCTCTGTGGTAGTAGTTACATTGGAGAAACCAAACGCCATGTCTCGGACAGCATTCGTGAACACAAAGCAGACCTTAAACACGGTAGGACCAACACCTCGGCCGTGGCAGATCATTATTATAATTCAGTAGGCTCACATGACATTGACTTTTCCAAGACAGAGGTTCTTTGTAAGCCATCTGGCTACCATGAGAGATTCGTTCATGAGGCTATCCACATATACAAGCACAGAGACAATTTCAACCGAGAAGATGGATTCTGGCTTAGTAATCATTGGAAAGATTTGATAAACCATTTCAGGTCTTAATTGATTGTTCACGCTTACAGTGGCTTTCAGACAGCATACATTAATTTTTCGTCTCCCCCCTCCTCTTTTCAGAACATAGATGGACTAGTCCTTCTAAATAAACTGCCAAATTGCTGCCCGTGGTGCTGACGTTTTTTTTATAAATAAATACACCGTTAAAAAATACATAAATTAATGCAAACCGACACACATGATGATGACCGTTTGTGTTATGGTCGAAATGTCGTGAGAATATTTAATTGTTTTATATATATTTTATTATTTTATTGTTTCCCTTCAACGTGACTTTACCGAAAGAGCTAAGAATAGGCTAAATACCCTCTAGAGGGGCTCTCCAGAGCTCACCTGTAGTGGAGGCCTTTCTGCCTGAAGCACCGTGAGTAAGCAACTGTGGGGCTGCACCATTACCTTTTTAACGCAAAGACCATTCAGCAGTTGAATCGATTGCCAGTCTGAAAGTGACAAGAATGACTAGCGTAGTAAAGGTGGCATTTGCAGTCACTCGCTCATTGTGTTCAAGTCAAGTTGGTTTCCTGCTCAAACGAGCACGAGACGGCGTGAATCTTGTTTGTACAGCGTTGACACCCTTGGTGCAAAATTATAACTGCAACTTGAGGGATGAGCTAATCAATAGGTGGCCCTCAAAATTATTTTCGTGACAATTTCGTGTCCACACACCCCGATATTCTGAACTGCTGCACTAGACTTTACGACAATGTCAAAAGTCAAAGGGTTTTCCCTCTCAAATGAGCGTGGGGTGATACTTTCTCTGTTACAAATCGAAGCTGCTGGTTTAAATTCCACATTCCTGTGGCAAGGGTATTCACAAGACAACCACTGTTAGTGGTAAACTCAGATTGGATTGAGAACCAGTGGAGGGATCAGTGTAGGAATAATGTTGTTACGTTGGGTGAGCGGCCTGACAGTGGCACTTTGGATCGTGTGGAGGTGAGGGATTTGGGGAGGCTACAGAGTAGGCTCTTTTTTAATGACCCTTGAGGGACGAAACGTCAGCCCCCCGATCGCGATTTGAAACTCACAACATTGCGATGGCAAGCTCGTGTGCGCTTACTGCCTGCACCACCCGGCTGTACGTGGACTTCATGGTCACCTGAAGTCCGCCGACTGAATCGTCCGTCTGAACGAGCGCAGATCTGCCCAGGAGCTCTGAGGGGCGCCTGGCGTTCGTGTTTTATGCCAAGCAGAAGAACATGAAGGAGGTCTACGTAAAGTCGCAAGACAGCAGGGAGCGCGGTCCTGTCAAGGGGCAGGTGAGAGAGGCCACTTCGAGAAGTCCCCTTGACGACCATTTAGGGACACCGACGATTCACTCCCTTGACGATTCAATGATTGTTAGGAATCAGGGTCACGATTTTGGAGTCGAGAGGGGAGAGTTTGTCTCTAGACAAACACCCGTATATGGCTGGACTTAAAGGGACGAAAAGGAAGTGGTCGCCTTTTTAATACAATTGCAGGAAGAGGGTACTTGGAATTCCATGGCAGAATAGCGAAAGAAACCTGAAAGCTCTGAATAGAATATGACAGTAAGGAGTTATATATGTCATCAGGAAAATAATCAATTGGATTGGATACGTTTTAAGGATGGAGGAGAGCTGATTACCAAGGCATGCATTCGAGTGCCAGTCAGAGGCGAGTGGCCAAGGGAAAAACCCAATTCCAGATGGTGGTGTTGGAATCCTCTTCAGAGCAGACCTCGGATAGCTAACGCTGACGTTGCAGTAGCTTCATGATTGAGCAGAAGGAAGGCAGGAAGGAAGTCATGGAGATGTGTGGCACAACCAGGGGCATTGGTCATCCTGAGCTGCTCTTGAATTTATTTTTGCTTGATGGAGGACGGTCCTGGTGTCTCTGTGGTTGGCACAGGTTTCGTTTTACCGGGGAGAGCTGCCGACGGCTCTGCCAGAGGAAGCCGTGGGGAAGCGAAAGGGTCCGGATTCTACGTGGCTCGCCACACTGCCCATCAAGCTTCCTGTGAGTGAGCAAATGCATGGGTGTGTGTGTCTGCAGGCAGCCGTGGTGTAATAATCAGCGCACTGTGCAAAAAGTAGGATGTCCTAAGTTGAATTCCCAGCCATAGATAAGATCATTGGAACTTGGTATGGTATGTGAACCAAGAATGGGCCTCACCTCGGTTGACTCAGCCTTAAATGAGTACCTGGAACAGTATGTAAAAATAAACAATGAGGAGACAAAGGTTTCCTTCCATGGTGCTGACTAGACCACCTCCCCGTTGGATATTCTGGCCTTCATAGATGCTTAGTAAGAGTACTTGCCCCAACAGTCTCTATGGCTAACACATGTGAATATAATCTATAAATGCAAGGGAGCAGTTGTGTAGTGGTTTAGCACACTGTGCTATGAACCTGGCAACCCAATTTCAATTCCTGGCCATGGATAACAGTGGCGAGTGATATCTAAACCAGTCCTGGAACTGTCCTAAATCAACTCAGCCTTGAGTATCTGGTGCAGTATGTGAACAGCACTGGGGAGACAAAGGCAGTTTGCTGCTCTGCCGAGCAAACTTTAGGTCGGCGCGCGAAGTGGTTGTGTTAGTGTGAAAATGTTAATGAACAACTAACATCGGAAGGTGATAGGATGGGAACATGACAGCCAGTCATGACTTAAACTGGTTGATAACGTCCTTCCAATGATTGTTCAGTTTGTACCCATCTTCTCAGTTGAAATTGCGTGCCGACCTCGAGGTTGCGGCTCTGTCATCTGCCAGTAACCTGCTAATCTCTCACATTAACATAGCCACCTCAGCGCGTGCGCCGTGGAGGCCGCTCACCGATTTTACATTAACATGCTAATTTTTCACCTGACATTAACATTAGCTGCTGACATTTGGCCTACGCACCATTTCAAACCTTTATAAACAGTTTGCCTTTAGAAGCTAACCCCCTTTTCCTGATGACGACCGGTTGTGTTGCGATCAAAACGTCGTCGTTTTTTGTTATTTTATTTGAACCTATCTACGTGACTTTACCGAAAGAGCCAAAGAATATCAATTCCTGCAGCCACGAAAGCTTTAAGTCGGGATTGACAGTGTTCATGTGCTTGGCCAGCCATACTAGGTTATGTGATTTGTCATAATTAGCTCAAACTAATTGGTATGCAATGAGAACAGCTTGGTAAAATACAATATGCCTGCCTCGTGCATTATTTAGATTAATTGTCGTAGGCATGTACAAGAAACAATAACATTCTTACAATATTCTCAACTATTTTACTTATCCTTAAACCAGAAATGTCATTATCGTTCCTCCCTTCTTTTCCACACTCAAGTTCATGAGCACATTATTTAACTCGACACCAAATTAGCATCTCCTTACTTGCCCATCGGTATCCACAAACACGTACACGTAGTTATACAGGTTTCCCGAGCGCATACAGCACACACAAAACAATGTGGGCACACGTCCGACTGCATAGCCGAATATGAGTGAAATCAAACCGCGTAGTGCAATTTTTAGGGAGAAATAGCTGGCCCGTACAGACGCGAAATGGCACAAAATCGAGCCCCAGTAAAAACGTGCTTTGCATATGCTCGTTGCGCTTGAAATAAAGAGACGGTCCCTCGCACCTGAATGAAAACGGAAGTGCTCTTGGTTTCACAGAAAGTGAAAGCGGACGGCAGAACAAACGACTCGGAGAGGAGTGCGAGTGAGGAGAGCTCTCATCAGACCTTCTCTTTCCCCCCTCTCGACCTTGGAAATCCAGGTGACTGGGAGTCTGCAACAAAAATGTCCAGTCGCAGATTCCCGATGACTCCCGGTTGTTACGTCTGTGTGAAACGATGGCAAACTGCTTGCTGTGTATGCTCCCACAATTGCGGAAGACTTTGAGGGTCATAGTAAGCTTTGTTTGCAACTAGATACGTAATGAATCCTATCCAGCATTTGATGAATGTGTCATTTTATGATTTTGCTAAGAGATGCACGTATCCAAGAATCGATTCTTTACCATCTGTATTTATTGTTTGCTATTTAATTTGTCTCGATTGTACAGCTTTGTTTGCTCTGTTACCTAAATGTAACAGTTGCTCTCCGATGTGTTTTTGGCTTGTTCCGCTTGTTGTTCGGCACAACATCCGACGTTTCGCTCCATGTGCTGGTAGCTTCTTCTGGACCTGAATTAAGCCGTTTAATGTTTCCTTCTATGTATACCGCTTTATAAAGATAAAGCTCCAGCACAAGAAATGAAATGTCGGACACCGTGCTTAACAACATATGGCACGACACAAAAATACATCGAAGAGCTGTACGGCACAACTAGGAAAACCTATGCAGCACTAACTTGTATAATTCATGAATAATCGAAACTTTTACGCACGATTTTGATACATGTATTGTAAGAATCAATTTGAAACAATCACACGAACTACGGTCATCCTCACAGCGACCTTTGATGAACCATCGAAAAAAGACGGTCACTGTATCGCGTGCTATCAGATGTGCTTCTGCAGCCGTCTGGAACTTCCTTCCTTCAGATATTAGGAAGCCCCTGGAGCTATGCACTTTTAAATCTAGATTTAAAAGTTATTTCTTTATAACTGGTTTTTGGCTACATACGGTGCAAAAGAAGTGAAATATACAATTTTAGTTGATAAATCGATGCACCTTCACATGCCTATCTTTAACACTTGTGCTCTATCCTTATAGAGACTGGATACCTGACAGAAACAAACCTCCGGACCATAGCATCAAGGATCGGTTTAGAGTGGCACGAGATTGGAACGAACTTGGGATTGAAACAATCCCAACTGGAGCGCATCAAATACGACAACAGGTTTGGTTCCATCTGGTTCCTGTTTCCGAGTTTCATCTTGTTTACAGGTCTTGATTGGCAATATCGTTTGGGCTGTGTTCAGTCACGATCCTGCAAATCAAAACACTACTCTTCCCGTTTCTTTTGTTCACACTGCTCCAGTTTGGAATCTCTCTGCCATTACATTTTGAAACATGCGTTTAGAGTATTTGGCTGCTATAAATGTCCACGTGATAAGGCACTTCGTTGAGCATAATTTGTGGCTGGTTCGCTTATGACAAAGAGCAATACAGTAAAGCCTTGGATTGCGAGTAACTTGGTCTGCGAGTGTTTTGCAAGACGAGCAAAATTTTTAAATAAATATTAATTTGATAAACGAGCGAGGGTCTTGCAATACGAGTAGTACGTATACGCTTTGTCTGCCGAGCGTCACGTGATCACAACTGATATACGAGTGCTTTGATATACGAGTGCTTTGGATTACAAACACGTTTCCGGAACGAATTATGCTCGCAATACAAGGTTTTACTGTATATCTCATTGAGCCTTACCTGGTAAAATAAAAATCGTTAGTTGTAAATATTGGTTGTATTCTTATCCCAAGTTCTTATAACCTTGCTCATTTCACGAATTGTGTTCACTCTTATCTACGATGCCTTCAATAGTGTCGTTTGTGTGTGGGCGCTTGGGATTTTTAGGCCTATGGACCTGTACATAGCAACGGTTGATTTTAACAAAAAAACATGTCTGCCGTTCAATAGACCTTTTAAAGACTTGGAGCTTGCCGAGAGGGCACGTAGTCATTTGCGTGTGCACACGTTTCATCCCTCAGTCCGAGTTAATACATTTCCTTATTTTTAATCCCAGAGCAGGATCCTCCTGAAAAGGAGTTTTGAGACTCACTTAGTACTTTCTGTTGAAACAAAGAATGTTGGTTTAAGTGTTCTTTAAATGTGGATGCCCATGTGTCCGAAGGAGTTTTTCTTTTAATTTGGAGACATCTGAGTTGGCTTTACAAACACAATCTAATTTCCACCGTGAGATCTGATGTAGACAAATGCAGATATTTGTTCAATTTTTTGGCTTGTTAAGAGGTCAAGACAAAGCAGCGTTATGGCTCCTAATATGCCCTTTATTTACATTTCAGGTATTTTTTTAAACTCTTGTTTCATATAAAAAAAAAGAAACAAAATCATTGTAAAAAAAATGTTGGCTTCATTTTGTGTTAACATAAAAAAAAAATCATCTCTGCTTTCTTGCGCCAAATACTGCAACAGCTCTGCTGGACATTGTCCATATTTTTTGGGAGGGAAAGAAAGAAAAAAAATCCTCCAGTGAATTCTCCAACGTGTTCACATTTCTTTACAAAGAAAAACATGATCTAAAAAATGCCAAGACATTTTTTACAGTAATATGAAATTAAAGTTACAGCCATAGTTATTATTTTGCTTGTTTTTATTTGAATTTCATCACATTGAAATTCGCAATGCCCCCTTAGAAAATAGTAAATAAAACGGACAAAAAATAGTTTGTTAGTCTGCGGGTAAAAAAAAAAAAATTGGCCTGCAAATTATTAAATAAATATTTCAGTCTTTTTGGCCTAAAATCATTTACTACTTTGGTGAATTTCACTTAACGTTTAACACACACTGTCTGGTTTGTATCACAGAAGTGCTCGATTGGGCAACAACATGCAGTGTTTTTTAGACCCTTTTCTACAAAGGCATTTTGTTATACCTTAACACACCTTAAAAGGTGCTTTTTTCCAAAATGCTTTAAAAAATAATACCACTTGCCACAAAGGTTGAGAAAAGCTGATAATTGTTTTTTTACCCTTTTATCTGGCAACAAAACTAACACCTTTTTTTACAAGGAGTCATGTTTGCATTGACCACAATACCTGCGGTCGGAATGCAAACAAAAAACATAACTCTGATAATGTATATACTGTCCTTGAAATTGATTGGTTCACACCTGAGACAGCTTTCCTTAGAGCCTGGTCTCACATGGTGTTGGACCAGATGATGCCAAAAAGCTCACAATTCAAAGACAATGTACCATCAGAGTATGAGAGCTCAGGGGTAAGCATTTACACCATTGGAAGGTGTCAGTTTTGTTGCCAGATAAAAGGGTAAGAAAATTATCATAATTTGCTACTGGCAAAGGAGGTTCCAATGTTGGGAAAAGCTGTTGCATAGTGGTTTAGATAATACACTGCAATCCCAGAGGGTCTAGATCACTATCGGTGATCTATTTGACCTATAAACCCATTGATTTGTACTACCATCTCCTGGCACCATGCATTTAAATTGGTTTTGGGAGCTATTAGAGATGTTTTGTTGTCCACCAACCCTGTGCCAACATGCCTAGATGTTGACGCATTTTGCAAGTTTGTCAAACCCTCCACCTCTTGTCTGCCCAGCAATATAATTGGTCACACCGCAGTCGATCGGCAGGTCGCGCGGCGTGACGTATGGTTAACCCTCCCCCTCGAATCCCTCTCTCTTGAGTGGGGCGATGGGGATCTCTCCAGAGCTCCCTCTCGTGGAGTTAATTCTGCTAGCAGTAGCACGCAAGCAATTGCATGGGTGCATCCTTTAACCTTTGCTCGCGAGCGCATAGTTAATTATCAGCAAACCTGCATTTAACTCCCCAGTATAGCACCCAGGCTCGGTCTGCTGAGCATTTCTTTCACAGCGTGACTTTTATTTCCAGCGGCAACTTGGACCAGCAGATCATGAAGATGCTGGTCACGTGGGCACGTGGTGCTGGTGGCGAAGGCGGGGATGCGGTGAGCCGCCTCATCAGGGCCCTGAAGGCGAGCAACCGGACAGACCTCTCCGAGGAGGTCGCCTCCACGGTGGAGCTCGGCCGACAGAAATACCAGGCTCAGCTCAGCCACTCCAACCTGGATCAGCAGAGCTCTGCGAGCCAGTAGAGCTGAACAGATTGGTGACCGCCTTCCTGTATGTACATACGTATGTATGTTTGACTTCGTTGGCAGCTTGCGTAGCCAACCTTGCTCATCGGAGGTGCTCGTCTAAGGGGTGACTCAGTGACACGTTGCACATGTACAGCCCTTTTGTTATTTATTTGCCAAGTGGTTCTCCTGGATATGTCCCGTGCAGCGTCGTACACAGGGTTGTTGGTCGGGCTATATTTATGATTTATCGCTCGAGTTGATTTTGGCTTAGTTAGCACACCGGCCCACAACAGCTTGGGCTACCTGCTTCCTCTAGAACCTGCACTCTTGACACATGAACGTCAGAAAATTACAATATTCTTTGGTGACATGTGGTTTGAGTGCAGAGGTGGGGGGCCCTGATGAGCGTTGCGTTGTACGCACACGGCACCTTTTGTCAATGAGGGCTTCCTTTCATTGAGGAAGAGGGCTTCCCCACACTGAGCATGTCGTGGGAGTTGTTTGACCATACTTCAACACGATGGTGAGTACGGGTTGGGGAAGGTGGGGTGATAGAAGTACAATGCAACAGTTGCTGTTTTCTGCACTGCCAAATGCTGCCCACATGGCCCCGCAGCAGCCAATACCAACCTTCTGTGGGTGATGGCCACCGATCCAAGCACCATCCAGGTTCAACCCAGCTTAGCTTCCGACATTGGGTGAATTTTGAGTGATTTGTTCACGTACAATTACTTAGTTACTCCTGCTGAAAATAACCAGCTGGGGTGTTAAATTGAGGACTCTTCAGCATATATGGCATTGCAGTTGTAAACTCATTCGTCTACTACAAATGGATGACTTCATCTAGTCATTATCATCAACCATTGTTTATCCACTGCTGGGTGAAGGCCACCCCATGCATTCCCCTTCCCGCATCGTCCAGTGTCGCTGCCATCCATTTTGCTCCTGCGCATGAATTGATCTCATTGCTCCCATCTTCACAATGCCACTCTTTCCCAAGTCTTGCCTACCGGACATTACCCAGTCTCGCGATGTGTCTTGCCCAATTTCATTTATGTTATTTTATGTTTTTATTGCAACACAACGCGAGCCCCGGTACAATACGCCGATCGCAAACGGAGGGAAACGGAAACCCCACGAACAGCTACCCGAATTTGGTATGGCAGGACTTTACGAAGGGGGTAAATTGGACTTGCTGGCCCACCCAAGTGGGGACCAGGTGCAGGGACATGAAGGCGATTTACAATTTCTTAATTCCCACTATGTATGTTGAACGTCTTTCGCACCGTACGTGTCACATGCGTTCCTTTTGGCAACGCATTCTTTCGGCGATGATGGGGGGGGGGGGACATTTATTGGGAATTGTCTTTCAATAGTGACTGAGCCATCGTCCAGTCACACATGAGCCACTTGCCTGACACTACTGTAGTTTTTTTGTATGATAGAGGCAAGTGCCTTAGGTTTGATTCTAGTATTCCTCTAAACAGTATATAAAGTATTTGAGACGATTTATCACAATTTGTCACCTTCAATAAATAACTTCAAAAATTATTTATTTGTACAGGGGGCACACTTATTCATCAACGTGATTGACTTGTTTATGTAAATAAAAAAAAACCTGGATTGTTAACTGGATTTTATGGGATTTAATATCAAATCTAGTTTGGTCGTGTATATTGTAGGACATTTTACATTGCCACTTTCGTGGGCGTGCGAGGAATGGATGGGTATTCACTCCTGCTCTCAGCCGTTGAAATTTTAATTTGACCAAAAATTTACATGACACATTGATATCTTGTGCTAACTTATATAAATTACGTTCTGGCAATGCAAGAGAGAAGTATCTTGCTTGAACTCAATAGTGAGAAACATTTGAAACCTAGTTGCAAAGTTAACCCTTTTATGGCTGTTTTATAATTGCAAGGGATGGTGCCAACTAATATGCTTTCTTACTTAAATCAGTGCAGAATTATAAGCTAACTTATCAAAATAGAGTTCTGACTGGCAGATGGTTTTACATCTAGTGTAGATTATGTTTTAACTGGACAGATTTCAGTAGATGTTGGATGCCTGTGCACTATGTTTGTCTTGTTTCAGCTCTTACTTTTCAGTGATTTGAAAAAAAACGTTTATTTTTAAGGGGTGTCTGTGCTCCATCAGCTGCCGTTGGCTTCAATTTAGCCATTTCCTACATAGCAGCGAGGTGTACAAGCAACACTATTGTAAAATATGAAATCACATTAATGTGGCCAAACATTTGTGGTTCTTTTAAGAAGTTGCTAAATTAACATGAGATTGTTGCAAAAATAAAACAGGCATGGTTTGATAGCGATGTCTGCCATTTTATTTATATTGTATAATGTACTTTATTCACTGGAAAATGTATCTGTAAATGATTTAAAAGAAACATCGCTAACAGGCAGATGAGTACATGCTGAAAAATAAAGATTTAACAAAACAAAAAGATGTACAGTGAGGGAAAAAAGTATTTGATTCCCTGCTGATTTTGTACGTTTGCCCACTGACAAAAAAATGATCAGTTTATAATTTTAATGGTAGGTTTATTTGAAAAGTGAGAGACAGAATAACAACAAAATCCAGAAAAACGCATGTCAAAAATGTTACAAATTTATTTGCATTTTAATGAGGCAAATAAGTATTTGACCCCCTCTCAATCAGAAAGATTTCTGGCTCCCAGGTGTCTTTTATACAGGTAACGAGCTAAGATTAGGAGCACACTCTTAAAGGGAGTGCTCCTAATCTCAGCTTGTTACTTGTATAAAAGACACCTGTCCACAGAAGCAATCAATCAGATTCCAAACTCTCCACCATGGCCAAGACCATAGAGCTCTCCAAGGATGTCAGGGACAAGATTGTAGACCTACACAAGGCTGGAATGGGCTACAAGACCATTGCTTGGTGAGAAGGTGACAACAGTTGGTGCGATTATTTGCAAATGGAAGAAACACAAAAGAACTGTCAATCTCCCTCAGCCTGGGGCTCCATGCAAGATCTCACCTCGTGGAGTTGCAATGAACATGAGAACGGTGAGGAATCAGCACAGAACTACACGGGAGAATCTTGTCAATGATCTCAAGGCAGCTGGGATCATCGGCAACAAGAAAACAATTGGTAACACACTACGCCGTGAAGGACTGAAATCCTGCAGTGCCCGCAAGGTCCCCCTGCTCAAGAAAGTACATACATGCCCGTCTGAAGTTTGCCAATGAACATCTGAATGATTCAGAGGACAACTGTGTGAAAGTGTTGTGGTCAGATGAGACCAAAATGGAGCTCTTTGGCGTCAACTCAACTCGCCGTGTTTGGAGGAGGAGGATGAATGCTGCCTATGACCCCAAGAACACCATCCCCACCGTCAAACATGGAGGTGGAAACATGCTTTGGGGGTGTTTTTCTGCTAAGGGGACAGGACAACTTCACCGCATCAAAGGGATGATGGACGGGGCCATGTACCGTCAAATCTTGGGTGAGAACCTCCTTCCCTCAGCCAGGGCATTGAAAATGGGTCGTGGATGGGTATTCCAGCATAACAATGACCCAAAACACACGGCCAAGGCAACAAAGGAGTGGCTCAAGAAGAAGCACATTAAGGTCCTGGAGTGGCCTAGCCAGTCTCCAGACCTTAATCCCATAGAAAATCTGTGGAGGGAGCTGAAGGTTCGAGTTGCCAAACGTCAGCCTTGAACCCTTAATGACTTGGAGAAGATCTGCAAAGAGGAGTGGGACAAAATCCCTCCTGAGATGTGTGCAAACCTGGTGGCCAACTACAATAAACGTCTGACCTCTGTGATTGCCAACAAGGGTTTTGCCACCAAGTACTAAGTCATGTTTTGCAGAGGGGTCAAATACTTATTTCCCTCATTAAAATGCAAATCAATTTATAACATTTTGACATGCGTTTTTCTGGATTTTGTTGTTATTCTGCCTCTCACTGTTCAAATAAATCTACCATTAAAATTATAGACTGATCATTTCTTTGTCAGTAGGCAAACGTACACAATCAGCAGAGGATCAAATACTTTATTCCCTCACTGTACCATTGCATGTATAATAACGTATCCATTTTGTTTTGTTTCATTTTGCGTTATTTATTTCAATTGAGCAATGTTTTTTATCAGCCGTGGATAATGGCCAGCTTTGATCCAATAAACCCCCTCACCAAATAACATTGTCCGATTGTATGTGACTGACTTGTGAATGTTTCACATCGAGGTGTTAAACATGAACGAATATAAGCACAAGGTTATGCTTGTCTCGCAGTGCTTGATGGGACAGTTGTGGAGAGAGTGGAGACGTTTCCGTACTCGGGCAGCGTGCTTATGACCAGCTCCGGTTTGGCTGCCGAGGTCTCACTCCGAATCAGTCGAGTGGCATTATGTTTTCATCAGCAGCGTAACTCTGTGTGGAAGCTACCTGGCCTGTCACTTAATACAAAAGCTCCGTGTCTCTCAGCCAGTTATACCCTTCTTTGTGCGTGTCTACAATCCATCCTGGGTTTAACCAGACTGGATTGTGTGAGGAACCCACAGATCCTTGAAAGATCTGGACATAGTGCCATCAGTGAACTCCTCTGGCAAACGAGATTGCATTGGCTGGGTCACGTAGCCCATATGCTCAGCCACCGCATGCCCAAGCGGCTTGTTTGGTTGGATAGATGGGGCTAAATGGGCGCGGCGCAGACGCGAGGAGAGATGGACTGATGTGGTACAGAAGGATGTGGAGCTGATTGTACTTGCCGACGACCGGGTACCAGCAGTGTCAAGATCAGCTTCTGGAGGAGGTTCGTGAAGGACGCTGCTGGGGAGTTGGAAGCAGTCGCCCTCCAGCAACGAGCAAAGCTGCCAGATGGCTAAAATGCAGAAAGTTGGCACAGTGGGGAGCACAGTTGTTGCATCTGCCAGCCATCTCAGTCAACCCATGTCACCTGGGTCTGTTCCGTGACCTGCCAGCGGACCCTCTCACTTTACGTGGCCTCCAAATGAACCTAGCATGGCACAAGCGCCGTGGTCACGTCACCACCACTTAGTAGTGAACGGCGGTTGTACATTTTCCAAATGCAGCACCTGGATCAGCTGTGGTGTGTAGTTTATTGAGCGTGCAGACGGTGCAATTGCAAACAGGCCAGAGGGGCCCAGGCATTAGCGTACAACACAGCGGAAAGTGAACAGAGGATCCGTTGCACATAGAACCATGCCAACCACGCTATGCCAAAGCTGATGGGCTTACTATGTATCAATAAGGTGAGCCTCACGAATGCGTTATCACCAATATCATTTTCACCAAGAAGCTATTGAGACAAAGTCTAGTTTATAAGGATATCCTTGGTCAGACAAGTGGCAAGTACAGGACACTTGCATATGACCATTCCTGAAATAAACATACTGTACAGTATATGAATCTAATGCATCAGGATCATCGCCCACAAATTGCATTTCTGAACTGAATATTGTAAATACTGCAGTATGAACATTTTCAAAGGTTTTAACACTTCCCTTAACTCACTTTCCTGAAGACCACAGGCTGCCTTTCTATATTTACCGGTCGCCATTGAAATACAAATTAAAGACACTGACAATTGCTAAACGTGTACCCCGTGATGTCAAGCACACGTATTTTAAAGCGTTCACGCATGCAATATCTCTTAAGGCGAATCACCACATCATGTGGGGCACATAGACGAGATCTCGGTTTGAATCAAGTGTCCCTCTGTCACGTGGGACATCCCTTGAACCGAATCTCTCCGTTGTGTGCGACGAAAGTCGCCTCGGACCTATAAAGTGACGGTGAAATCACCGCAGCACTTGTGCCAGGCTATGTGCACACTGTGGGCCAGGTGAAGTCTTGAAGGCACGCTGGCAGGAGGTCACAGGATTGATCAAGGTGTTAGGGGTTTATTGGCCGATGTCACTCGCGGCAGATGCACTACCTGTTATCCTGGCATGGGACACTTGCTCAGACACACGTGAGATTTGCATTTTAATCGGTAATCTGTGTTAGATCGGATATGTTTACTACCCATCAGTTGCATGCAGGTTATAGTGGCTTCATTTTAATTAAGGTAAGTAGACATGGACATGTGGACCGTGGTGGGTCACAAGATCTGATGTTTTGGAAACGCTGCATTATCCGATTTAACACATTAACTGAGCAATGACACATTTGATAAATATGAATGTTATATTTTTTTACTCATGCAACTTACCAGAAGGCGAGGTCAAGGAAACCTTGGCTTTGGAGGCTGAATATGCAGGACATTATGACCACCTAGCCTTCGTGAGCAATGTAATAGACCAGCAGTTCATCTCCACAGCACAGCGAGTTAGGGAGTTAGACAAATGCTGAGCAGCTGGAAGATCCCTCCAGTGGGGGATATGTTTAAACAGGGGGAAATGTGCTGGCACTGATAAAAAAAAAACACCGATGTGTTTCCAATGGGCAAAGTTTATTACACAACATACCAGAGATGTGCAAAAAACCACCTAACATTGAATACGTTTCACACAGTTTAACACGTAGTAGGCTTTCGCGACCACTATACATAATTCGCCTTTTGCCGGTCCAAGGACGGGTGCATATCAGTAAATCTGAAACTTGCAAGCGAAAAGCAGACCGCGACGTGATATTGCATCAATTCGTGTGCAGTTTGTAAGGGCGCGGTGACACAGACTTATTTCATTTTAAGGTTATAATCCCTTGTTCATCATGACGTCCTTTTTACTTCGATGTCTCAATAGCGTTCCCGAGATCGCGTGACGTGAGGGTTCCGCCTTTGTAGTGAGGGTTGTAAGTTGACGCCGAGGAGGGGAGAGGAGGCACCTCGCCTCCTCTATGTGGAGTGACGTAACCTGCTCATGATTATTAATGGTGGGTGCTCCATGTGGAGGACATCGCCTGTTCATGATTATTATTAATGAGGGGGGCTGGCCGACGTGGAGTGACGTCAATCGCGGGGGGCACGCAGACATTTGTGGCTCATTATAGTAGTAAGCACAGGTTTTTTTGGGGTTAGATCGCGTAAATATAAAGATGTCATTAAACTCGCCACCACCCGACACAGCCAATTAGTAAGGTTTGTCACGTAAATAGAACGTGCCAATTCGATACTAGTACAGCACATCGGTGTGTTGGAGAGCTAAGCCACAACATTTACAATGTGAGTACGACGTTTCGCCAGTAATTATAAATCTGGCTGTCGCCTGATGAAGCTGGTTGTAATTACTGGCGAAACGTCGTACTCAGATTGTAAATGGTGTGGCTTGGCTCTCCAACACACCGGTATGCTGTACTAGTGACGAAATGGGCATGTTTTGTTTATGTGACAACCCTTACTAGTTGTTTGTGTCGGGTGGTGGCGGGTTTAACGACACGTTTACATATTTACTCGATAAAAAAATCCCCAAAAAACTGTATTATGGACGTTTCACATAATTTCACCAACTGCTTGGATTGAAATATAACTTAAGAGCTGAACGTAATTTATATCATTTAGTACATAATTGCTTAAACCCGCAGTCCAGTAGTGGGGAAACCGTGGCTCTGTAGGT